ATTGTTGTAAATAACATGGATTAAGAAAATCTTCCCTTGACTGCATAGAGACTAATGGATCGTTATGGATATTAATGTGCACGCAGTTTTTCGGACAATGGCTACGCGGTGTGGATTATGATATGTGGTAAGATTTACAATTCCTGTGAGGGACAACTATAACTTCGTGGTATACAAAATTCAGAATCCGTAATACTCTACGAAATAGTAATAATTTTGGCAGCATCTTCTAATAACTCATCCGATCAGATCGTGCGCAGGATAGTTACTAGCTTTAAATAACGTGTACTGTTGTAGAAGTATCTTCGTTTCTCGATTTTCGTTTGAAAGAACGTAAATTGGTTGCAGAACGTAAATTGGTTTCACGATTTTTTCAAGTTATTGCACACCATCTGTACTTCTATAGAGATTTGTTTAGCAGGGTATACACCAAGACAGTTTGATTTAATTCTGTGGGGTAATTTGTTACGTTGAACAGAAATTCGATGATTTGGGAACCGGTAAGATTAAATATTGTACTGTAGTTGTATAAAGCTATGCTTTTCCTTAATATAGTATGAAAATAAAGTAGAGTGATTGTGTCATATTTGCAAACACACAAAGCTTCCACGGAGTACACAATACGAACTATTTTATAGAAAGTAATTTGATAGTCGTGGCGAGAGGAATGATTCTGCATTCTGTTTCTAACTGATTTTGAAATCTGATCGAAAATCTTTATTGACCGGTGGCTTTAATATTCGATCGGACCGGCCATATTGGTATTGTATGGCATGATTTCTTCGCTTACTGGCTGTATGGAAATACGGTTTGGTTCTCCTCTCTACCCTAAACTTCATTTCTAATGTTTATTTATCAGTAAAAATATTTTTGGTGTACGATATGAAAAGAGTTTTCTGTTCTCAAAGGCTCCAGCATGCTAAGAATAACTGGGAAAATGTGCTTACACTGTGCTATATTTGTATTCACAAAGTGGCAGAAAGTGATACGGTTCAGACCTGCGATTTTACCGGAAGTTGTCTTGATGCTGAGCACAAAACGTTTGCCAGGTTAAATACATTTTACGGTTTTACCTCAGAAACTCTAACTCTAATAATATTGTACGAAAAAAGTAGTTATTTTTTTTATTCTAAGTATTCATTGAGTACTGCAACTTATGAGCGTGTTGTTAATTGCACTGCATCAAATTAACACTTTTGTACTTCAATTTTGAAATCGGAATCGGAAGCTTTCACCGCATCTCGGCCATTTCCGGTGCTGCTACGGTCTTGTTTTGACTGACTTGACTGTCCGAGATGTGATAATATTTGTAAATGTTTGCAATGCGCAAAATATTTGACATAGTATTGAGGACTTGAAAGGTTTTCAACTTACACAGTCAGGAGGATCTGACTAATTGTAGAGCCGCTCCAACAGAGGCTCTTGAGCATCTTCACCTCTCTATCATGCTCGTTGCCACTGGCCCAGTGCTCGATTTTTGTTGACTCCAAGTCCGAATAGCTGCTGTTGAACGCTTTTTAAACTTTCACCTAACTATGTAAGAGTTTATAGAACTTATGAATGTGTTGTATATTTGCATACTAAGCATTTTTCCACTGTTGAGAAAATGGTCTTCTGGCATGGGCGCATTTTGTGGCATGATGCTTGGCTGAAATTTAACAGAACTGGTCAATTATGTCTAATGGCGCCGTGGTGATAAGATGGACAACCCGTATTGTTTAGGATGATTGTGCGACCGCGCTGACTTTGGCTGGACTTGCGGTACATGAGAAAATGGGCATAAGTAGGCCCAATCTGATCGAAACTTCAAAGAAGGTGCACACAGTCCAGTGCGCTTTCGACCGTTGTAGACTCTTAAACCTGTCAGTACTTAATATGTCTGGACAAAGGATAAACTGAAAACTGCTTGCAGGATTCTGAACCCATACTCCACTTATGTCCTTTAAATTAAAGAAACCTACATTAAACAGTATGTGTTCGTTTTGGGTAGTCGCCGATTGGTGGACTTTCTAAAAATTTATTTTTGGCTTTTGCAGCGGCTCACCAGTACAGAAGTGACAATTTTTTTTAAAATTCTTCTCATGATTATAAGCAGTATCGATATAAGCACCTTAAAGTTTCGAATGTTAATTGTCAGCTATGAAGGATCGTCGTTGCAGAGGAAATGGTGCATGCGCAGAGTGCAAAAATAATTCATGCTTTGGAAAGCTAATTGGTTTGTCAGTAGTGACCTGCTAATTCCATAGTGTATCAATATGCTTTACAGAATCGTTCTTATTCCTACCAGATAGCTGAAAAACCAAAGCCGTAAAAATTTGTCAATGTAATACGCGATAGAATTTTAGGGTCAGTTATTCGCTACATGCTTTGAAAGCAGAATTGGTTACGAGTCAGTGGCTATTTGACTGGAAGGAGCTCCATGATGATACGGGTCTGTGTTACGTGACGGTGTTCGCTTGCTCGATGCTTTATGGTCTTCGTAATTGGCCGTAATTTGTAATGCTTGACTTGCTCGCTCACCAAACCCGCCAGGCACCTTGAAAAGCAATAAAATATTCCTCATTTAGGATTGTTTATTTCTTTTTGTTATGTTGCAGCTTGCAACGTCTCAAACTGCAAGCATGGCTTAGCATGCACAAGCGAATTAATGTCATTAAACCCTTTCCTTATAGAATTGAAGTTTTCTTTAATTCAGCGCACGCACCTTTTCATCTTGGTGGCTAATAATTTCGCCTTCGTGGTTAGATAAATGTTAAATGTTGGAAATTAAGAATTGATTGATTACTTATTTCGAAAATATTTCCCGCGGTATTAGCATTTTCTCAAATTTAACCTTTCTGGCGATTCGAAGGTAAACTGCATGGACCTGTTTCCGGTTGACCGTTTTCTAGTTTATTTGGATCAAATGATCTGCCGCGCGCGAATTGCAAATGATACTGGCCGACGTACGTAATTAAGATGATACTGCTAATTATTGTTCGTTCTTTATCTACCGTTCGCATGCCCTTTGCTGTATGGGACTTATCGCGATTAAATGGAAACAAAATAAACTTGCGGCTGAAACAAAGACTTTCCTTTAACTAGAAAGATAATGGCACTTGGAGTCGTTCAGTGTTGGTGAAACAATAAAACCCAGAAATGTCGATTTGCCCTGACACTCGTTAAAAGAACTATGTGCACGTTGGACGGTGGTCAGTCTATCGTATCGCCATCAGCGGGTCAGCTTAACACATGGTAATGGGATGCAGGATCAAATTTATCGCCTCAAAGGCATTCAGGGCCTAAAGTAAACATGATCTAACATTTATATTTGTCGATGGAGCAGCTAGAACCCTTTCTGACCCATAGCTGTTCCGTTATAAGAGCCTTTCGCTGGTAGATGGAAGAACGGACATTTATGTTTATTGTGCATTTGCCCTTTCCTGTGTGTGCGCATGTTGAAGTTTGGGGAAGGGGTGGAAAGTTGATCATTTCGATCATACTCGCACACTACAGCCAGCATAATAATCAGCCAGACGCGGCCTGTACAGGGCACTGTCCGAAGGATTACAGGTGTACATATCCAAACAAAAATTTCCCTCGATAGACCGGCAATTTCTCTGTCTTTGACGCAAGCAAAACAAGTTTTCTTCCCTTATATCCACACATTTCACTCTTTTCTCTATGGTTTATCTTGATCCATCCGGTAAAACTGGCTGTTTGCCTGATAAGCCAAGCAATCTGCAATACTTAACAATCGTTTACTAACCATGTTTAACGGTCAAAACATAACTTTAGAGCCGCTCGTAAAGCGGCTGCGGCTTGATGCTGGGTTTATGGTTTTGGCTGATTAGAAGCCCATTAAAAAAGAAAATGCAGGTGTTAAACTTGACAATCCACCGGCACTGGTGGATGGACTCGGTTGTCAGTAAGGAGTGCAATCAACTTGGGCAAATATCTGCTGGAGTTTTCTTTGTTTTATTATAATATTTCCCCTATTGCTCGGCAGGTTACTTTAGTGAGAATCCAATGCAGAATGGAAGAGAATAATCTGGTGGAGATCTTGAAGACAATCGATGTCTGAAGACGAGTTAAGTTATTCTTTTATCGCTTTTCCCTTTTGAACTGCACTGAATATCGGTAGGGATGGGTTGAGAGCGCAAACCTTCTGAAGATTCTTTTGGAAGAAACAAAAGTTGAGAAAAGACCATGTTGAGACGTTCAAGGGGTGGTGGACAGCATCATATACGCGTTACTGGCCGATTTCGTCGGCATACCCACATCATTCTGTATAGAATTAACAAGTAATATGTTCCAGTCCACAACCTTGCCGCCATGCTTAAATAGAGTATGTCGATGTCTTTCCATTAGCTTTATGTCGATGGAAAATGAGATTTTAGTTTTTCATTGCGGTTAGAGACATCCCTAATCTAACAAGGTTAGAATTTCGCAAGGTGCAGTTTTTTCCTCGGTGGCCGAATAGTGCAGTTTATAAATGACCATGTCCTGCGCTGCGTGTATTTAGTTTAGCCAGTACAAAACTTCCTTCAACAAGCAGTTTAAACCCATATAAGCTGTGATATTAAAAATACAGCGAATTCTCCTCTAACATGCAAATATAAACTGCTGTTCAGAGTGGGAAAACATGTGTTTGTTTTTGTTGGTATTAGGTGATCTCGATGATCGATGATGTTACGGCATGTTTGCTCGACTACGCTGACCAAATTGGTTTCACACAGTAACTTATGCCGCCAAATGATACCGGTCACCGAATATGTTGTATCTGTACATTTTACGGCATTGGTGTTTATGCTTTCCACCACGGCAGTGTGCGTTTTTGTCGACGTTATTGATAATCGATTTATTACCGTCATTATTCAACACTTTATCTGTGTCAAGTTATTATGAGAGAAATTAGTAATTCGTGTCGATGCATCTTAAGTGGACACACCATTAATTCATTTTTTCGCGCTTGACACGCAACGCGATAAGTTTACAACAAGCGATTTTTTGTTGTGCAGATGATGCGGATCCCATGACGCTTTCATAGAAGAAAAGCTTGCTGAACACAGCGGAATTTAACGCTCTGCAACGGACACCATGGCGAACAGTTGGATTTTCCGGAAATCTGCTATGCTCATAATATTGGCTGTGTTAATTGGATTATTCATAAAAAACGCTGCTGGTAAGCTTTTGATATCGAACGAAAAACGCTGTTTGAATACTCGTCTAAATTTTAATAAGATCACTTCAAAATGTTTTTATCTGCCTTTAGTCGATGCAGGTGCACAATTTATTAAAATTTAAGTTGAGATAGTAGAAACTGTAGAATCTCTTGAGACAGAGGAGGAGGTAAATTCAGTATGGTGTTCATTAACGATAATCGGCAATTTGAATGTTTGACTGTAATTATTCAAGCGGCGCTGTATGTGCCATAAAGACTATTGCACAGACTCGTTAACTACCATTGTCGGACATCAGTCAATCTTTAAGGAAAATGGTAATGGGTGATTTTTTCTTGCGTGTAACTAGCCGACAATCATTTCGCTTCCTGTGTGCACAGTGATTATTTCAGTGTAGCATTAATGACCGGCGGCATTTGCTTTTGTTATTCAATATTGCAGAGAAAACGAGAGACACGGCACATCAGTGTAATAGCTTTGACCATCTACCAAAAATGTGTTGCAGCGTATTGTCTGTTATTTTATCGCCTAAGATCAATTATTGACAGTTTCGTTGATAAATTTTTCCCACTTTTTTTTTGTTGAAACTCGTCAGAATAAATGAATCATCTGTTAAAGAATGGATCAGCAATTTCTCAAATGTTTGAATTAGATCCGGCAGTGATTCAGACTTTTAATCACGTCTAGCTGACTTTTTCAAAGGACAGATTAGCCGAGAAATCGCGTATTGTTGTTGTTTTGCATCGATCTTGAGAGTTGATTTGGAGTGAGGTCTGGCATTTATCACATGAGCTGGTTGAGACAGCTGCTCGTATGCATAGTATAACATGCAAGGCATCACTAATCCGGTCCCCTAAGAAAAAGAATTTGTCTCTCAGAGCCTGATTAACATTCCCAAACGTTAATTAGAAGGATTACGTATTGACAGTTTAGGGTTTTCCCACCCGATCAATACCTGATTATCCAAGGTCAATCTCTACAGTTTCTTTTCAGTGCAGGAGTATCTAGCGTTATAGTTATGATATATTATTCGCTTTGTTTGTGGTCACCGAGAGTGGTCAGTTTAATCGAGGAAATCGGGTTGTCTTCAGGTTGTTAAAGGGTATTCTTTGAGAACTGCCGGTGCATTAAAGTGTCCTCACGATTGCTGTTTTCCAAATTTTTCTGCTCTTTTGATATAATGACACGAAATTCTTTTCAAATCATGATGGACAGATCGTTCCTTCAAAAGAATACATCAGCTTTAAAGAATTGCGGATGTGCTAGCCGGCTGATTCTTTATAGTATGGTACTTCATGTGAGATGTGCAAAAACAATCTTTTTGATCGCCCATCCGTAGGACAAATTTTTATTGCTCTTTTTACTCATTTTGTACGTGCAAGAGGACCGTGAAGCATCAAAAATGTGTAAAAGACTTTTTATCGGACGCTTGGGGCATTTTATTGTTTGATAATTAAACTAGGCAGGCCGGTTGCATTTTATGTCTTCTAGTTGTAAGGAAAGGAAAGAGATCTACGCAGAAGGAAAGTCCAAACCGTTATGAAATGAAAACATTGTTAAAAGTTTCCGTTGCTTCTCTCGCGCGCGGAAGGAAAACTCTCCGTTAAATAAGAAAAGAGCGAACGAACGTTTTAGATATCGGACAATAAACCATAGTGCTGATTGCTTTGCTTGTTTGTGGTGAGGAAAAGGAGAGGTCCTTTTTTTCAGTTTAAATCGATATAGGCAGATCGTTGGCGGGAAACTGTTGGGTTGTATTGAACTGTTGATTTGCACCATCAAACGAACCCTACGGCCAACATAACGCGCTCAGAGCGTTCCGTGTGTACGGACGACGAATTGCTGGCTATTATAGACACAAAAAATCAATATCAAAGTGTAAATGTCAATAATTACAGTTGACAAATGTGCGGTTGCAGCAAACAGCTTTTTTTGGAGCCTAATAATTGCTCAATTATAAGTTCTATTATATCAGCGTTTTCCCTATTGATCGGCGTCCCGTTGACATAAATAAAACAACAAAGGAGATGTTTTATCCAGTATATATTTGTGAGAACGCATAGTTGTGAAAACCTAATTGTTGCAGTGAGGTCAGCATTTCACGACATTAAATAAATGCTCGAAACTGGCGGGGACAGAAATACGAAAAGTCGAAAACCATGCAGTTTTAAATTATAATTGTGCCAAAAACCGGGTGAAGAATGATAGGGTTACGTTGGTCATCCTGACCGATCGCAGAATGGGCTAAGTGGCACTGGAAATTACTGATCAACGGGAAACATTGCGTGGGTTCGAGTGTATTGCGTGCGTGTGGGAAGAGCAAGAGGCTAATTACGGACACAGTTACTTGATTTATGCTAAGTGATAATCGAGTTTAAGAGCGACATGGAATGTAATTATTGACCAGTGTCCAAGGCGATTCACATCCAGTGGGCAGCTGCATTTAATCGGGCGCAAGCAGGCCTGACGTGTGGATGCTAGCTAATAATATGCTTATTTATTTGTTGCTCTGCAGGCAATACGCGGCCATTACGACAGAGTTATGCTTGCGAAGGAGCCACTCTCAACATAAAATGTGATAATCCGGGAGAGGAGCCCGGCCAGCGAATACGCATCGTTCGTGCCAATTATGGACGGTTTAGCGTCAGTGTGTGTAATCCCGATGGAGTCTCCAGCTGGTCAACAAAGTGCACCTCGCACACATCAGTACCAGTCTTGACCGAAAAGTATGAATAATACGAGCATATTGACAGCTGATGTTAGTTTGGATAAAGCCGGCAAATTTATGCATTTTTCCTTTTGTTAAATTGCAGATGCAGTAAAAAGCCTTCCTGCTCAGTGGAAGTGGCCGATCGGACATTCGGTGATGACCCTTGCCCAGACACCTTCAAATATCTCGAAGTTCATTATGAGTGCACTTCCGGTATGTTGAAATTATGCTGCGCTCTGCACTGACACCGCCACGGCTGTGGTTCAAGTGTTATAATAATGGGAATACTCACAGTCAGTGACTCAATACAGCTTTGAAATTTGAATACTAATCAGAATGAAAGAGCGCTTTTTTTATTGCGGCAGTTATTTTTATCCAGTTTGCCTCAAAGTACCGCGCACTGTAAAATTTTGTAATAAGTAGCGCCGCCAAACAAATTTTAAATCCTGATTTCGAAAGTTAAACGGGCTGAGTGATTCCGTAAAATCCAGAAATAATCGAGATGGTTTTTTTAGTTTATGTACCACCCATTTATTTACTTACTAATCGATTTTGTAAACATCCGGATAATGTTAAAGGTGTTTACCGTTTTCTCCATTGATTTAACTATGTTCCATTTTTTTGTTTAATAGAAAACACTGCAACGCCGAGGCCAACGGAGACATTGCAGCCAGCGCTGCCCACACGACCGGCCGCAGCCGCGTTTTACAGTGTCGTTTTCACAATTACCACCCCATCGAGTACAACAATGGCAACAAGCCCCCCGACTCAACCAACGAGCACAACACCCACTTCACCGCCGACAACAAGCACCACACAGCCGACAACAAGTGATTTAATTGCCGAGCCCCCGACAACGGCACCTGTCGAGCCATTGATTGACACCGGTTCAATCACAGGCAGGCCGAATTGGAGAACGAGGATGCAAGATTCTCCTCAGTCGAACAATGCACCGAGTTACAATCTTCCGGGTCAATTTGTGCAGCAGCCGTCCGATTCGGTGCAGTCGCCGGCAGCGACAGAATCCTGTCCATCTGTCATGCGCCTAGGCATCCGTTGGCCCATTACACCAAAGGGAGCCACGGCCTTCCAAAAGTGTCTGCAGAATTCTGAAGGTATGAGAGAAAATAGTGCGTTCCAACCAGCGCGTATTAATCAAGACCCGCTGTGCTGCCGATGCTGGCACGAATATATCACGTTCACTAGCTAAGTTAGCTTGCTACAGTCGAGCAATGACCTGTTGCCACAACGGGTGGACATTTCATTGAAGGAAAATTTAGGTTAAATCAGTGGGTTTATTGTGGCCACATTTATTGGCGATCCCTGTGTAATGTTTGCTTAGCGGAAAATCTTTTAAATTAGACCTCACCCCAATGGCCCACCACCCATCCCAAATTACTTGTTTCATGGCGTTCCACATGGCTTCCACATCTGACAATGGATTGGCACAGAGAGTAAAAGGAGTATGCCGGAAGACTTGAAAATTAATATGAGTAATTCACACGCACGAATGCGTGTTGCCTAACCAAAACAGCTGTCCGTGGATGTTACGCAATTGGGTATATTAGTAGCAGGATCAATGCTCACTGGCAGATTGCACGGTAGAAGCGGTATTGTGACTGTTTTTCCTTAATGTGCGTGAATGATGATCGTATTGGTGCTACACAATACAGCGAGCGCGTAATTCTGATTAATACCGCCAGATTTGTGGAGATTAGGGGATCGGCCAAAGCAACATAGCGCAGAATACATCTATTGCGTCACTTGTGTAACGGTTAAGCATTACTTCATCTGACGTGTGTATCTTATTTCTTCGATTAGCTTTCGCCGAATGGACTTGCGAGGACACCAATCCGCCGAGATGGAAGGGCTTCCCCGATATCCGCCAGTGCACCAGTTCCTGGATGGACGACATCCGCCGGAAGGCCGGCGGGGACGTACAACCGGAAAAGCTTGCCGAGGAGTTGGCACGCCAGACGTCTAGAAACGCTCTGAAATCCGGCGGTGACATGTCGAGCGCGGTGGACCTTATTAACAAGATCGTGGTACGAGGACAGCGGGCGCTGGCACGAATGGTGGCCGATGACACACAAGATATTGGCGTGCAGAAATTGGGGGAACAGGTCTTGAAGGCGGGAAGCAATCTGTTGGACGTACGGCATAATGCCTCCTGGGTGGAACTGAGCGAGGAGAACCGCGCTGAGACGGCGACGACACTGATCGTATCGCTGGAAACTACGGCGTTCATGCTAGCGGAGAACGTTCCCGTGGGATCGATTCTGACGAGTTTCGATAATAATATCGTCATGGGTGTTGGGAAATTTCATACGAAACAGATGGAAAGAAATTACAAGTTACCACCGAAGAACAACGATACCATGGGAGTATACACCGCGGACAGCATAGAGTTCACAGCGGCGGCATTGCAGGATCATACCCAGGAAAATATGGTCAAGCTGGTATTCCTGTCCTATAACAATGTTGGTCAATATTTGGAAGCGGTGGGCACGACGTCGACCGGTAATGTGCCGGCTGGTATGGTTGTCAATTCGAAGGTTATATCGGCGGCAATCAATGGTGTGCATCGAGCCACTCAGCTGAAGGAACCGGTTATCATCACGCTCGAACACACTGTTCCGGCAAATGGCCAGCCAACCATGTGTGCTTTTTGGGATTACAAAAACGATAAGGAGATGAATTTCCAAGGAGCTTGGTCGACGCGCGGCTGTGTGGTGGTCAAGAGCTACAGCCATAAGACCGTGTGCGAGTGCGACCATTTGACGAATTTTGCCGGTAATTAACATCAGATTAACTTTATTCGGTTCATTCGACACTTTACCATTTGATTTTTTTAGTTTTGATGGATGTTACGGGCACGATAGGGACCTCGCCCCATAACGATGCATTGACCAAAATAACGATCATAGGTTGCTCAATCTCCATCGTCTGCTTGCTGGTTACTTTAATTATCTTCTGGTCGTTCCGGTAAGTTAAAATATGATTAAACAGTGTGTATATATCACATAAAGCGTATGCATACTATCACTTATACTTATGGTTTTGTTAAATTATTACTAAAAAGTAGATGTTACTTATAGCTGCTCTTAGTGAATTACAATTTACATTGCTGAAAACAACTCCAACTCATTTGCTTGATTGTTTAGAAGCCTGCAATCGGAGCGCACGACCATTCACAAAAATTTGGCCTTCTGCTTGATGATGGCGGAGATAATGTTCATTTCCGGCATTAACCAGACCCAGCTGCCCGTGGGATGTCACATTTTTTCCGCGCTGATGCATTATTTTTTCTTGGCCACGTTTGCCTGGTCATTATTTGAGGGATTAAATTTATGGTGGATGCTGGTTGAAGTTTTTGATTCCGAAAAATCGCGTCGCGTGTATTATTATCTGGCTGGCTACGGTGTCCCATTGCTAATTGTGGCCGTGTGTTTGGCGGTGGACTGGCGCAGTTATGCGACACCGGATTACTGTTGGCTCCGCGCCGACAATTACTTCATTCTGAGTTTCGTTATTCCTGTTGGACTAATTATTGTGGTAAGTGACCGGCGGTCGGATTGTCGTAAACAGCAATTTGCGCAGGAAAATTCATGGTAATTATGGTTGTTTCTTTGACAGCTGAACGTCATGTTTCTTTCAATGGCCATGTACTTTATGTGCCAAAATCATGGACGACAAACGGCACTGCGTGCGCGTGATCCTAGCTCGTGGATGCATATCAAAACATGGATTTCCGGTGCAATTGGCCTGACGTTTCTCATGAGCATTACATGGGTTTTTGGATTCCTTTATGTTGGCAATTTGGAGACGATCATATTTGCATATATCTTCACATTCTTGAATAGTGTGCAGGGGCTATTCATCTTCGTGCTCGTTTGTCTGCGAAACGATAAGGTAATTTGGGTCGATCAATTTCATATTATCGGGGCAATGATTTGATTTATTGGTTAGTATATATGTTTGTCTTCGTCTCTCAAATAGGTTAAAATCGCTCTGAGGCAGTTTATTTCCAATCAGTCCGAGCGCTTTGCTAGCAGTATATGCACACGTTCAACATCATCGTTTTCCGACAACAATCCATCCACTGGTCAAGGATTTTACCAGTGCTCGCCGCCTCTGGACAAAGAACAACCGGTATGTGTAATTTGAAATTGCGGTTCCCAATCAAGGCAATCTAAGGGCTGTCAGCACATGGTTTATACGTTTATTTTTCATTCTACTGACTTCCTGACTTTCATTTGGTGTTCCGAATTTTGTAATCCGAATGACTTTGATGTGTTTTCAAAACGCTTAGAAGGAATGTTCTCATTTTAAAAATTTTTGGAAAATGTTGAGACGATAGAGTTGGATTTGATAACAAACTGATGACGGTTCTTACTGAATACGCAGCCGAATGTGTACTCAACTTTGGATTTGTCTTTTTTAGTACATGCATAATTATGCTCCTTATTATGGACCACGTTACGATACGTCTCGCCGCAACACCGTCACCAGCACGCTTCCGCCTCACTCTCCAGCGCCCGTGTTGCAGTGCACTTGCGAACACCCTGAATGCCCGGAGCAGAGCTCCACCCGCAGTTCCAATCGGGATTCCGGGCATGAATCTGTCTCCTGTCCCAGCGCTGAGTCACCGCCCATGCAGCCCATTCACATCCACCAGCGCACTTTGTATCCCCCTTCCGTGGCCCGTAAGCAGGCCTCCCAAGTCCTGCAAGCAGAATATCCGGCTGTCGCGGCACGTGTTGCCGCCCGCAACGCCCGCCACTTGTACGGACGCCACTGTCTGGATCCTAATGAGCATATTTACGCGGAAATTGATGCTCAGCAGCTGGAAGAGGAAATGTGTCCGTACAGTGAATCAGACGAGTCCAACACGTCCATCTACCAGCAGGGCGGGTCGGATATGAGTACGGACGAAGAGCACTCGCGCCGGATGCCCTGGGTGTGCGAGGCAGACGGACATCGCAAAGTGCCCAGCTATCGACCCAGCCTGAGCAGTACCGGGACCAGTGAGCATAAACCGCTGATTAACTTCATGGGGCGCATGCCCGTGGATGGCAAGCATTCATTAGGTTGCCGGTCATGCTGCTCCACCAATTCCCATCGTATCCGTCATACCGCACCCCGCCAACCCGTCATGCTCATCCCGGACAATCAAGCGTATGTTAACTCAGCGGCAATGCCTAACGTGCACGGCCACTTGCCGCTTGAAATGCCAGCAGTTGGGATGCCTGGGACGATGAACATTCCCCTGCAACAGGGGAACTACAATGCATTCGGGCTCACTTCGTTCTGTGATGGATCGAAGATGGTGAGACGCTTGCCGCTCATGCCAAAGCCACCGGAACAGCCGCTATCGTACAGCGAATGTTGAACGGACGGACAAAGATATCCAATCACTCGACAAATATTTCTTCCAGGCGCGGTTGCACCGTTGTGTGCCATAATTCTGTTGCTTTCTCGTTGTGGATCGTCTCCACTTGGCAGGACAAGGAAAGTGGACCAAAATGTGATAGAATTCCTTTTATAGAGTTTGTTCTTGTTGATGATTTGTGCGAGTTCGTTTGCTGACCCGACCGTGGTTTTATCCCATGTAGAGACGAAACTCAGTTTGCTGAGCAGTTTTTCAGTTTTATGTGTTGCGTTTTATGCTGTTCTTCCGGACAGCTGTTAACCAGTGCTCACGGTTTTGTGTCTTTATGTAAGTTCTGTATACTGGAAATTGTAATCAAGAAATTAATTTGACACCTGTAAGTTACGCTTATTGTATCGTGAACGGAAGTACTGGATCCGATCATCCGGATCTTGATCGTGACCCTCATAAACCGTATATAGCAGCGAGAAAACATGGCTCGCTAACGGAAGAGAAGATCTACATTCTACAGATCTACATCCAACTCGCTTGAGAAAGATAGGGAACGATGTCGAAAGAATAAAACACTTGTCATTTGTAGTATGCTATTATCATATATAAATTACAAAGTCAAAGCCATAAATTTATTCGGCGACGAGACCGGTTCGGGGCATAACCATTAGCGCTGCGAGTAGAAGTATTCAGAATACGTACGCAAAGAATTGTATTAATTTTTATTTTTACATACTGTGCTATTATTTACCATTATAATAACTGCGTTAGTGAGGGGATAGGATGATTAGATCCATATGCGCTTTGAACGAGTTTTCCATTGGCATCCCTACCAGTGGCAAGTTGGCAAACACCAACGCGGGAAGGGACAATGGGCACTGGGCAGTGTAGCTTCCACGTTTTCTCTGGTGACAAAAACTGTATTCCAGTCACCGTTACGGGCGGTTCGCTGTGCAGCGCGGGCGCTAATTTTGCGCACGGTGAGTGCCGAAATTGCCAATAAAAGGAATGTGTCCTTGTTTTGCAGCTAAAATCGTGACAAGTTTGACAGAGCTGATAGAAGGTTCCTTCTATTTTTTTGCTGTTTCGAAAATATAATCCTTTTCTTCCAGTTTCTGCTCATGATCGGTGTATTTAATTAATAGTCTTTCATATTTTCGTACCGCCTGGCATCCGCATAACAGCACTTACAGCAGACGTACAATGTATTACCACGTCCTTATCATTCGAAAACATCGTTTATGGCACTTCAGCCATTACGTGTATTTTGTAATTTCTTACTCTTTGGACCACACCGTCTGGATATCGCTGTTTCAAGATGTTCCGTGAGTACCGACCGACAGTGCTTTACTACAGAAAATTACGTACTGGCAGAATGTCAGACCGTTTGTTCATGTTCCACATCTTGTAGACTGCATCGAATGCAGCCGTGATTTTCACCTGGCTCCGTGCTGGATCCATGCGCGCACCATTCCCGATCGACCCAGCATTCCTCTTGCGATTAGCAGCCTGCCCGAGGAGCTGTATTTTGAGCCTGCAGATGGAACGGCGGAGCAAAATGGCATACTGCTTCCTGATCGTGAGTTCAAATTGCAGCTCAACTCTCTTCGAGGAAACTGAGAAAATGCATATCAGCATACTGCAGTAGGGACTTATTACAGTACCAACACAGTACTTGGATAGGTGTTAGTTTCGTCTAACAGCATTTTATATCAGTTTGTGTCTGAGTGCGGTAATAGCGGGAATTTGCTAGCCATTCTCTCGGCCAGACACTTGTGTCAAATTATACTTTGCTAAGCTGCCCGTTTTGTTTCTGGTGCAGCGGAATATTCGTAATTTTTTTATAATTACAGAAATATAATTCCAAGATTTCTGTAGATTTGAAATTATTATTGTAGCTGCAGGAGTGCGATGAGGAGGAATGGCATTGTGGCCTGACTGCTGTTGATAAATAAATCGGTGACTGTTTGTGCGTTGCTTTATTTAGACAAATCCGTGTACACGCGCTCATCCATCCCCGCACAGACTGTTTTTGGACCGGTCATCGCGCCGTCGGTCCATTCCGAATTCCAAACGGATGGTCCGCCACCAACTGCCAAAAGATTCGAGTGTTTCCAGTTTGAGAATGATTATTTCTGCAACTGGATGAAATACGTCCGCATCGCCGCGACCAGCGAAGAGCCGAATATGGCCGTGTGTTCCCGCGATAATGATGTTATGTTTGTCACAACACGCGCCATTGATCCCGGGGAGGAATTAAAGATCCATTTTCCTGTGGATTTGGCAGCGCATGTACAGGATAATGCGGCTTCTGTGTTTCACCATACACCGAATATCACTGTTGACTCTGACGATGTCGGTATGGAAGTTGTAACCACAACTACCACTAAGAGTGCGAGTGTGGAAAAGGCAGCAGCAACGGTTTCTCTGAAAAATGCACGGGGTTTGCGAAATGACGTATTTCTTCCCACTTCGTCGGAAGCCCATGCGGAGGTTGTTGTTTCTTGGGTGCCACGTAAATCCGAAATTCCGACCAATGGTGCATGTGCACAACCGGACGAGTACAGAGGGGCAGGGCTGCCTCTTGATACTGATTTTGAGGAGGAAAACGCCGACGAACGTTATCCGCCTGTAGATCTCCATTGTTCGGAAGAGTTTTCTGGCCGTAGGCTCCGGCTCAGTACACGGATCAGCGCTGTGAAAAGTCTTAACTCGTGCTCCACGGCCGCGGGAAGAAGTTTCGCGAGCACACATTCCGCAGGCTTTAGTGGAAATTTTGCAAATAGCTTTCCGTGTTCAAGCTCGAACACATTTCTCCCTTCAAGCGAGGGACAGTCGTCTAATGAACCAGAAAAAATTCACCAGGAGCGGAACTTTGATGCGTCAAATGGGTATGCGGATTATGATTCGGATGCTACGGAAACGTGTTCCACAAGCTCCGCTAACTCTTATGTGTCCTGCAGAGACGCAGTTGTCGTTGACAGTGATGCCGATGACGTTGTTGATCAAACCGAAGATCATCAGACAGGAGATGAGCAATCTCCGGCCGACAATTCTTTGAATTTGTTAGAGGAGGCCATGGCTAAAGCTGACAGCCAGGTTAAGAGAGGACGAGGAAGGCCAAAAAAGCAAGTATCATTAGACACTGAAATTGTCATCCAAAATCCATTCAAGAGGCCTAGGGGGAGACCAAGGAAATCTGAAACTGTGGATAATGAAATTATTATCGATACCCCGATTAAAAGAGGACGAGGGCGACCTCCAGGCACCAGAAACACTCCAAAATTGCCACGCTCTCTTATGGATGACGAAATGATCGTTGAAAACCCATTCAAAAGACCTCGAGGACGACCACCAGGCAGTACAAAAAAGCCGCCAAAATTGCCGAGCTATACCAGCATTGTAAAACGCCCACGAGGTCGACCACGAAAGCATCCTCGCCTTGCTGACAATGATGGGATCACTGCTGTGAATTCGGAGGATACTGCTGGTGAAATCAGTGGCGAAATAGTAGAACATATGATTCTCGATGGTGATAGCAGCGAAAACGCCCTCGTTGATAATTCTTATGGTGAAATCGCTTGTACCGAAAGTGGCATTGGCGAAAATGGCGCCGATGATGTCGATGGTGCCGGTAATTACGGCGAGAATGAACCTACGAGCAGTGCTCCGATCAGCGGAATGGCTAGTGGAAATGTTGACGCCAGTATTGCCGATCCTGTGATGGAAAATGGTAACGAAGAAAACTTCGTAATTATAGCGAGTATTTTTGACTCATCAGTATTTCTGCTATCGGATTTGTAATTAAGCATTCTAAAAGAGAATTTTGCAAATTTTAGTACAAACAAATATTTTTTTTAAAAAACCTGGACGGGCGATTTAGTCAAGTTTGTACTGGTGAATAAGTGAATTCATGGTTGTGTTGGTTATTGAATACAAATAAATTGAAAACGATTTTGCAGATACTTTGAATGTCAGTTCCGACCGTGGTGATTTTATTTCTTCGAAAACGATCACCCGACGATCTAAGCGTGCTATTAAACCAACTACAAACCGGATAGTGGTGAAACTTCCAAATCCAGAACGACGGCAAACACGAACACAGACAAGACTGTTGGAGGCGCTGGAAGCTAAGAAGCTCAGAGCTAAGCAGAAATACTATAAAAATAGAAAATATTACTATAAAAAATCAACAACTGCGAAAACCTCCAACGTGCAGCTGGGCAGAACGTACAAGAAATCGAAATCCATGAAAAAGAAGAAACCTAAGCCAAACGCACAGTACATGGGGACAGAACGCGAAAAACTTAGAGAAGACTACGAAGCGTTTCTGTATCGTTATCAGTGCCCGGCATGTCCGCTGCGGTTCTACAGCACCCGACTGCTGTCATTCCATCGCTACCAACACGGAACGGAATTGGAAAACGGGGATGCTGCGCCGGTGAAGTGCATCGACTGCAATCACAAGTGTGAGAATCAAGCCGAGCTGGCGAAACATGTGGACGAACATGGTGTCATTCTGGACGACAATGCGGCCGTCATTAGATCCGATCCGGAGCACGCTGACCACCCCCATTGCTATTTTCATCCCTGCAGCAACGTTGATTGCCGGCGATGGTTTTGTACAGAATTTTTGTTGAAGCAGCATCGCTTGGTGCATTGTGCGGGATTGCCGGTGCCAAGTGATTCACTGGTCTGCTCGCAGTGCAATTACGTGGCCACGGATAGTGTTAACCTAGCGGAGCACATCACCGGACACGGAGTGCGAGCTGGCGATCCGCAGTGTATTTGTTCTGTGGGTGGATGTAACGCTCCCTTCCGCTCCTCCAACAGTCACACTACTCCTTCTATGGTCGAGCACACACGAGCGAGTCATCCGGAACATTTTAAAAAAATATCCTTGGATTTTCCTTATCAGTGTACCCGCTGTTTCCTACGTTATCCCTCGGAGCTGGTCCTGAAGCGACATCAATGTGTAAGCTTGAATCAATACAAAATATGAGATACGTCGTAAAGTTTGGTTTACACATGTGGATAAAATTATAACCGTTTCAAAATTCTCTGTATCGAAGCAGATTTAAATATTAAAAAGGGTATGAGTTTTTGAAGAAATTGCCGGTAATACAGAAGACATGCGACGAACTTACAAATTATTAATTTTATTAATAACGGTCATTGTTCGTTTCAGACAAAGAGAGTACTGCAGTGTTATATGTGTGCCAAACGCTTCAAAAAGAAAAAGGAACTGCTGGAGCATGTGGAGAAACAACATGTAAAGGATAGTAAATATCCCTGTCCGAGCTGTGATTTTCTATCGGTCAGCTACAAATCCATCTTGATCCATATTAAAAAGAACCACGATGTCTCACAGCTGCATGTGTGTGAAGTCTGCCAAAAGATCATCAAAAACAGGTTCCAGATGAAATGGCACATGAAAACGCATACCCAAACGTTGAACTACTTGTGCGATTCCTGTGGGAAGCGTTTTAATACGTCCAAATATTTGCGACAACATGTCAAGTACATGCACGGAACGGAAATGCGCGTGAAAATCAAAGAGAAATTGCTGGCGAAACAGAGCCGCGGGGAAGTGCCGTCGCGGAACAGCCGGAAAGATTTAGCGCTGGAGGATTATCCCTATCGCTGTGAAGAATGCCGGGTTGGTTTTCTGCGGCCGGGGCCGCATGCACGTCACATGCATGAAAAGCATCCACCGTATTAGAATAGATTTGTTCTATGAATTTTGCGAATCTTTGTTGTGATGGGCTGTCTTTCATTTCAAATGGTAACTCTTTTAGGTTAGGTGGTTATGTCTTTCTGAGCTTAGTAAAAGAAATATTTTTAGAGTTCTGCGTTTTAGGTTTGATTGTATTGTCGATTAATGTTTTGTTTGTTTTTGACTCAGGGTGCCAACGGCGCGTTAATGTTAAAATAATGTGTCCATCTTGTACAGTACTTAGCATTAGCTTGCAAAAGCTTTGGTTTATGAAGCAACCACTATTACCTATCTGTTTTTTTTGTTGGTTTGAATTTCGTTGGAGATCTCTGCTGTTGACTGGGAGTCTGTGAGAAGCGTTAAACCTGACTTTTCGGAACATCTGAGTGGTGGTATAAATATGCATAAGTACACACTTTCCGGTATGAAATCATCTTTATATCAATAATTTTAAACGCGAAAGATCCTCACACTCGTACTCCAGACCCGTAAACTGTGCTTCCATTTACACGAACAAAGGGTATTTGGTACGCATATACTAAAATATCGCAGTAGAACAATGTCATAAACTTCGGACAATGATTTATTTAAGGAATCATTCGACATGTAACGAGAAACGATAGACAGCCCGTGCGGGACGTGTGTTACATGAGCTGGCGATTGTTGTTACTGCTGCCACTACGCTACAGCAAACTTATACCACGTCATATTAGATTGTGTTCGCAAGCACAAAAAGGCTTACGATATACGGTACGTATACGATAGGCTCTTGCACGTCATCACGGCGTACTCTTATCGGACCGTTTGACGATAGGATTGACGGTTGAAAGCTTAGATATCGTCAAGCATACCGTTGAGTGCTGCGAAATAGCAACCGCTCTCGGCGGCAGTTGCGTCGATTAGAACGGCTGCAGTTGCCAAATCCCGTAACTTTCGAGCTGCTACAGTAAGTTTAAACAATTGACCAATTCACATATAGGACGGACTAGCATTCTATTGGTCGATTGTCACGTGGTTTGTTTGCCTAATATCGTCCAGCAGGTGTAGATTGTACAGACTGCTGCAGCATTTCTGAAACCACGTGACTAGCTTACCACGTGGTTTAATATGTGAATTGGTCAATTGTTGATTGGCAGGCCGAGTAAATCAGAAGAAAGAGAAAATTCGGAGAAGAAAGAGAAGTTTTTTGATACTAAGTAAGAGCAGTTTGTCCACAAACAAAAGATTCTTCAGCTAATTCAATTTACTATGAAAAGCTTACGGAGCAGTCGAAGTACTCGGCGCGAGCTCTTCACCCATACTGCGTAGACGCCTGTGTTAATTTCAGATGCTCATAGAAACACTTATTGGGGCCTAAATTTAGCTTTTTGTATCAAAATATAATATAGAATTTTAATTTTCATTGGATTTACAACTAAATGCAGTTTAGCAAACACAGATGCACCGAGGCTGGCTAAAACTTGCAGCGTTTCGCTTCGAGGCAAGATTAGACCGTACATCGTTTACTGTTTGTAAGCAGGGATGAGTGCGAACACTCACAATTACAGACGATGTGGTTACGGTACGGTGTCCCATCGTGTCGTATAATAATGATGACAATGATGACTTGAAAAAAAGTTTCCGATAAACCTGCATGCATTGAACTCTGACCAATGGCAATGAGTGTTTCTGTTGAGTACAGGCGACTCCGGATACTCAAATGCTAGCGGCTGTGGGAATTGTAGAACCGGACCTGGAAGCTGTGGGCACAGCCGCCACAATACAATACAATAAGCGTACATTACAGGTGGGCCATACATTCACGATACAATAAGCGTACACTACACGTGGGCCGCCGTGGCATCGATGAGGCGGTTCCTACTATGGAAACCCAGAAGGCACGCCAACGCGAAACTTCCGCTGATCGCGCCGTGCGCCATCTTATGAGTATGTAAAGCATCTTGGATGGCGCAGGAGACGAACAAGCGTTTGGGGACAAGAACAAGAAATATGAGTCTTTTGTTGATCATTGTTATTTTGTTCCGTTGGCTTGTGAGACGTTTGGTGCTTTATAAGCAGCAGGTGGGGAATCAGAGCGATTGGTATCTGGGTGGAATATGGAAAAATTACAAAGCATGACCGGCAACTGTACGTTTCACCCAAAATTCCAGTATCTTAGTATAACGGAAATAAAAACTACTATAATCAACGTGGAATTGATTATATGGAAAATTAGCAAAACTGATCGCAGCATTTAAAAATGTGACGAAATACAGCAAAAGCAAATGGTTCCGGATTAATACAGTACAGTACTCAACGATTGACACACAACAGCAGACCAATTCGACAAGCCGGATTAGTGCACCAGTGGTGACTGTGACCCCTTTGAAAACGTTACCGGTAAACAAAGGCGTGCATGATGATTACCGGCTGCGTATGTAACTAATATTGTTCCAAATAATGTTAACCTGTGTTGACATGTTAGTTTCTTATTAAATTGAATTCTTTGTTATCGGATTTGCAACCAGCATGCACTAGTTTGTTATTATAAACGCTGCTGTGAATAAAATACGTTTCCCGGTATATATACGTATATTATACATTTATACTCGGACGGGCCTCATTCTTTGTCATTCAATTTACGACTAGTTGTCTAGTACTGATTTAACGAACATACAGTAATACGAATTATACGATGGTACCTTTTTTTATGATAATAAAACATTATCTATTCAGTTCCCGCATGGAAAAGATGAATATTTAAAGTCCAAATAATCCGCTGCCACTAGTGTCCAAGAAAACAATGTACTGTATATAAATAAACTGATAATACAAAAATTTTTTATAGTACAAGTAATTTAATACATAAATAAAATAAACACGTAGAAAAACAATCCCATTATTGGGGCATAACACATGTAAACCAATAACTCTCACCGCAACAGCATAATAAGAAAAAAACAACTTCTCTCCTTCTCGATACCATGATATGTGCACACGTCCATTTCCTATGCCCTGTAAAAATAAATGACTGCATCACCATGTCGCATCATACACAGACGCAATGTACGTAATTGTTTCAAAAATGCGCATAAACATACTCATGTATACAAATTAGTTCTTCTAATTATGCTCAGTGAGTCTTATCATTACCAACAATATAATGCTAATAGATGATTGTAAAAATGCCAATTTACCTAAGGGTACCTCATTTCGGAGTCGTGTGAGGATTTTATGGATGGCCAGATTTCGAATCAGCATTGTTAACGGAAGAAGAGGATGTTGGTCGACTGATGGCCAGACCGTCGACAATCGGTCGCATCATACATAAAGGCTTTCGGAATAGTGGCTGGTTTGACTGAGGAGGATGACCGGCTCCAATTTCACTACGATCGGCACTTGATCCCGACGATGCAGTCGATAGGCCAGTTGATGCACGACTAGCTTTTCACGAAGGTACCGTATGTGAAGAAGAAGATGTCGCAGGTGACAAACTACTCTTTCCCTGGCCGCTACGGTGTTTTCGTTTCCTGGTTGGTGCAGATACGGTCGGCGGAAGAACAGCCTCGCTGCCATCGATCATAGCTGTGTCCGCTATTGGTGAACTGGCTCGGCTGACAGTATGAACAACGTTGGTTTGAACTTCCTGATTAAGCACCAACGGGACACTAGGTAGATGTACATTCACTGATGGCGGTGAAAGCTGGTTGGTATGCACTTCAACATCCACAACAGTCGTCGCAAGGGCAGCACGATCTTTAATAGGCTGCACTACGGCATCAACGGCTGTTGATGGCAGCAATGCTGGCATGATTCCGCGGGGATCAGCCTCGACGTAAGGAACAAAAAACGGTAACGATGCAACACTTTCCTTAGGAACCGTTGACTGGGGCTCATCTTTTCCCACCTTTTCACGCCTGCATTGCTGTTTATGATCAGTGTAGTTAACGTGATCGGTGGTCGAAAGATCCTTGTGCTGAGCTGTTCCCAACATCAAATGCTGCACCAGTTCGGCATTAAAGGTCACGAAATTCTACAACAGTTTATTGTTTATTGAGCCATTTATATATGATAGATATTACATAAATAGTTAACATCTAATAGGAAACAAACTAAAATGATCTACTACATACCTTGAAGGCCGGGACGATAATATCACGGACAAAAGTGAAAATATTCGCATGGCGTGCACCCCTTATCCGCAGTTCGTATCGTTTCATAGCTGTGACTAACGACGCATCGATATACACACTAAGCCCATATACAGTCTCGATAACCGACAATGTTCGACAGGCTTTACGGATATCCAGCTGTAGTAATTCATCGCCAGTTTCATCGCCGTACAGTCGCGCCAAATCTTTTGCCTCCACAGAACAATGTTTGTTGTCGGGAATCTTCGATGTTCGGTCACATATAATAATCGGTGCCATCTTCTTGTGACCTTCGGTCGACAGATGATTTTCTTTCACACTCAAAGCAAATCACCATCATCATTCCAGAAAATGTGATTTGGTTATTAACTATGGCGTAATATTCTATTATTCAGTACTAATTTAACATTTTATGCGATGCCATGCGCATATATATTAGTACTATCTGGACTCGAAATTAATACAGATACGGCGGCGCATTTTACCACGCGACATTACAGAAACCTTGATAATCAGGCTATATCTACATAATTATTCATATTCATTACTGTCGGAATAGTGTCTTAATAATAAGTATATACACCATCATACAGTTCCAGTTTTACATACTGATAGGTTATAGTCTCGGTTTCTTCGATATCCTAGTGCTTTTGTGACAACAGATCGTTCCTTCCCAATGTGGTCTCATGAAATCCACGCTCTCCGGTAAAGTGCACTTGTACGCGTTTGTCCACACCCTCGTTATGAAGTAATTCTCGACATTTTTTCTGCAAATCAGGATCCCAATCGTCTGTGAAAACGATCTGTAATACAAACAACCATCCAAATAATAATTATTATTTTATAAGAATAATTAAAATTGCACTTACGTCGGCAATCGCCATCCTGGATGGCCCATGTACCGCGACATAACAAATACCCGATATTATACTAGCTTGATCAGATTCAGCATCAGCAGAATCAGAATCTGATTCTGAATCAGGATCAGCAGAATCATCCCCAGGATCAGCATCCACAGAATCGGCATTCTGTGGAGCATCTTGACTCTGGTAGAAGTGTTGACTGTCTAGCATCAGCTTTATAAATTTTTTCTTCTTATCCTCATTCTTCTCTAATCTCTCTGGTAGTTTCCTCGGTACACATCCAATAGAAATGCCGTCCAACACTATCGCCGATTGTTGCTGAATACGACAGCATTCTGGCTGGGCGAATTTGTGCAATATATACTGCACAGCCCATGCGTCGGGCATCTGTGAAAAAATTACATGATTTTTTGTTAATGCAATACATATACTAACGCGTTTATAAATTACATCACTTAATTAGGATTACGCCGGTGTCTGCCAGTACGGCTTTGTATTATTAGTGTTCTTAAACTGATATACTACGGACTATGCGGTTAGTAAGTATTTATTTGCAATGATTATGGTGATTATGTAGACAACTTGCTCACAAAATGTATCTTTTCGGTTCGGCAGATGGCCATATACAATTCCAAGATGTGCGATTCGCATCGGGCTTTTTTCTTCTGACGATCAATCATCATAAGTTGAGTTTTCCCTTGATTCGACACTGCGCGCGCTGGTAGCGTCATATCATGAAGAAAGACATTTTTCCGCAGAGCTGCAATTGTTATATTGTCACCGTATACCGGACCGTCTATCGTTCGTGTGTAGCGAACACAATCTATTATGTCTGTACTGTCTGGCTAACAACGGGCTGTGAGCCTGTGACTACAAAAAATCACTAGGAAAACTAGAAATTTATTTGTTTTTTGTGCTACTGTACATTGTGTACAATCTCTGAGCGAACTTTACGGTTTTTATTACACTTTCACTTAGTATGCTGCATTGTATTTGGCCATTGCGGCACTGTCCATTAACTATTAAGAAAGCATTAAATAAAGTTCGACTGGCCAAAGTGATTTTCTACCATATCTGGGATCCCCGTGTATCATCGCGCATGCCTTCAGTTTTTGGCAGCTCTGTGTACGATTTTCCTGTACTATAGTCAGTGGAACTGCGGAATGGACAGGGACGATGAGAATGATCCGGAGTATTTCGCCGAAGACGACGGCGACGTGCACGACGATGCAGCTGATCACGACATGGACGACGACGCGGATGAACCGTCGTCACTCGATCACACCAGTCTGGAGTTCTCCACATCCGCACCCGCCGCCGAAATCCGTGATTTCTGCTTAAGCAAATTCCGTACCATGGATTTCATTATGGAGCCGTCGTTGATGGAGTTCCTGAATCGGTATTTTGCATCGGATGGTGATGCGGCCTCAGCGATCGAAGCACTGTCGACGTCCTACGAAGGACTGGCGCAGTATGTGAATCTGTTCGCCGAGTGGCTGATCATTCTGGGCGATGAGCCGACGAAAGTGAAGGAACTAATTGAGAACTACATGGAAAATATCCTGGTGAGCAGTTTTGATCCGCGCAAAGCCGATCGGATTTTCCTGCAGGAAGGCGGCAATACACATTGGTTAAATGATCTAATTCAGCATAAACACTGGCGGAAAATGATCTATAAATTGGTGGAAACCCATGGAGAATCGTTGATGCTGAATTTTACCATCAAATTGATTGCTGATGCTGGTAAAACTGTCGCACAATTTTCTCTCGGCGCAGTTGTTTTAAATCAAAATGACTACATCATAAAAAATTACGCTCAGTTTTAAATGTGTGCAAAAAACATGCAATGTGCAGTACGCATTTTTTGCGCTGCAAAAGAAAGAAAATTGATTTTTGTATATTCGTACTCAAAAATCTGTCTTATAATAATTTGTTTTGTGTGCTTTTACCACCCGATTCTATTGTTGCGCAAATTGTGATTTTCTCTTTTCTTTTCTATTGTAGAAATCTGCGTCGTATACTTACTCCTCTTTGTTACGCTTTTGGTTTACTGAATACATATTTAATCTTTACTAGCTTCGGTTACTGTTATTGCTCAAAATAATTAAACGTATACCTATATTTTACGAACGTATATAACGTTTATATATACGTTTTATTCCAAAATTTTTATCCGGCTGAACTTTTGTGCGTGTACCGGTACTCATTTCGTTTTTTCGGTATTTTTAAGGACATCAGAACGAAATCCCCACGACCATCACGGCTGTCAGTCAGACGGATGTTTTCACACGCGTCTTCGACTCAGCCATGGGCCGACTGATTGACCGGCAGGAGAACGCTCTGCTGGACTTCGCGCGTCTGGTGGCGAACGGTGAATCCACATTCCTCGTCGCCCAGTTGGTGATGTACAGTCTCGCATACGAGGCGCCGGGTGGATTGAATCTAATGAGGATCATGCAGGATGTCAGTGACAGTGTGAAAAATCAACACATCCTCCACATTCTCCTCATTATTGCCCGTGGTGCGGCCTGGCCGCGTGCTATGCAAGCCGTCGCTTCCATGTCGTCCAAGAAGAGCCTGAATCCGGCAGACATTCACATTCTACATCAGATGTACATTATCGCCAATCCCGCGGATTCTCTGGGCCCACCTCCGGTAAAAACTGTAGTACATCTTTTTTTCTGTGCTTCGAATGAAGACTTTTGATAGATGAATTAGCAAAAGAATAATTTGTTGAAGTAGCGATAAATTATACCTCGCTAGTACTCCTTTTTATTTAAAAACATCTGCTTTGACCGATTTGACCGGTTACACGCTTTTTGCCAGGCAAGTTCGCGCTTCCACGGATTACAGTCGAAGAAAAATTATACCGTAAAATCGTTTCAGTAATGGTTTCCTTGATTTTGTTGGTTGTTTCAGGTGGCTTTGCTACGCTTCCGGGACTTTCTTGATTTGTTAGTGGAAAGTCTCTTCAGTTTGGAATCCAAGATACCTTCGGATCACCGCATCCGTTATATATCGTTGCTGGCTTACGCCGCGTCCGTTGTGGAAAAATGGACAACACCCAGTAAGAAATCTCCGATTCCCATGCGACTGGAGATCAATCGCGACGATGTGAAAGTCACACAGGAAATGATCCGCAAAGCCTTGGAATTCATCGCCAAAGGCCCGAATGATATCCACACGGAACTGCAGAATATTTTTACGGTTCTGCGCTTTCCCGTTATCTCCATGGGAATGATTCGCTGGATTGGGAAAACGGTGAAGCAGGCCAGTTATTTTAAATTTGCCGGTGAATCCCGTAATACACCGGTGCACTTGATTATACTCGATGAGATTGCAAGCCTGCATCCCTATCTCCACGAGAAAATCTTGGATCTGCTAATGGAATTGTTTGAAACCGCCTGGCCGCAGATGGACATGCTCATCCGCCTCGAATTACAGAAAATGTTTCTGGATCGGATGATCCATTTGGTCAGTTGTGGATGTGTACTACCTGTGCTCAGATTTGTGCGTGCCGCCTACGCCAAACAAGATACCGATGTTTCGCTATTTCGACATTTTGTTGTGGAGCTGGTTGATATTATGGCGCCGCCTTATTCAGATGAGTTAATGCAGTTGCTGTTGCCTCTTGTCTCGGATAAAGATATTACGGGAACACTACGTACGGCCGATGGGAAAGATAGTATTTCTGTGTTTTTACAGGATTGCAAAGCTTCAACGTAGTTGGAGTGTTTTCCAGATTATTGTTGATTTCGATAATGTTTCTTTGTTCTCATATTTTATCAGTGCTACAGATTACCGTTTGCTCACGGTATTTGAAATTTGAATACAGTCTGATGTTCGCACGTGTTGTACATGATCAAAAGAACTGTATATAGATATTTGTCCAAGTAGGTGTGTCCTAATCCAACAAACGCGACATGAGTCTTCCCACTAGTCGTTTAAACTGAACATGTCTCCAGAAAGCACAACTGTAATTAAGTATGCCGTTATGAGATAAAAAAGCAGTGTAATGGAAAAAATACAGAATCAAAAATAAGGGAAGCGTAAATCGAATTGGGAAATATACGGAATCATAAAACTTGCGATTTAAAACCGTCTAGGCGTTCTTTATGGAACCGCAGACTGGAAAGCATAACAAAATGACGTTCATTCCTGAAATTAGGCATGCAATTAAATTCCCGGTCTGTACTATAGAGGATGTTCAAGCCACGTGCTGACGGTTTCCCAGAAATTTATTTTACTCTCCCAAGCACAGATATTAATTTCTGTACGAGGAATTGTACGAGTAATACGAAAAATTTATTAATTTTTTCATCGTATTGAATTAAGTAAATGTTATTCGTGCACCAGATGACCTTCTTCAGATTTACTCATTTCCCGCTGTAGTGAGTTTAAACACCCACAAAAAATTTAAACTGGAACCGAATCACAAGACTGTTAACAAACAAAAAATAAACTGAACCACATTATCAACAATTTGGAGACTGCAAGATGTCAAATCGAGATTCCCGACAATAGTTCAAACATTACCGTTGTGCATAAGTAACAAGTGCAATCAGATTCTTACGTAGAGAACATCTATAAACAAAGAAAAAACAAAAGAGATTAACAAGTCGAATTCAAGTTGGAATTTTCCAGTTCATCGGCAGCCAGCATTTCGGCATTGTACTGCAACATTGGTTTGATGGAATCATGGAAGCGCTGATAATTCTTTTCTAATTCCCGTTGGTATTCTTTCTGATCAGCCGCGATAAGGGTTTTGTTTAATTTCAGAGCTTCCGCACACCTACAAAACAAATCAAGAACAGACTTTAAATCGCAGCAACTACCAAAACTGCTGAAAACGCAAAACAAGAAAAGCCGTATACACAAGAAAAGCCGTCGCCATTCTTTGTTCGTACCGTCTGGAAAAATCTTTGAAGCACAAACGCAGTTTATGCTGTAGGGCCGTCATTGGTTGGTCATGTGGATGCGACAAGAAAACTGCGGCTACTTCCAAAGGACCTTGATTAACCGTTGTTCCAATGCAGCCCTACGAATTGCAGATGCAGCTCAAGTCTTAGCAGCATTCCAAGTTAACACCAGCAAATCTAACCTGCAAAACCATTTGCAACATTTTGGCATCCGAAGGTTCCTGCTTAATGGCCGCATGTAGTTCTTCCGTTTTCTTCTGAATATCTTCGATCGCTAACTCGATCGGCGTCAGAACCGACTGCTCCCTTGCGATAACTTGAATTCGCGTTTTCACGTACGGAAAAGCCTAGGCAAGAAAAATATCGAAGTTATTTAGTGACCAAAACAACCGGAAATCACAACAAAGACGAAGAAACTTTATTCATAACAGCAATTTCAATAATTAAATATCACCCAGCCTAAATATCAAATTTCCAATGCGCAAAACGCTGCATGTAAGTACATGTATGCTTTTGTGTAAAGGGAAAAATATTTACCGGCTACGAAGCTACATTAGCGGTCGTAACAATCGTTTTCCGCTTATACTGTTCATGTAAATCGCCATGAGCCCGGCCATCCATGGTAAACGGTGTAGAGTACACGAATCGACGGAGATTGTAGTTCTTTTGGAAGAACGTTTCGCGATTGCGCAGTTCCCATTTATCGAAATGCGGCTCCACATAAGTAATCTGTATGTACACCTTCTCCGGATCCAACAGTTCCCGTTTGACGGCATTGGAATCTTTAATGATGTCGACATATTCAGCGCCGTACTTTTCCGAATAAAATGATTCCAGGCGACTGGAGACTTCCGGTAGCTTTGTGATGACCGGTTCTTTATAGATAAATTCTTCACCGTCCAAATCACCAAATTTCGGTCCATAAAAGCCTACACGGAAGTACGTCCCGAACATTCGCTTTCCAGCCATCCGTTCTATCTGTATAAAAAAATATCAAAGGTTTCACCGAGACTTCGTTCGTAATCCACGTAAAACAGTTTTCACAAACAAAACTATTTCAACACGTATTCCCATCATAAAGTCTAGCGAAATGAATAGATAGTCCCAGAGTCCTCAACTTCATACACTACTACAGTAACTACAGAGTAACTACATCGCAGATTTTTCAAGCAGCTTGAAGAATTAAGAAACAGAATTGACTACTAGTATTCTTACCAGGATGGTGCCCTGTGGCGGTTGGGAGCCGTGCACCTAAGGTGCGCCGGGAAGTCATTGTAGGTCCATAACAACAAGTGCTTATCCCGGCACTTTTTAAATAGCGCGCGCTCGCAAAGTATGCTGTTTGTTAACTGGGCAGATACATGAAAATTGACAGAAAACCATCCCCTGCAAACGAGAAAAAAATATGTGATAAAATATTAATTTTACAGTATTCTTAAATTTAGCGCCAGTGCTATGGCCACGGTATTGCACCACCGGATTTAATTTTCGTTCTCGGTGTTTGTATTAAAATTGCTTTTAATTATAATATAATTTTATAGTTATTTGACAATAGTGCAAGCTTTCATTGACTTAATCACGATGCGTTTAGGTTGACCGAGGTGAAATTGCTCCGAGTTTGTTTTCAGTCTTGGCTCGCGGCACTCCGTTGACGACTCATGGGATAGGGCAGGATACGACTCGAAAATTGGATAGCCGATTCCCGGATTTCCGCACTCTTGGATCCACGGTGATGCGCAGCACTTCTCGCATTCTGATCAGTTCTTTACTCACGACAATATCACGCTTGTGGATTCAACATGATTCAGGCAATGAAGAAATTTATCCGACTGGGTTCAGTGCAAGGAATTCCGAAGTGGAACACTAGGTGAGCATTATCCGCTATCGGGAAGAGATAAAATGTTAAACGTTAGATGATGTGCATTTCGGATCCAACGAATCGCATTTTTTTCCGATTTTTTAGAGGCCTGTCGGCTGTAGATACAAAGTATAAGATTTTGGATATCATTAATTTAACCGGAACGCTCTGTGGCTGCGCTGTTGGAGGTGCATTTTATCTCCACAGCGAGCATCCCAAGAAAGAGCTGATCGGCGGCGGTTTGGTGGCCATTCCCTGTGGGATGGCAACGGGGATTGCTACGGGCGTCCTTACAGGTGTCTCCCTTAGCCGAGCCAATGCGACAACTCTGGGAATTTCAGGGGTAAAAGGTGCGGTATTCGCCTTCCTAGCGGCGCTCGTATTCGGGCCTGCTCTGGAGCAATACCACATCCTCCAGCCTCAAAACAAACGTAAGATCCTGTTTCCGTCGAAATTGGCACTTCAACGTTTCTAATATTATACCGGGACACTGGCTATACGAGCGCCTATTCCGGACACTCTGCTACAGTAGTTCGCCTCTTAGCATGGCTTGTAAGAAGCATTTTAAATGCATTTGAAATTGATTACTCAATCACTCAAGCGGCAGCCGTTGATATTTCATGAACCACAAAAGAAGTTTTCTCGAGAACTTCTGTCTGAGCAGTGTCCGGAATGTGCGGTCATATGGCTAAAGTGTAAGTTATCAGAAATATTGAAATACTGTTAATTTAACTGTCTTTGTGACATCAGAAAAGCCCGATCGATTATTATTTCGTGCTGGTGACGTTTTCGCTGTCTACAGACCGGTCTTTTATTGACAATAACATCTCCTTGAGACGCGGGTTTTACCGGTCTTTACCCCAACAAGACAAAGTTACGGCATGTTACATATGGATCGACGGGACCCATGAAAATCTTCGGTGTAAATCCAGGACGCTGGACTCAGAGCCCAAAAGCCCAGAAGGTAGTGTAATAATTATAAAGTTGGAAGTCGAATGGAAACTGAAACAGTGAAAGGTCGTTGAAAATGGTTCAAATACAGCAAAGATGGAAATATCAAGGTTTAAAATTGGACCAACTGCACTGCACGTGTTACAAACTGCCGTTTGGCTGCATGTGGTACAAACAGCTGATCGATGGTTATTCGGTTAATTTTGCACCATATACAGTACAGCGTATTTAAACCATCAGAGCAAATCAACATTCGTTTTTATACGGGTTGAATATTTGAAATTCCATTCACCTATTATATTAATTACAAGTTAGATGTGGAGATAGTGATCGTAATTTTAAAAGGAATATAAAATACTCAGATAATTTTAAAAGGGATATTCAAGTATGCGCGTACATCACTTTCGATAAAATGATTTCGTTACCGCATATTGGTTGTATAGCCATACAGCATATCACGATTCACAGCCGTTCGGCGCGGTTTTTCGGAATTTTCAGAAATGACTTTTCATGGTTTCTGAAAGTTTCACTGGTTCTGGTGCATTTTCCGGAAAGCATTGCAGGTTATAACAGGAAGTTCATTATTCTGTAGAAGGATTTTCATGTACACTACGTTACACTGGGGTAGAGAAGATGCGGCAAATGCTGGCATGCAACTAATGGATGTTTGCGGGAAATGCCTGTGATACTCGCTCTCAATAAATTATTAATAGAATACAATTTAATAGAATTGTCTGCAATTTCGTAGCCCTTGTGATTCAGCAGTTCTGTTGATTGATCTCATACCGAACAGTGTACATTGCCTTTTACCTTAGTTCAGTACAGTAAATCATACATTTTGCACTTTTTGAAGTATTGTCGAATAGTTGCAGCCGCATCGTTAAATACCTAATGAACGTGCAAAACTGGGCGTCAGTTTTAGATAGGTACAAATTTGTATCTTATGTGCTCATTATTACAGCCAGCCAGCTACCGTGGTGAGCTGGTGCCGGTGCGGTGTTTTGGGGGACTTGTAATCTTACGTTGTAATCTTAACGTTGTAGATCTTCCCATCTGGAACTACGACGGTTGGCATACCTACCAGGCCGAAGGAAGCAACAGCGACGTCTATTTACACCCTGTAGCATTGTACCCGGATCCATTCACCGGTGGCAAGAACAAGCTCGTGCTGTGCGAAACGTACAATTACAACAAAAAGCCAACAGGTAAACTTTAGACGTTGGACCCAACAGAGCCGTTTGCGCTAAAGAATAAAATATTGTGTGTAATGAAAATACCTGCAGGATGTTAAACAGAGTCAAAGCGGCTTTGTTTGGCTAACGATACAGTGTATTGCCGGTACTGCTTCTTGTAAGTAAACTGAATTGGCGCATGTGTTGTATTTCGTGATGATAAGCCTACAGACTGGACCTAGATGTTTCCGTGCGCAAATGTTTATACGTACTGCAGTGGTTAGTACTAGATGCTTGATTGTAAAACTGTTACAAACAATTAATTAGCCGGAAATTACAAGCTTGTTATTTTTTACAGAAAGCAATAAGCGCAGAGCTTGTGCCGATGTGATGACTCAAGCTAAAGATTTTGAGCCCTGGTTTGAAATTGAGCAAGAATACTCGCTGTTGGATGTGGACCGCCGTCCACTTGTCAGCCCGAAAACTGGATTGGCGGGATCACTTGGTACGAGTATACTAGCAGCAAAGCTGCAGAAGTATATAATTTGTAGAAGGATAAAAAAAATTAAAGAAATATATTTTAGCAAGTGCTGCATGAAGCATACTCAGTACTCAGTAGCACTGAAATTTTCATTGTTTTTAGGACCGCATTATTGCGGGTTAGGGGCAGACGCGATTTATGCGCGCGATATTAGTGAAGCGCATTATCGGGCCTGTTTATATTCAGGAATTAAAATCCACTTCGCTAGTGCTGGACCAATGCCGGCTCAGTGGAAATTCCGTATTGGGCCTTGTGAAGGCATTTCTGCAGTAGTAAGTTGTTCGCTTTCAGTACACAAAATCAATACGGCGTTGAAAATACAGGGATGAATCGATGTCTGTAGGGAGATCAATTGTGGATTTCTCGATACCTGTTGCACCGAGTGGCGGAAGATTTCGGAGTTTTAGTTTCCTTCAGCCCAACACTGGCCAGGGGCGACTGGAATGTCGCCGGTGGAGAAATGAGTTTTAGCACGAAAGCCATGAGAACTCCAGGAAAAAGCTTGCAGGCCATTGAAGATGCCATTGAAAAGTTGGGTAAAGTCCACGCTAATCACATTCGCAATTATGACCCTAAAGGAGGCCAGGACAATCAGCGTCGCTTGACTGGACGTCATGAAACGTCCAGCATCCATGACTTTTCCGCGGGTGTAGCCAACAGAGGATGCAGGTACAGTATTGTTAGATAGTCCGGCTACGAAATTTATGGATAACGCAACAAGTTTTCGTTGCATGTAACATCTAAAACGAGATTTTTCATTGTATTTGCATTTATTTCTTTGCAGTTGATTGAGTGGTATTTAAACTGGCTAAAGTTCCTTGCGACTAACCGATGTCTTTTTTTTAGCATCCGAATTCCGCGTCAGGTTGCCGAAGATGGGCACGGTTATCTGGAAGATCGTCGACCGGCATCCAATTGTGACCCTTACTCTGCAAAGGAAATTACCGTGCGCACTACTTGCCTGGATCAGACTGTGGAATAGAAATTAGCAGGTCAACTTGGAACCAGGACATGCCTCTTAGCGATTTTGATAACATGACATATTTTATTTCTGTTGTCTGATAGATTGGTCAGTTTTGTGATAGCAATGTTTACTTGTCGTTTTGCAGCATTGCCGAACCGAATCTTTTACCGCTTTTATTTTAAAAGATTTGCAATCCATCCATTTTTCAGTTTTAGCGTAGACTTGAAGTATGCATTTTATTTTGGGAGATGTTTTAATGGGAAATTCGCTATTTTCCTATTCCTTGCCATAAGCCATATCGGTTGCACGACTTCGTCTTGCAATACCTGAAATGAAGTTTTGCTAGTTTTCTCAGTGGTGTTATCCTTAAACATTGTGGGAATATGTTATTGGTGTGTAACTGTGTATAGTGCTAACTGCTAAGGTAATAATTATTAATTGCGAATGTTTTTATTATGAAAAAAGAATCGTGTAATTAAGTAATCATAGCGTCTAAGTTTGGCCGTTTTGTAATTTTAAGTTGATTGAAATGACTACCGTTAACGGTGTGAGCGCCTGCTCGCAAGTCAGTTCTATTAAATTGAGATGACCATCGTATATATGAGTGTACAACAGCGGGTAGAAAAGAAGATCCTGTTAAAAGCAAATGTTAGCGTAAGAATACCACTAACTTCCGTTAATTTGCCCACGTTAATGCAACCTCGCTACAGGGTTAGAATTTTAATTGTATCAAAAAGGAAATCGCATCGCATCTTCCACACTGTTTGGCATTACAACGTTAACAGAAAACCATCCTGCATGGTGACCATTACAGTGCATGCATCCGAAACGCCATTAAAACCGGTTGCACACAATACATACAATCAGCGGCAGCCGATGCATATTAGGTAATATATTACAGGGAGAGGAGTACAGTATTGGTAACTGTTTGTGTCCCATCTGCCAATATCCCGCAAGCCCGCACTTATTCATACTGTAATCACTTGGTAGGCGCGCAGGATATCGTTTGTTAGTTAAATATCACTGCTGCTATGACGTACAGTGGAGGCGAAATTTCCCAGGGTTTCCCTATGTAGGGAAACATTCGTATACCGACCGACCGGCTGAAACATCCTGTTATTTATATTAACCGCTGGGATGACAAATTGCTTTCTATAATTTTCCACGTCGTAAATAATTCTATATCCTTTTTAGAGGCGAACGACAGCAGCAGACGGAGGGAAATGTATGCCAACATAAAGGGCATAACAAACAAACACGCGTAACCGCAAACTCCGGGTAAACGCCAAATACTGTATTATACACGTGGGTTATTTTCATCTCTGCTCTGTATTTTTTAACGAAATCGCTCGACGAAAGACTAATGAAAGAACATTTAAACGACAAACGACACTGCTGACAGGCAGCGTGACTGGTTTTTAACGAGATGCAAACGTCTTGCCGAAAACCGAAAAACAGTTAAAGTGTCTTGATTTATTGATTTACTTTATATTAATTTACTTTTATTGAAAACAGATTTTTCCACTTTTGTTGGATTATTTGTTTTTCACTTTTGTTGGGTGTTGCTACTGCAATTTTTGCGATCATACATGTAGTTATCTAATTTTAATGAAACTATATGTTTTGTTATTTATATTTTGTTTTCCCAAACGGAAAACAAAATCAAATGGAAATTATGTTCGTTAAAATTTACAACCATTTTTAAACAGCGGATAGTTTTTACAGGACTGCTGTGGACAACGTAACTCAAAACCGTAGTAATGAGGCATTTACGCTCCGTCCAGTGTAATCACAATACACGACTGCGTTAATTCAGTGAACAGCAGGGCGTAAATGTAAACACCGTTTACGATCTCCCAAACGGCAGCTCGGAATCTTCTTCTAATTTTACACGTTTTTTCCAATCTTAAGCTATATCTTAACCATAGAGCTCACTAATGCCATCCCACACAAGGCTGTTCAGCCGTCGACACAGGATGGCACATACAACGGCCCTTTTCCGGCGCGGGGATTAATTATGCCTTTCTGTAACCACGCACTTCGTTCTCATTACAACATCTTTTCACTGCACATTAAGGCAACCCCAGACGTCTCAATGAGCAGGAATTCAAAATCCCATTACGCACTTTGTATTCGTATATTATAACTCACAGTGCAGGATCATCGGCCGGGAAAATGCTACTTTTTTTCTTTCTCCCTCATAATGTACCCAGGCTGCGCATCATGCCTACTTGCACAATGACAATGTTGGTGCGTAACCGGCATTGCGGCGGACCCCAAGGTTGTATGCGCACTTCAACCTGCAAACCGGGCACTAAAACGCCATTTTCCTGCGCCGTCATTCAGTTTCCCTGGGAAACGATCGTTAATATACTGATGTTATCAATATGCGCTTGACTAACGGGAAAAATCATTTGTCAGTCAAACGACAAAAAAACATAGAAGTATTCCAGTTCCGGTAAATGTGCAGGCATTAAAGGTCATCTGTAGATATACGATAAGAATAACTACACCGCCATAAACGTTTGGACACTGCCAGGCAAATTAAGACGCTATGATGTATTCAAGAGATATGCAGATGCTACAACAAATTAGATACGTCTGTTCCACGTTTAAAGCAATTCCGCTGCTAATTTGCTGCTAATTCTGCTGCTGCTGCATGCTACTGTTTAAAGCAATTCCGCTCCGATACAAACATGCGGGATCATGATTGTTACACAGAATTATCTATTAAATAATTCGACAGTAGAAATACTCCAATGTTTTCGAACTCGTTGAATGGTTCAAGGCACACATGTACATTCATATACTAAGTATGGACTTCAGTACATTCAGTAAAAGTAAAGAAAGCCGCGTAGAAAAAAATGTGAATCCAGCGGGGCAAATTTCCGCTGGAAAACTCCGAGGTTATTTACTTATTCAATATCCATTGGAATTGTATTATAAGATTTACTAGTTACTACAAATAATGGCCCAGTCGATATAGCGAATCAGCACGCTTTCTACCGAGCGTATTAAGCTTTTGTCGAAAGTGCAAGATCGACAAGGATCATTCGGCATGAAGAGAAATGCAAACAAGCATCTCAGCCTCATTTCATATGTAACGGAACAAAAACCTCGATGTCTTTATGTGACTTACATAACCGAAACACGTCGGTTGTGTAAAGGTCGTATAACCCGGATAAAGTTTCCCCTTCTTACATTTCTCCGCATATAACTGCCATCCAGGAAAAAATTGAAAATCCGGCAAATTTCGCTCACATCGCGAAGTCAAAACATCGTTTTCTTTATGCGCAACGACACGGTAAAAAAGAGCGGATGTACGCACACTAGCGATATCCGATCAAACGCCCCATTAGCCGGGACAAGATCAATATAGAGTACAGTAATTACACCCACGGATAAAAAAAGGCCCCACACCCATGTTCAAGCAGTCAACTTTTCATTTAACTCCTTCTTAAACCACTATCCACTTGATGAGCAAACTTTATCCAAGTGACCTTATAATGTGGCAATAAAAAATGTACCCGCGCGTGGAGGCCCGACAAATATCGGGATAAGAGGCTGCGTTTCAAGAGGGTGCGGATTAATTCAACTGGAGTGTATAATTATACGTATAAGAGGCGCAGTGGACGCGGTGCTGTAACACACTTTCCCACAGGCCAATCGATCAAGCTACCGTATAGATTTAATTCCACAAGCCGGAGAGTATAATTAAAAGTAAAAACGGGACCACCACCACCCTCACAAACGCACATTACCCATGCCGGTCAGCACGCCGGTCGGTACTGGGAGGAGCTAAGAGAGGGCAGCGTTTGTATCTGTGTCAGAGTGTGGGTAACCATCCATAACCATCCATCCACAGTAACCATCCATTGGCAAACAACATGTTTATGTGCCATTCTGCCACCAACAGTGCAGTGCAGTGAATGTACAAATGTAAGCACAAAAGAACAAGTTTCACAGCGCCGACACAAGCCCCCATTCATGTCAGAGAGTACAGTACATATAAAGTTATCAAGCTACATAACCTATTCAAGTAATTCTGATACCATGTCTACAAGGCAACAAAAGGCCGGACGGCACCACCTCTGTTCCCTTCAGCCACGGAAGGTCTTGGGTTTGGGATGTCACTTGCCCGGATAGTATGGCCATTACCTATATCGCGAGGACGTCCGAAGAGGCAGGCGCCGCCGCCACCATGGCTGAAGCAAAGAAGAACCAGAAGCACGGATTTTTACGTGAAAATTTCAATTTTTCTGCTCTGGTTTTTGAAATAATGGGTGCATACTGCATGGGGTAATTAAGGAATCCAATTGTAAGATGTTTTCGCTCGGTAGAATGCTTTTTGAGCGGACACAAGAAAAGCGGTCCACTCACTGGTCAGTTCTTGAAGCAGAAAATTATGTAGTATTGCTTTAATGCGAGGCAATGCTGCATGTGTACAGGAAACGTTCTGTATTGGTAAGAGGTTGGACGAAGTGATTTACAACGTGATTTCCTGTTTCAACAATGGCTTGAGAAATGAACATTCCGGCAACAGTCGCTGCTCGAAGTACTGTAAGAACGTACTCTATATATTGTAGAGTAGGATGATAGGATCGACATATAGTCGGTCCTTCCAACTGTTGTATTAAAACGAATACAGAAACAAAACTGCAAAGTGCAATCAAAGCACTCTCTTTGGTAACCAAAAATTTCTCCACAGCGTGATTATTAAACAACTCAAAAAACTATCACGGCAAAGAAGAAGCTTGTTCCGAATTGTGAAATAATTCAAAAACCTAACACAAAAATAAATATTTTCGTTAGCATCCATCAACTGCATCAGGGTGCTCTACAAACATAGTCGCCAACAAAACAATCAACAATATGGTGAAAACTACTCAGCAACAAATTCCACACAACATGAAATTTATGCCGATGTACTCGTTGGATTGGACACCATACTCTCCTGTTGCACGGCTGTCCACTGTCCATCATGGGGGCAAAGCTCCGCATCGGGGGCGCCCGCATTATGTGCGGCGTGTGCGGATTGGTCGGCGCCGGTTCGTAGCTGCGGACCATCACCGGCGAACGCACCATCGGGCGCGGACGGGTGGGAGAACTCTTGGGAGAGGTCAGCGGCGAAAGTGTCTCCATAATCGGACTATGGAGCGGGGGTGACGTCGCTTTGGGCACCAGATCACTGATGGAAGGCAGCCGCAACGCGGTGGGCGTCGATGAGCGGGGCGGGGAGATGATGGGTGACGTCACGGGACTGGACATGCCACTCGATGAGATCAGATGATGAGGTAGTGGAGGGATCAAGCTGAAGGCTGGATGCGCTAGAACGGGACGGGTCGGGGGAAGCAGCTGATTCGTTTTTGCATAAACGTCGATGGTGGGGGTGGACGCGGTGGACTGTTCATGTGGTTTTGTCCCATTAAACCCATGGCAAATTCCTTAGCCGGCGACTGACTAACAGGAGGCGAAGGAGCAGTATCCACAGGTGGTTCACTCGGTGGGGGAGCCGGTTTCGGCTTTCGCGGGGATGGTTTCCTAGGTTTCGTTGGCGGTGTTGGTAGTACGACTTCGTTGTCCAGAACCACAGCAGCAACACTTGCAGACGCGTCTGTTTCTGGTGGCGTAGTGCAGTGGCACTGATGCCACGAGATTGCCTGTCCTCTGTGACCTTGGTGTCCAGCATGGCAACTGCAGATCTTCGTACCGCTGGCATTTGAAACCCTTGGACCATGGGGAAAGTCAGCTAGCCGTTTAGTGAAAGAAGTTGGCAAGCGGCTTCTACAACATACGGGTGAGCCTCGCTCTCATGAGTACCTCCGTCAACGATTGTCGCTGGAAATTCAGCGAGGCAACGCTGCTTTCGTGCTCGGGACAATGGAGGGAGCGGCACAATTAAATGAAATTTTGTTTTTTTGATCTGTTGTTCTGAAACTGTGATGTTACCGCATTTTGTGAAATAAAAATAGCCTTACAAAAAAAAAGTAACAAACGCACATGGTCTATTATCTTTCTCAAACCTAGCGTTAGTTTTAAGTCGCGATGTTAAAATTTCTTTAATCGTACTGCTCGTTGTTTTTTGTGGATTCATTATTTTGTTATGGAAATATGACAGAAATTACAAAATTTGCAAAATTAATTTTTAAAAACAGTATCATCACAATATGTATTAATCGCCACTGGATGGAGCCAAATAGGAGAGTGACTGAAAAAAACTCTTGCGTTTTTTCCCCAGGGTTGGACATACGCCATTGACTTTCCCTCTACGTACTATCCTGAAAAGCGTTGGAATTACTATATGCGCCGTCGCCGTTGGACACGGTCCACGGACATGCCGTTACCGTACCACCGACCGCTGGATTCCCTTAACAAGGACCGATCTCGCGGATGTCAGACTGGCTTTAATGGACATTTCCGCTGGAGGATGTGACGCTTCTGCCCACAGCTCGCGAAGTATCTTCCTATGGGCTGTCACTATCAACGGCAAGGTGATCGTCCGTCGCAACTGCAGTCTCGCCTCCGCTCGTCACCGCCAACGGGATGGCGTTGATGCGCAGCGGCATCAATCGGGATCGGCCGTACGGGGTCTCGTGGATGCTGGTGGAAGCCCCGTCAACCACATCCTTACTAACGCAGATTGCCGTGGGAACGGAGAGTGTCTGGGCGGTGGCGAAGGACGGCTCGGTGTGTATGTATGCCTAGAGGCTTTGTGTATGCCCGTAGTTATCTGGCTGCCGCCTGCCAACCGCCGCGAGGCGCAATGGTTGCCCATTGCGCAGGGTCGTGATTTTCGCCGGAACTGCAGACTGGCAGTGACAGCCGCAGTGTGTCATTTTGACGTCACTAACTACAGGAATTTCGCAGTGCGCCAAAAGGGGAAATGCGCCATGTAACACGCGAAAACGGTCGCACGTTACGCGTTGGGCGTTCTGGAATATCACGGCCATCGGCATCGCCGCACAATTTACAGGGCACATTACAATTTTTTATCAAGCATGTGTCGCCCAGTTGGTAGAGCTTAGTGTTCTATTAATTTTCATGTGATTGTCGCATTAGTAAGCAGCATAATGTGCGAATTCGCGCTGTTTAAACAATGCCAGGAAAAGCACGTGTTGCTATGGGCCTACGATGACTTCTGGCGTAGCGTGGGCGTACGGCTCCCAACCACCACGGGGCGCCATCCTGGCGAGATCGTCAATTGCGCTTGCGCATCATCACACGCGACACGACTCTATGCAACATAATTTCGCCTCCCCGCATACCATATAAACACGCGTATTTATATACAGTGATTACTAGTGCTAGTGATTCAGGTTGTCATAATTTTCTTGTTGTATTTCATAAGTGCTGCCGTCGTTTTTAAGCTTCTGATTCAGAATGAACGCTGCACTGCGTGCAGGGAGTTTGTTGGGACTGCAGGTTGGCGGAATTCTTGGTGGATTTACTGGGGGCCTGGTTGGTTGTTACTGCAGAGAACCTTCAGTAGCATCGAAAACTGGAGTTGCTGTGGGAATGATGACGGGAGCTGTGTCAGGAGCTGTTAAAGGGAACATTATTTATCCGGGACCCATAGGAAGCATCGCTGGCGCAGCTGGTGGGTTTATGGCGGGATCACTGGTGGGATCTTACCTGGCAGTTTTCTTCTATTATCGGTGGTTCGATCCCGGATATGGCACGCCATCCAGCCGAGAACCAATGCGGCCGTCAGTTTAAGTGGATTCCCGTTGGAAAAAGGTTTTTTCGTCATTGATAGCGTTTAGATTCGACATGGCTGTCTTTTCTTTGCCGTGATAGTTTTTTTGTGTTGTTTAATCACGCTGTGGTGAACTTTTTGGTTACCAAAGAGTGGTTTGATTAGCACTTCGCAATTTCGTTTCTGTATTCGTTTTTATACAACAGCTGGAAGGTGTGATCGGATACCGACTATATCGATTCTGCTCTACAATATATAGAGTGTGTTCTTAAAGAAATTTCGAGCAGCGACTGTTGCCGGTATGTTCATTTCTCAAGCATTCTTCGTTTTGCTGGCGGGACTTTCTTCCTTATTTATGTCGATTGTTTTAGTTGATAATTTTCTTACGCTGTTGGCTGAGCCATAAAACAATTTTTCTGAATACCTCCTTCAAATTTACTTATTCCCGTTGTAGTGAGTTTAAACACCCACAAAAAAATTTAAACTGGAACCGAATCACAAGACTGATAACAAACCAAAATAAACTGACCCACATTATCAACAATTTGGAGACTGCAAGATGTCAAATCGAGATTCCCGACAATAGTTCAAACATTCCCGTTGTGCATAAGTAACAAGTGCAATCAGATTCTTACGTAGAGAACATCTATAAACAAAAGAAAAAACAAAAGAGATTAACAAGTCGAATTCAAGTTGGAATTTTCAAGTTCATCGGCAGCCAGCATTTCGGCATTGTACTGCAACATTGGTTTGATGGAATCATGGAAGCGCTGATAATTCTTTTCTAGTTCCCGTTGATATTCTTTCTGATCAGCCGCGATAAGGGTTTTGTTTAATTTCAGAGCTTCCGCACACCTACAAAACAGATCAATAAAAAGCGTTAAATTCCAGCACTTGAAAAATTGCTGAAACCGCAACACCACAACAGGCGGCGTTGTGGTGTTGCGGTTGCGTTGCGGTAAAATGAAAAAATAAAAACACAAAAACCGCAGAAACAAGAAGTAATTGCAAAAACAGCAAAATTATTCCGGTTTGGTAACTTGGTACCGTCTCGAAAAATCTTTGAAGCACAATCGCAATTTATGCTGCAGCGCCGTCATTGGTTGATCGTGTGGATGCGACAGGAAAACTGCGGCTACTTCCAAAGGACCTTGATTAACCGTTGTTCCAATGCAGCCCTACGATTGCAAATGCATCTCAAGTCTTAGATACATTCCAAGTAAACACCAGCAAATCTAACCTGCAGAACCATTTGCAACATTTTGGCATCCGAAGGTTCCTGCTTAATGGCCGCATGTAGTTCTTCCGTTTTCTTCTGAATATCTTCGATCGCTAACTCGATCGGCGTCAGAACCGACTGCTCCCTTGCGATAACTTGAATTCGCGTTTTCACGTACGGAAAAGCCTAGGCAAGAAAAATATCGAAGTTATTTGGTGACCAAAACAACCGGAAATCACAACAAAGACGAAGAAACTTTATTCCTAACAGAAATTTTATTAATTAAATATCACCTAGTCTAAATATCAAGTTTCCTACGCGCAAAACGTTGCATGAAAGTAAAAAAAGGCATCTGTGCAAATGGCAAAACATTAGCAAAGAAAAATCATTTAAATCAGCTGCGAAGCATACATTGGCGGTCGTAACAATCGTTTTCCGCTTATACTGTTCATGTAAATCGCCATGAGCCCGGCCATCCATGGTAAACGGTGTAGAGTACACGAATCGACGGAGATTGTAGTTCTTTTGGAAGAAAGTTTCGCGATTGCGCAGTTCCCATTTATCGAAATGCGGCTCCACATAGGTAATCTGTATATACACCTTCTCCGGATCCAATAGTTCCCGTTTGACGGCATTGGAATCTTTAATGATGTCGACATATTCAGCGCCGTACTTTTCCGAATAAAAGGATTCCAGGCGACTGGAGACTTCCGGTAGCTTTGTGATGACCGGTTCTTTATAGATAAATTCTTCACCGTCCAAATCACCAAATTTCGGTCCATAAAAGCCTACACGGAAGTACGTCCCGAACATTCGCTTTCCAGCCATCCGTTCTATCTGTATAAAGAAATTTCAAATGTAATTCCAAGACTTAGTCAGTAATCCACGCAAACTATGTGTACTGTGCTACGTAGTTTTCATAAAAAACTAGGTATGTCAGCACGTATTCCCAGCATCAAGACTAGCGGAATGAACAGATAGCATCAAAGTTATAACGGAAGCAAATATATTTCCGAGCTAACAAATTTTTTATTATGATTACCGTATAAAAACTTAATCGCAGTAATAACAGTAAAAACAGATAATTAAGATAACAAAATTACCACTTATTGAATATCGAATAATTTTGGCAAACAATACATATAGACACCGACACTTCGTCGAACCAGCCGTAATCCGTACCTTCACGAATGCTTCATGAAGGGTCTTATGAATCGACGCGAGTTGAGCATAATCATGATGAGTTTCCGCAATTGGTATCACAATCTACAACACACCAAAAGACTTCGTTCTCACGCGGTCTCGCTCCACTGTAGAGTTACCAGTGCAAACTGTCAACGTTACTCTATCACAAGTTTTACCAGCGTAGAATGTGGCTGATCTAACCTTATGAACTTCATTCACAGCCTCAAACATTCCGGCTAAGGAAAAGGCACTTGCGGACTGTTCCAACAACGACAACAATCCCGCCTCGGTGAAAGACTTGCCGGTGCAAATGCCCTCTTCATTAGGTGATACAATATCGTCGGACACGGCACTCTCTTCGAGAATATTACTGGAAATTTTTTCAAAAGCCGCGCAACCCAAAGGCAGATATTTCTGCAAATAATAACAAAATTTGAACATGATACACATAAAGGATCACACAAAAATAGAGGAATTAAGTTAAACCATGCTTTTCGTACAGCCACCTTATCTTCCAACAAATGCAGATATTCAGATACAAGTGCCGCGGAATGGATCAAACAATGTGCAGTTTCTGCATACAGCCCGCGCTCGGAATGCTTCTGTGCCATATTAGCCAACCAGGTTAATCGCAAATCCGGCGAATTTTTATAGCCTTTGGCAATGCGGTACATCAAATCCATTAGCATTTCCGGATCTTCCTGATACGCTTTCATTTTGACAGTGTCCGACAAAATCATGTGCAAGTTAAACACCAAATCTCGCACCTAAACAAAACAGTCCCAAAAAAGATTAGATCCCAGAAGAGTTCTGTAAATGCTCGCAGGTGTCGTAAAGCTTAAAGTAAAAGCAGTAAATCACATTCAGGACATTATAAAAAAGGCTTAATACAAAGTAAAACAGCAAAATTATTAGCACCTGTTCTGGAAACGTCGTAGTTTTCAGTTCCGCATCTTGTTCGGCGTATGTCAAGATGGTTTTCAGAGATCGTCGTAAATAGTCTTCGTTCAGATCAGTTATGGTCCCAACAAGAGAGCTGAGGGAAATGGTCACCTGCATTTTCACTCGAGAGAAACTGTTGCCGATTTCGAAATTCTGACGCATGAGCAAGTACAATGAGGCCGACGCCTGGGATCGCACCACCGCAATACTGGAACTACAGTGACTGAGTAAACGCAAGCAGAGATCAGCGCAATACTCCGTTTCCGCTTCAAATACGAGTTCAGGAAATTTTGCAACAATAGACCGCTGACAGGCAAATAAATTCTCGTAGACATATACACTCTGACTACATCCCAGCGCATGTAACAGAACCCGGAAAGCCGCCGCTAATTGGTCCTGTAAAACCCCGTGACTAGATATGACCTGTAAAAAAACCAACGCTATGAACATACCAGTTGTAACTGCTACATTGTCGAATCCGGAACTTAATAAATAAGGATATAACCGACGCTCCCATGCCATTTCCCTTGTCATTATGTAATAAATACAAATATCAAAATCCGCTAAATAAAGCGCAAATTTCAGCCTGAAACACAGCAATGTTTGCCATAACATTATACGCGTCCACCGGTCCACGCAATAATATGCTCACCTGGAAGACTAGCTCAAGACTGTCCAAAATCGTCAAATTAATCTCCGCGCAGAGTACACTTTCCAAAATGGCCTCCTGTTCCACCAATCCATTGGAGTCAGTAATGGGAAACTGCCGCCACAGCTGATCTTTACGATACCGCAGTCCATCGCCAGCGGATGTCAAACTCTGCTGACTGCCTATCGTTGTCCCTCTGGTCTTGGAATGAATGGACCCTAAAATAGCGTCCCCGAGCATCGATTTCAGCTCTTCCCTTTGAACACCAACATGCCCCCGGCTGTGGACACTCCTCGGGCCTGCAGTTCAATTTTCAAATATCAGCACAGCGTAATCGAATAACAATACGAAATGCTAATTTAATACCGGTGTATTCAAAGCAGTGAATGGTAATCTGGAAAATCTCCAAGAGCTGTGCCAGCCGGTGCGGCGGCAACGCCTCCCACCAACCCCGCAACGTCTGCTCGTCAGCCGATTTTAAGATCCACATGAAACCGGCTAGCAGGTGCCGTGTGGCCTCGGCGTTCAACTGCGGTCGCCGGGTCTGACCAGCATCGTAAACCTCACTGGAATCGCGTTTGACCATAGTACCCGCAGTTCCCGCAATAGCCATTGCCACGGAATGCTGAATGCCTGGAAGATTTCCGGCTGCTGTGCGATGACGGTGATCCACCACAAAATCATACAGCTGTGGTAAGGTGTCCATAATAATGCCAATCAGCGGCAGATACAAGTAGGACAACCGGTGACGCAGATCTTTCGTCGCATACCGCGGATCCGCATCATGCCAGCTTAGCAAATTCCGAATAACATTAACCGCCTTCACGTGCAAAGCGGGATTAGGCACCTCGAAGATGGCCATCAATTCAAACAGCACCAAGCCGACCAAATAATGCTGCTGCCGGAAGTTATTCGACAATTCGACGGAGCTGTTCATACTGCTCGAAGAATTTACGGAATTCTGTGATGTCGAGCTGGATATACTGGGACACGGAGACGCCGGTTGCGAGCGAATCCACGTGGTCGACTGGGCGAACGGCAGATTTAGTGGGAAAAAATGTTCGTGCGAAGACAGGATTCGTAAACAGTCAATCTTGAGGCTCAGGATATGAGTTGGTTCCATGAGCGCCACCACCTTGGCGTTGATCTTTTTGCAATAGGCATGCACCCACTGGAACACTAATCCACGATCCAACAGTGACAGGCAATCATAGAAGAAGAAAGACAGACTGGTATTCAATCGGCCCATTTCATGCGCGGATGACGAAACGATGTCGTCCGTGAAGGAGCGTATCAGGGTGGAGATGTTGTCGATGAAGCGCTCACTGAAACGGGCATTGCGAGGATAGTGCAAACGCTGGGCTGCTGTCAGATACTGGGTCATGCACTGGACAATCAGCTCAAAGAAAAACCATGCATGTCGCAAACTGAAATCCCGTTGAGGATTGGCGCATACTGCCCACTGGTAGGCGATCTCTTCATGGGGCAGCCGGCGTCCATGCGGTCCCATTAGGGAACCTGACGAAAAATGAACAACGCAATTAACGTGCTATTTGAACAATTCATGTAAATCCATATTATCCTCACTCCTCATCATACATGGCCATATCATATTTACTGTGTCACACTTTTTGACTCATTTTCCCGATAACATAACAAAATTAAGGAACGGCTGCTGTAATTCTGCATTAACACAAAAACTACTCCTAATGAAGTTAAGACTGGAAACGGATTCCCGAAGTAAATGTTTTTCAACAGTTTACTGTCCGGTGCACCCTCAGAAAAATAACGAAGAGTTCAGACTGCGGTTACGCGGCAATACATATTCAAGAACTGTACGTCAGCCACGCGCATAAACGAAGAAGTTCCAGCTGACTGCCAACAAAAATGGCACAACATGACCGCCATGTGAAACTCGATTCCGGCCAATTAACTTACTAGTATCAGACGTCCCACGAACACTTCCAGTGCGCTCGAAACTGGATACGGCATGGTTGATAGCCATAATTTCACTGGCACTCCGGCTATGCAAATACATATCTGCAATGGAATGTCAACGTCAAAATTAGGCCAGACAGTTATCATTCAACAGTTGTGCTTTTTTGGGACACATTACCTTTGGCAATTTCTTGTTCAGTAAACGAAAACTTTTTAATCCCGCAATGATAATAAATATAGCTTAAAAGCACAGTGTTGCGGCCGTTCTGATCACATTGGTTTTCCAAAAATATCGACACGATGTGCACAATCCCCACCAACCCATCGAAAGCAGCCGATGCCACATTAATAATCTAATTAACCAAAAATCGCATTCAAATAAAACGTGTCGAAACGTCACAACGTTATGCACTCCACCTACCTGGCCGTGTACCAGAGGAGGCTTTACTATCAAAGTCAGCAGTTTTTCGATAATAACGTTAAGGAAGCGGATTAGAGGCTCTCGGGTAGCCATTTCCAGATCTTGGATAGCATCGCGTAAATTGTTCTCGATATTGGATTCGCCAATGTAATTCGGAATCCTAGCGCTATCGATGAAGGAGCATAAATTGAGAAATCTTTCCAAACGCACATCCCCGGTATGAATTGTGGATACTGGGCGTATCGTCACATTAAACAGACCTAAAACATAGTCCCATAAATTTAACAACAATTTTAAAATAATGATGTTCCACAAAAGACCTTAAAAAACCAAACAGCCGTTATTCCGAAAAGACCGGAATATTTGAGTGATTCCAACCAACATTTTACTAACCTTTGTGATTATCCAGCCATTTGGTATTAGGCAGTTGAACGTCTGGATTGATCCTTGAATAACTGGCCGATGGTTTTTCCAACATGATAGGTAAATTATAATCGCCACTAATCAACATCGAATCAGCACCACACACATTTATCAGTGGTAACCAAGTATAACCGATCGGTGTTTCCACTTGTTCACTGGCATCTCCCTTCTTCTGGCAACTGATATGATAAAACGTAAAGAATAAATGATAACCATGCTCGCGATCATCCAGATTAACTGGAAGCTTAATCTTAATCTCATCAGAGAACACAGGGGTTTTGTTATGGTATATCACAGACGAGTACACTTCCGACAAGAACTCGGGACAGCTTGAGCGACCATAAATCACCTTCAGGGGACAATCTTCAGCCCCCAACAACTGCAGTTTAATGGCAATATTTCGTGCGGAACCCGGTCGACTAGAGAAGTTAACAAATTTGGGATAAACATATAACAAATTCCGATACGCATAGTTAGGCGAGTAGACTTCATGGGAGGGAAATTCCAGAATCTCCTTCACAGGGCGCGCACCTTCTTCGCCCAGCGGACGAAGCGGGACTAGTTCCGGCGTCAAACAACCGACGGGCAAGTTCTCCGTGCATGGCGAGATATCCAGTTTTAACAAACCCGGGATACACTTTAGTTTCTTTGTCAACGATGTCGGCCGACGTAGATCCGCTACCATTTTCAAAAGATCATCTTCCGATAACTTGTCGGTTTCATGTCGGAAAAATGTTGGCAGCGATACGGTCACAGATCGAAAACTATCGAGATTCTGGATGGTCTCTTCGCCATAAATACTGCCAGCACGCGTTGCATTACGCGGTAGTGACCCCATCGGGTCAATGGTTCCCCCAGTAGATCCAGTCGACCCGAGAAGCTTTCCCAGTTTTAGTACGTCTAAACCTTTTAAGGATCGATCCAGACTACCACTTTTATTTGTCTGAATCCCCATACCACTCAGTGTTGTCCCCATCGAATTTGAATCTCCTTCGTTGACAGAATTCGTTGGTACCCCTACACAATTTAAATAATAAAGCAATCAATCAGTTCTTATCCCGTCATTTTTCGTCTTTTCTATTATTTCTAGAAGAGAATTGAATTTCGAAGATTTTTATTTTCGATCCTTTAGAAAAAAATTTGTCCATTTGTCAGATCGTGATTGAAATGCCTCTTTGAGTACCAGCAGGATACCACTTTGCAGCAGTTAACAACTACAATTTGGTCTCTATAACAAATCTGCCATCGACGAGCTGAATCGCAGCAGCAGCAATCAGCTGGATATGTAAACAATACACTTGGTAACTCTTGCCCTATGTGAACTTATTGAATAAACCGGAAAGGCATTACATAAGCAAAGCGGTCAATGTGGCGTCCACACGTCTCTAAATAAACAAACTCACCCTGCACGACATTTGTCATGTAGATGGCTGTCCAGGCAAACGGCATCCGATACTTGCCGAGACGTTCGCAAAAGTATTGAGCATTCATATGGGCTTTCTCCTTGTTTTTCTCTTCTTTCAAATAAACTTCAGCACATTCTGCAACGTCACCCTGCTGCAGTGTTTTCTCTAGCCGCACCACCAACACCAAATCCACTGATGCGTTCAGCACATTAAACACACAGGCACGTGACATGGTGCTCATGTCTTCGCACGGCACGTGCATCTCAATCATTCTCTTGACGGCATCCGAGTTGCAGTCAAAGTAGAAATTCTCCGACACCCGCTTGCGCTCCTTAATATCGTACAGGGCAATACTGGCGAACACCGGCTCAATGTCCAGATCCAGTTTCAGCTGCAATACACGCACGGAAATACTGTGGCCAATCTGTTCACGCGGTATGTCGGGGATTACGCGCCGCTCGATCTGCTCCTCCTCATCCTGTGAGGGATAGAGGCTAAAGATTGCCGGTTGGCGCTTATCCTGTCGCTTACGCCGGTTGATCGCATCGCGGTCTTCCGCAGGAAGTCGATCCAATAAACCCGGAATGAGGGCATCTGCAATCGCATCATGCGGGTCAATGCAGAGCATGTTTAAACGTCCATTTAATCGAGCCTGATCTTTTAAACTGTTTTATTTACCAGTACATCAATGAGCACTGCTAACCGTCATAGTTCAATAAAATCCTGAAAATTCACTCAAATTGACAGCAATTGGATCTAAAAGCATCCACGTTTTTCTACATGCCGTTCTGTGGATTTAGTCAATGGATTACAACATGATCGGAAAATACCCTAAAACCATACCATATATTTTTAGTTCGTAAACTGCTAGAATTATTATTTAAATTAATATTTCGCTTCAGTGCAATTTATTATTATGCAGTTTATTATTTTTAATAAACGTTCACTAACAAATACTCGATCCGTCTCAAAACGACATAAAACACTCACAACCACAGTAACGCTCACGAATGTGAAAAGACGATGACTAACTGATTTTCTCGAAAAAAATCGGATGCGAACCAGGGAAAGATTTTTTCGCTTACTTGATAATACAAGAAAAGCTCTAAATATTAGCACCGTAAATTAGTCAAAATATAGTACTGCCAGCTAGCTTTTTACCTGGATTCGACTGTCGCAAATCAAACACCCCGCTGGCCCAGGAATTCCGCGTCCGATCCTCATCGAAAGCAGCCGTGATCGGGCCGCTTGGTCCAACATAGGAACTGCGATCTTTGGCATGCGTCTGGTCGCATTCGTAGATCTGTCGGGGAATGAGATCAATGCGTTCATCCCGCTTCTGCACCATATCCGTCAGGACTTCGCAGGGCCCGTAGCGCTGATAGCGGCGGACGGCCAGCGTGTAATTGGCATTGTACTGACTCAGACAGTCCTTCTCGCGACTATTCAATTCCTGCAGATTCTCCGGCACTACGGCCACAACGGTGCGGGTCTTCTTCTGCAGATTCTTCACCTCGATGTCATCAATGGGAAACTGCAGGAGATGCCGCAGGGCATCGCGATCGATGATGCTCTGGTGGAAGCGGATGAATTCCTCATAATCCACGGGCTCCACGCTGTCCAGGTAGCGCGCGGCCACCTGGGCGCTGAGCACACCGTTGGCGGCCAGCGTGCCATTGATGCTCAGGCTTTTGGGGAGTTCGCTGCCACCGCCGCGTGCACTCTGGATCTGACGGCGGACTTCGCTCGCCTGCGATTTGTTCAGCTTCTGCGCGAAGGCTCGACGCTGTCCCGATGTCGCGGTGGCCATCTGGGCAGAAACAGCGAGGAATTTATTTTAAGGAATTTATCGCCACAACACAAACAACGACGCCATAACAGAACGGTATGCTGTTAACTGTTCCAGTTGGGAGAAAAAATCCGAACAACGAGAGAGCAGTCTAGCTAAATACAATGCATGCCCTAGATAAACACACTGTCATAGCGATCAAATACAATAAAACGCGTCTGTGCACTGATCAGCCATGGGGTTCGTGCGGATTTTCTGAGCACATTTTTCCAAATCAATGATCACGATTCACAGGGTATTATTATTAGCCATAACGCTGGCTAAACGATACGCTAATTAACCGCAACAACAGAATTTGACACGGTGAAAGAGATTGCCAATGACCATAAACAACCACAGCATTCTTTCCACTGTAATTTAATTGTCGGATTTCTCTCTCTTTATGGTTTATCGGTCAGAAAGTTGAAAGTAGCACACGTTGCGCATGATATGCGTGCCGACTTCCGTACGGCAGCGGCAACCGAATGGCAAAAGAAACTGGTTCACAGCGTCTAACGTACGAGACTACGAATGTTGTATACTCGTAGTGTATACATACTGCACCGTATTATAATCTTGTTGACAAGTGAATGGAGAGAGAATTGCCGCTACGGCGTAAGTTTTGATGGGAAATGCGTCTTCTGCAAAAGTCACTGAAAAAACTTTATTTGACATTTTGAATACTTACTTACTTACTGGTACTATGCAGCAGTTTAAAATTTGCAAGCCTAGCCGGCTGATTGTTTAGAATATCAGCGAAAAAACCATCCTGGAAGTTGCAGGTACAGAGGATAGTGGACAGGGGAACACGAACTGAATATTTAAGGATGAGCAGAACCGTACGTATGCAAATTGCAAAGCAATGGGCATGGAATAGCTGGAACACGGAATTGTTGGAACGTTTCCTGCTGGGAACGGGAATACGATAATAATTATTATTATAGACCAACAAAAAGCTAATTAACATCAAGGCTGTTCGGTTTGAAGGTTTTTGATTAATATGCCGGGTTGCCGGCATTACTGCCGACTGACGATATACAGAATTCTTACGATTAATTCGCAACTTACGCTCATCATTGTTCGTACAGCATTCATACTTTATAGAACATTATCATCCTTGAGATTTTTAACTTATGAACTGCAATAAATACTGCACTGTAAAAGTGGTGTAAATTTTTTAATATAATTTGTGTTAGGAGTACAATGGTTCACTGCGGAAGCCAACAATGTTTTATCGTTATTCAACTATACTTCGAAGTATAGCAAAATACTGCAAAAAACTAAAAAATAAAAAAATGCTATATATAAGTCCTCGCATGTTACAGCGATATCCACAAGAAGCTAGATTTCCACAACAAGCTCACGAATACCAAAAGGACACCCTGGAATATATCTGCTTTGTCCTTTAAGGCCGCCTCATAGTTCACCGAAAACGGCAGTTTCGACTAAAAGGTGTCCAAACTTCGAATAACTATGAGGACACCATTCCCCGACTCTCCGTCCCATTTTTACGGATGACTATGAGGGAACATGATCGTGTTGAAACCGAGTCGTCGAAATTCGTGGTTTCGACGACTTCGGTGTAGGAGAGGATGGCTCCTCCCTAATACAGTCTCCGTTTTTTTTCGCCCAATCATACATACGTTTGCCCCAAGCGGCCACTGCCCACCTGGACGCCCAGATTATTAATACACTTATATCATGTATTGTACCTATACGTATGTACTGATTGTTACATAAATCCACATCTAACACAAGCCCTTTTTGTTAAACAGACATTTTAATTACTAAAATAGTTACATCTGTACGTACATTTTTCCATATCTGAAAGTTAGTACATATTATACATGATTTTCCATCTGTAAGCCGTTTGGGAAGTTTACGTAAGTTTTACATCTGCTTATTAAACTGTAGCAAAATGCCTCGTAAAACATTAGCAGCATAAAAAAATTAATACCGAATAACTCGGAATTTAGAGCAGCTGTGTGAAGCATTGCAAGGCATTTGGAGATAACAATAATTTAATATAGAAAGCTACTAATGAGGTATTTTGTGTCAAAAAGTACCGTGAGTGGGTAGATTGCCAAATTGAAAGTTTATGAAAAATTTAGTTTCTCAGATTTGGCAAATTATGCAGTATAAAGTGCATAGTTACTTACTTGTTGAAATGTTGTTTGACCTATTGCAAAGCCTTTACTCACTCATCCTACTCGTAATCGATATGTACTGTACTTATTACCAAACCATACTATAATACTCGGCTTGCCATAAGCCTAATGCCGGCTTGCCATAATGCAGCCTTCAACCGCCCTGGGCGGTGACTTCCAACCGTTGCAACGGGCGGTTGCCTACTTCCTGTCAAAAGAATATAGCCGAAGCACGGACAACTATGAGGAACACAACTTTCGGACACAACGACGGGACGGTAAGTCGGAGTGACCGTGTCGTGGGAAATCCGTGACCACGGAAACTCCGTCAGTGCCGTCCCGTCGAGAAACTTTTTCTCCGTCTCAGAAAACGGTTGACTATGGGGCCGCCTTTACTCTAGACTCTAGAGTCTAGAGTGAAGAAGTACTGTACTGATCCCAGCGATTAGGTTGGTGGTTGGGCTTTACCGGTTGCACACCGTCAACGTTGTCGCATGCTAATGCTATGCTTATAATGTTTTCCAGAAAAAAACTTTCCATGTACGTATCCTAAGACGTTTTAAAATAAAGCTGAAACATTAATTTATTGCTCGCACTACAATCATTTATCACTAATTGTTGTAACTACCTGCAGATCAGCTTTCGCACCAAGTAAAAACATTTTCGTCACGGAGCGGTGTATTATAACCGGACAGCACCAGCAACAGGAAATAAGGTGACGATGTGGCGGTGTCCCTTGGTCAAATCGATAATTTTTCGCTGGCGGCATGATTACGCCAGATAATTGGGAATGCAATTATTGCTCAGATATTTGAAAATATAAAATCCAAAAATAATTAGAATACAGACGGTAATGCGATGGACCACAGAAGAGTGTAGTAAACTGCATTTCACACCGTCAAGAAAGATACTATGTTCACAACAAGAATATATACTTATGTACTAATATTTCATGCAGTAAGGATGTTGCATATCCAATATCCAAACTGTATCCATATCCAATATCCTATCCTGATATATCCATATCCAAGCCCTTCGCCCTAATATTTTGCGGATATTTGAGGATATGGATATTGGATACAAAAATGCGGATATATCCATGGATATATCTTATATCCATGGCCTCAGTGCTGGATATCCACAACCTTATCATGCAGAATCTGTTTCACACTGAACTTCATAATTCCAAGCAGAACGAAACGTGAGGTGATATAATTATTTGAACAACGTCAGCGATAATTTGTTCTCATCACACGTCAAAGTATTGTTGATTTATTTGAGGAAAATCAACGAAAACTTCACAGTTTTGCAGTACTGCCAATGCAGATATCACAGTCAAAGATCAAAATTTGTTTACTTGTTGATGCATGATCGAGTAAGGTTGCATGCACAGTAATGCAAAAAGTAATGCACGTACTTTTTGTATGCAGTACATCGTACATGCACTCCATTGGTCAAGACCAACAAATTAAAGTAAAGTTATTTTAAAGCTTTTATCTCGCTTTGCCTCATGCTTGACACAAGTGAAATTAAGTAATCGGTACATTAACACACAGTATTAGACTATAAGGTAGTATAATATATTGAAGCGAACAGTAACATTATTATGGGTGTTCCAAAAAGTCCGCGCCATCACCTTTAAGCGTTATACATGTCTACTTAATTAAGCGTGACCCGAATAATTGCGCTATTACCAGAGTAAACTGTGGCAATAGAATGAAGTGTTGTTTTTGCCATTCAAACTATGAGCAAACCATCAGGTAAACAAAACGATGCACGCGATTCCATGTGAAAAAGTTAGCCCGTATATTATTTGCACAGTCGCTAAAAGATATTGATTCGCCGACAGTTACAGGCTGTACTGCTCTGTTTTTTTTATTTCGAAGAGTCATTTATGTAAATTAGCTGAGTAAATTGACATAAAATTTAGAGTCATGTTATCACTTATTAGTATTACACACGTACGGTACATGAACCTTACTAATTAGTATGAATTTACCATGGTCCATCTACATGTCAAGAAAGATTTTGAATGACAAAATACAACCTACCTTTTTGTTTTTCCGTTCATTTGCCGTATAAGGGAGCAGACCCATGGCATATATCGGCCGGGGCTAGATGATTGTTTCGGACCTTCCGGTGGCGTCTCTGACTTGGGTGAGACTTCTGGTGCGGACAGCGCAGTCAAAATATTACGACAGTCGTGATTGCATTCAACAGCTTTTGATGTGAGTGTAACAGCGAAAACCAGTTAAATTACAGAAACAGTAAAAAATTGTTTTATCGGCTGGACTGTGTGCGTGATATAAGAAGAGAGCTTCGGAAAAATGTGCCTGTTAGACAGCGAAAGCTGTTGGGTAAAATATCATGGCCAGCAGGATGTACGCAAATTTTACGAGTACAATTGTTTCCCGATAAACTGAACGATCAGAAACCATCCTTCACGAATTACTGGGAAAGTGTACGCGCGGCTAGGCCAGCCAGTTCATCAACGCCGGTAACCCAGTACAGCAAGTACAAATACAGTAGAACGAAAAAAAACGGGAACATATTACACTATACTGAAAATTGGCTGCTGATTGACGGAAAACTGCACTTGCGACGGCGCTAAATATACTTGATGGTGGCACTGTGTGGCTACAGCATCGGGTAGCATCATTAATCATAAAGGGCAGTTCGGAATGCCGGGACTGGCAAACTTGTTTAATGTGTGTCGAACTATCAAATAACTGCGGTAGTGCGATCGAAATTGATCGCCAATTATTACTGGGAATGGGTCAAACCGCAAAATATCAGACAGTTGGTGTCAGTGTACACATGTGCATATTACTGGGGGAAATCACAGATAGTGTGCAAGGGAGTAATTTTCCGACAAAGGTAAAATAATAAGTACCTTCAAATTGTACTTCACTTGTTATCTGTACATTTAACTGAGCTGTTGTTAGTTTTCACGCCGGCATATTAAATTCTATATCCAGATAAATATTGATAAGCAAATAGGTAAATACAGGCACCTTATTGTATTATGACACGAACGCAAACTACAAAGAATCATGATGCAAAAAGATTTGTATTGTACAGTTATAATTATATAGACAGCTGTAGCCTGTGGGCTAACAAAAGATCAACTTTGTTCGAAAATGTTGCAAACGAATCAAACAATTTTTGTACTATTTCTAAATGCGCCTGCAGAGCCAGTCATTCAAATCAGGGATAACTGCCGAAAAAGATATTCCACATCGGGATACTAAAGGCAATAGTAGAAAGAATCAGAATGTCATTCCATACAGGGCGTTGTCGACCAAAAACTTCTTTGTGGATCGTCAGGAGTGCGCGTGGCAACGAGCGTTACTTTGTGGTAGTTCAAATATACATGCGTCAAAAAAGTTTTGAACACGGCGCAGAGGATTACAGGTTATCTTTGAAAACATGCGGTAAGGTCGATCAACCAAAAAAAATAACAAGAGGTCTTTATTAGATCGTTCGAAGCCGCAGATGATGCAAAACCATGCCTCTTAACGCATATTCCGAGCCGAAATTTGTTATAAAATACACTAGCTAATGCACTGTCATCAGCAGAAATTGTTCTTGTCACTCAAACACCAGCTTAGTTTAAGCAGCATATAGGCAAATACAGAGATCACTGGTTAATTTGCGAAAAGGAAACATGCAAAAACTTCAAAATTTAAGCACACAAAGACTGCATAAAAACTATTGATAAAAAGGTAAAAAAATTGAAACAATAAAAGACACTTTTATAAATATTTATTAACCCACCACTTCGGAAATCCTCTCGCCATTCACACCGTTGCGCATTGAAGTAGCTTCCAGCTGCTTTCGGCACTTCCGCTCTTCATCTAATTGTTTGCGCAGTTTCACAATCTCCTAAAATAAAGTAATTATACACAGTGCATTCAAAATGCTGTTGGAAAATTAAGGTAGATAACCAGAGAAATATTAAACGTTGAAGCGCTTTATCTAAAATGCAAAAGAATTTTTCCAATGATTTCTAGGTCCAGTGCGAATGCGTCTCACGCACATACACATACACGATTCAAAAGATATCACAACACAAAAAATCCATTTGTGGATTAAAGGTTTTAAGAAGATGGATACTAGTACAATCACTAATTCTTAAACTCACTGCAGTCATATCTCGCATTTCATCCTTCATGGCGTAGACTGTATCCACCAAGGATTTTTCTTCAAGAAAATTTCCATCAGATCCCTCGATAAATATTTTTTCGTCTTCAGCGATTAGTACATGCGGTGAGTCCAACAATTCTGCTGCCCGTTCAAAAATTAAAACAACTTAAACACAACACAACGGTGCGAGTATGACAAATGCAGAAGAAGCCAAGCCACTGTAAGATGCCGGAAAACTTTGCTAACTAGCAAGGAAACATTAAAAGCAACCCGCACCGCAAAGCAAACGATAAACAAGAAACGCACGCGTCAATCACAGACTGGATGAAAGAAGCCACCATAACTATGGCCGGATCCATTTAAAAGCAGGAAGGCAGCCCGATATCTCTTCCGATTCCAGAATAATTTCAGACTCTTCAGAGTGCGGGATTAAATGAACATCAACTGCACAATGTTTAAGAGGAAAACATGTTTAGTAGCAGTCCCAAAGCCGAAGTACCAAACAGCAAGCATCTCCCCACATCCAATGAAATAACACAGCCCGTATACCCATTTAGTGCGTTAGGAAACCAAAGCAACTGAATACGCTATTATAATAGTTGCTCCTATTTAGCAAATGAATGCCATTATAGTTGCTTCTCACCCGAAGTAACCTTATGGCGGCTCTTGGAACTGATGCAATACGCATCTATAACACCCAACAACAGCGCATCGTTCTCGTATTGCTGAGTTTTTTCGGAAGAAAGCTGATCGTCCGTTTTAGAAGACTTAGACTGATCTACAAGCATGGAGATCAACTTAGGTCGAAAGGAGAAGACAACAAAATTATCGGTGTGCCTGACGCGTGTCCTTCAGTTAAAACGTGAACGAAAGCCAAACAAATCTATGTACCAGCATGTCGCAGTATATCCGGTCGGTACTTATTACACACATTATATCACACAAATACAGTACCTTTTGTTTTTCGAGTAGAAAACTTTCTAGCCAGCTTAGGACTCTGGGAGACAATCGCTGGTTTCTCTTCCTTGGATGGCAATTCCCCTCGTAAAGGTGGGTACGGGCGTAAGCACGAACCAGTCCATATCGGATTGGTAATAATGGGTGGCTTGAAATGTTGTTCGTGTGACGCTGTCGATGGTACTTCGCGCGCTCCCACACCCTTAGGTGGGCTAGGTGGCAGCCCATTTGACAAAAGTTTCGCCTGTGAAATACCAACCTTTACCTTGTCAGATAATAACCATTACTAATCGCAATCATACCGGTTTTGGAAGTGTATTGGACTTTCCAATGGATGGTCGCATTGCTGACATTTTAGCAATCTGACTGGACAAAACTTCCAAACACTGACTGAAGGCTACGTTATCTTTGCAGTCTACAGTCTTCTTGTCCATAGTCTTACTCCATATTTCAAAGGTTAACGGTGACTCTGGCTTGTCCACCGGAACCATTTTGAGTCCAGATAGCGGTGAATGTGCCTAATTTTTTTGCAACTGCCGCTGTAAACGTACGTCCCAAATTGCCGACTAGGAATCTGGGACTTACCATGTACATGAAACAACTCATACGAGGCGATGCGGCCAAAATCAGTAAACAGTCTTCAAATATGACCAAAAACCGCTCTTGCCGCACTCCATGGACGTCATCACGAACTCCCACCGGCAACATAAGCAGAACATCTCCCAGCGAATTAAGTTCCTAGCGACGAAATCCAGATGGTCATTTAAATGAGCGGGACTCCTTAAAGCTACGTAACCTACTGGTCCTTGGTAATCCTGAATGTTTCCCTTCAGAATATCCAGCTCTACTTCTTTTTGCCGACGGATTTCCGCACAGGAATTCTACGCCGCACAGAGCATTATATACAGTAATCGGAAAACGCAGTAATTTCTATGGTGCTGTTTATTAACTGACGTACCGCGATTTCTGTGTAAACCATGACAGCCCGCTGGGTATTGCCTCTGTCAAAGTGGAAGTCTTCGAGATGCCTCTCAAGTTCTTGCAACATGTTTGGGTATTTATCCAGACGCCGAAACGGACGACTAAGTTCCGCGGTTAAAATAACCACACCGGTACGTCCACCAACCAATGATTCACAGAATGTATTTAGCATTTCTCTACAGAAGAATGAAAATGTATGAATATTTCAATATACCACGCAAAGTTGCATTTTCAAACGTTTGCATTAAATTTTTACCTATACTGATTTAGCATTTGGACAGCTCTGGGATGATTTGAGCAATACTTCATATGAGCGTTTCTCAGGGCACTTGCTGCACTCATGAAAACCCCGCCAACCGTTTGTTGCTCAGAAGGTGTGCTACAAAATAAAAATGATCGTAAAAACTGTAAACAGTTTTAGCAGCGGGGTTGACACATTTCTATCGAAGCATACGAGTATATAACGTAAGTTAAGCTGTGACACAAAGACGAATACACTCAAAGCTATCATAATACTGGTGTTTATAACTAATTTGATACAGCGAAGAAAAAGAAAGCAGTTGGTTCTAAAATTCCCTCCATTCAACGCTTACCGAAGAATGTCGTCAAACTGACAGACAAGAGACTCATGGAGCTGTATGATTTCATCAATGTTGCCACACAGTATGCTACAATCATTTTCCGGCAACCTGAAATTTCAAAATGACAGCTCATTTTTGAATAAAAAAATCCAATAGCATCAGTTGTTGCGATAACACTTTCGATCTAACTTGCTTTATGTATCATTTTGGTGACTGCTTCGGCAACGTAAATTACAAAAACGCGAACATATTAACCGAAACTCACAAGTTTGCATTTTTTATTGGTGAAAGCACTGAGCGTTGGAACATTTGCATATCCGCAACATGCTTTCGTTCGCTATCAATAATGTTGCGCAGTACCTATAAACAACGGAATACCCACTATTACAAGCATAAGGATGATCAGCTGGAGAATACAGACAGATGGGTAACGCAAGGCAAATACGTTCATCAAAAATAAAGTGTTTCTACAAAGAATGCAACGTACTTCGTCATAATCGCACAATTTATTTTTTGCACAGTACATTTCTTACGATAATCGATATATATATAAGTGTCATATTTGGTAACTGAAGACAACTACCAAAATTTACGTAAACGACGATAAACTTACCATGGCGCGATATTCTCGACGCGGGTTGTGTACAGGTCCATTTTTCACCGGGGTTTCTGCACAGAGAACACTGTTGAACAATTTCACCTTTCATCGTACGTATATACTACAGATTTCCAGAGTAGTGCCCCTCACCACAGTTTACTACCGAGTAGTACTTAATATGCTTTCTGGTTTCCGCATCTTTTTAACAAATTCTTTACATATCAAAAATCTATTTCTTTTTCGTATACGATAAAAGATTCGTTAAAACACGTAAAATTTCACCAACCTTGGCGATATTCGGTGACGAAACTTAACGGAAACCATCCGGTTTCACCGTTCAGCGTTCCTTCCCACCAACCACCTTCCAGTTTCTGTGTAATAGTAATCACATCTCCGCGACGAAAACTCAGCTGCAATTGGATACAAAGGCTTATTGTTAAATGTAAACGTCATGCAAGAGAAACTTCTAATTTATTACCTCGTCCGTGTTCGACTTTTCGAAATCGTAGATAGCTTTAACTCGGCAGATGTCGGCCATTTAATTCCACGGCCTATGACTACTGTTCGGAGTGGCAGTGCTCAATCACCAGCACATCCAACAGAGGAGAAAGATTTCAGTACCGGTACTAAACATGCGGAATCGAGCTAGCGGATAATTTCTGGGATCAGCCTCTCCAAGAATTATCCTCCAGATGTATTATTTTCGGTGCTGAAAATCATTTTATACATCGGTACATGTGCTACCGCCGTCACAAAATAAAAAGACGACAAAAATAAAATGTTATAATTTGCAGTGTACAGTCTAGACGACTGATGTGCCTTATTAGCCCTTATAAGAGTTATAGCATATCATGTAGCCTGAATGCACTCTAACTGGTTGGAAGAACAACTGAATTAAAATTCCAGAAGATATTCATTTTTGGTTTTAAATTCTTCTAATTCCTTATCAGATTCAACACAATACGTAATCAAATTCGTAGTCAGTGATTTGCCACATACGCATGCGCATGCCGTCAAATTTCGCCAACACATATACAACAGCTTCCCTGAAAATTGGGCTGAAATCCAAAAATGCTTACCGTTACGGCTTGCATCATAAAAGGAAACGATCCCTATAACTTCAATTGGTGATGAAATCGATAAAACTGGTCAATGGGCAAGTGGTAAACGTAACGTCGATATAAACTATAAATAAATTATGAATATAAAACAAAAATTAAAAGATTTAACGGTCCCTGAAATGAGAAAAGTGGCAAAAGAAACAAAAGACACATGTAGGGTCCGTTTCGTTCAGTTTTTGACAGTCTAACAACAAAATCTTCTTTTAAAAATCTAATTGTTTTCGTTTTTCTACATATTATTCTCGATTTCGAAAAAACTGTACACAATGCAGATAAAAAGGTTAATAAACGATCATTTTCGTACTGAAAACAGAAAAACTGATTCTTAAAATCAGTAAAATGTAAAAAGCTGCAGCTACGCAAATGTTTTGATTTCGGGAGGTGGGCCGTCAGCTCGACCCGATTATTTTATTAGTGATCCGAATCGAACTGCTTCTGCTCATGCAGGCAACAGACTGAACAGAGCCGCACTGGCCCGCACAAAAGGGCCATATCCAGATGGTCGGCTAGACGGTCGGTCAGACCGTTTACCTCACGGCTTGAATATCTTCCAGAGCCGCTTGCCAAAAATTGTTTGCGCTCCCTCGCTCGGGCTGCTTTATGAATCATGGCAAGCTGGCCTATGAGTGCAGACTGCTAATGTGCAAACCAGCAAACACAAAAATTCCAGTTCTTAGTCCAAGTTGTCATTTATTTTCAAATCAAAGTGCTTCCATTCCTTTTCTGTGATTTATAACCGGAAGTTTTAAGATGATGGAGCCGCGTGTACTGATTCAGATTTCAGATAATCGACATTTGTTTGATTGTATTGCTCAGGACGTTATAGAAATTTTGTGAAAATCACTCTGGGTACGCTCAGTTCCACGACTAGTATCGCACTCCAATGTTGCGTTGATTGCTTCGTTTATTGTCTGATTTCTGAGCATGTCTGGAAACCAGGAACCTCGCCGTTCAGCCCGCCTGCAAACGCGGGATCCCCATCAAAAGTCCAAGCTTCATGAAGATTTTGAAACTGAAACGAAAAAGCCACCCGCTAGCGCGAATGCTGCTGCTGTTGTCGGGACAAAGAACAAGCGTGGCAGACCGTGCAAGCCAAAACCTACTGATGATGAAGCACATGCTACTGCTAGTAAAGACCCAGAAGTTGTTTCTGGGAATGCTGGTGACAAGCTTGCAACGGATTCGTCTTCCAGTTCAACGGTATCTCAGATGGACAATGAGGCTCCTGCTGTTGCAGCCGTGATATCAGACAGCGAAGCTGGTGGCTCATCAGCAGCGAAACAACAGACCAACAAGAGCTCCGTGCCCAAGAGGCTGGCCCACACACGCTCGCTCGAACGTAAGCCGATGGCATGTACTGCCCATAGACATACATACATGCATTTACGTTGCACAAATAATCCGTTAATCGATTTCTACGGTTCGGTTTTCATTAGGCTGACATTAATAAATTCATAGGCATTCGAATGATATACGCTGGGCTAGTTATCGATTGGATTTGGACAAATAACTCATTTTTGCACTAACCCTATTAAGCCATATTACAGTTTTGAGTTATGTCACTTTTTTTAACGACGCCTTAATCACGTTTATGTGTCAGTATGGGATATATTATTTTACGATGGCATGGGATATAATATTTTACGATGTCTTATTTCATTTGAAAAAATTAACCGATAATCCAGAGCATAAAAAATAGTGTTTCTTTTGCCTTTCCCAATCGAAATCGGCAATGAGTCGGGGATCATTCTTGTTTTCTTCGTGAACTAGTAAGTAGTAAGCAGTTCGAAGGTTTATCGATAGAAAGCGCTTGTTATTTTGCAGTTACTGCTTAAAATTTGGATGGTTTGAAGTTCCAGTGTGCTTAGTAACTATCTGTGTACTGTGTTATAATAGTCTTTTGTTTTTCGTAGCTAGTATTGTTTTATTTTCTGGCATAGATACACAGGAATGTAAGATATAGATGGCAAAGGCGTCCGTGCAACGAGAAGGCGATGGAATTGCTAATGAACTTGCCATGAACAGTTTTGCTGTTTAGGGAAACCAGGCAGGCCACCAGGGAGACCACCTCTTAGTGGAGATACAATGCCTGCCTCAACCAGTAGTTTGGCCAGCGAGAAATCTTTGGATTCAGCTGCTGCCGTTTCCCGTCCAGTGAAGTCTCCAGTTATTGTCACCCAGCGATCGGGTACAAGTTTGCCTGTTTTCACCAAACCAGCCACCAGAATGACGTCCATCGTTAAAACTCCTCTGGCTGCGGCTGTCGTAAAACCCCCGGTAAGAGCAGAGGGAAAGGAATACGCCAGTATTCTCTCGGTTGGCCGACCAAGAAGTTCCACAACTGGTGCAGAACAACCCGAGAAGCACCGACTGGTTGTTCCTTTTCGCGACCCGTCGACATTCGAAGCCAAAGATGCCAAAATCGAGCATGCGATTACCACTCCCGAACCCGTTCCATTGCGACGCTATTCCACAGGAATAGGGAAGCAGGAGCTGGCTGCCGATAATGGGAAGCCTCCTGCAGCACCGTCCAAAGGCGATTTCACTGTGGAGAGGATCACCAGACCACGGGCTGTATCATCACATGTGCCTAAGAAAACCAATGTCGCGGAGAAATTGTCAGGCGATTCTGCGAGTGCGGTGCTAAAAAGCAGAAAAGAGCCCGATGATAGCGGTAAGTACTGTATTTGGGATTGTTTTAGGTTTTGTATAGATATGTAGCTGTACATTTTATGTAGCCACATTTACCACACGGTGTATATATCCGACTGTGATTTTTAATATTATTCATTATTTAGATAGTAAGTTGATACAGGGTCCTAAAAATGAGTTATCAACTGATTATGGATACGCCTCATTTTTTGTTGAAGCACTTCTTGAATAAATTGATTCTTTGTATTATGCAGATGTTACCGGAAGCATAAGCGGATCAAGTGGCGTCAGTATTGCGTCTACTGGAGCTTCCAGCGGAAAAAGTGTCTCCAGTGTTACAGAAAAGAACACCGTACAACCTCCTGCCCATGCGAATGAACCACCACAGAGGACACTCAAAATTGAGCCCAGTGTTAACCCGAGATCATCTAATCGCCCGGGCAGACTTGTGGTGTCTCAAGATCAAGTCAGTCGTGCCAGCTCGTCGCACAGTGCTTCGTCAGAAGAGATAGCTAATAAGCAAATACCGAAGTTGATTTTGCAAAAAGTCAAGAAAAATCCTACCGTTTGTGTTCGCACACCTGTTTCTGTGGGACAGAGCACACCATCTTTCCGATCAAATCCCATTTCGCCGCATATTTCACCTGAGAAGGCGAAGGTGACTCCTCCTCTGTCGGATTCTGGTACCATCAAAAAGGCAGCAAAGTCTGTTCAAAAGATACCAACGGGTACCAGTGTGATAATTAGGCGAGGTGATATAAATAAAGCGCCATTACCGGATGTTCCTGTTGTATCTACGGAATCATCACGTAATATCCCACCTTCGACCGTTACCGCTGAGACTAAGCCAGCTCAAACAGGTACTATTAATTCTGTTGCTACAATGGACATGTGTCCTGCGGTCGTGGACTCCATGTCTTCATCGCACGTGGATGAAACAATTGATGAAGTTTCCAAAGGAAACTTCGTGCGCTCAATTGATTCTGATTCTACTTTGACAGCCTCTGAGACAGAAGCAATTGAAGCTCGGATGAGGGAGAATCGCAAGACGAAAAAAGATCCCGACTCACCCAAACGACCTGTCAATAAGCGCCAGAAAATAGATGGAGGAGCTTCTGTGGATCCCTTGGTGGCTATCCAAGGCTCATCGGGACGGAAAAGCAAGAAGGACGTTGGTTCTCCAAAAAAAGCATCGAATTATGGAGAGAAGAAGCCAGTTCGTAGCAGTTCACCCGGGACAGTGACTATCAAAACTGAACCGAATTCTGTTGAGGATGAAGTAAAACGCGAGAAGCCGACGTTCGATTCCAATCCGATGCCGATGGATCCGGACACGAATGAGTCCGAAAATCGCGTGGGTACTCCGACTGTTCCGCAGACCAACGGAAAGGAGGCCAGTAATGGGACTGATGCTGCTCCACCGGTAGAGGTCAAGCCGGACATACCAAAACTGGCGTATGTGTTTGTCAGTATGGAAGATTTCAGTGATTCGGAGGATGACTGTTCCAGTTTGATTAGTGACGATCTTTCTGTTGATTCTCTGACAAGTCGGAAATTATTAACTGTAAGTGAAATCCAGCACACATACCGTCGTCGGTGACTTTTAGGTGACCTTTTTATCTTAACCCGTTGACGGGCATTGGTGTCTGGAAACGACAAGGTGTTTGAAAATTTTTCCCCGGAGATCGGCAACAGTTAATCGTTATCCCGTACCATAACAAGCAAAAAGGGGCTTGTGAGCAGCAGTAAAAATATAATTGAAACTATTGTCTCAAGTTGATTACGAACGGCAAGTCCGCGAAAATCGTTAATTTTGGACTTTTCTAGCTGTCGTAGGTCTTGCTAATTATCTAATTAGTGATTGAATAATTAAACCGGAGATAAATCAACAAGGTACAAGTGAGGACGCTTTATCTAAAAACGCTTAACACGGGTTCAGAAGATTGAACCATAGATGACCACAGTCCGTCAAAAACGTGTGTCGTCTGCCAATACCATTGCCCGTGAAGGGTCTTGAATACACGGGCGGGTGCAACTGCGACATCAGCGCTTTATTACGTAATCGGATCAAACTGTTGTCGGTTTGTACACAGACATGCGCCACACGGTTGCAGGTGTCAGAACGTCATTCGGAAGCTGGCAAAAGCCAGAAAGCCCTTTTTCAGACCAGCACCCCGGGCGGTCGGCGAAGATGCAAAATCATTTCAAACGTTGTCCGCCTCCGGACAAAAAAACGTTCAAGCACTTCTGCGCACTGCCGCGTTTCTACCTACGCTAGCGGTGCACGCAAACAAATTAAGGGAGCCCGGTAGCTTTGGAAAACAGAAGAATTTTACTTTTTACCAGCCTCTGGCATTTGAAAATAGCAGTTCTAGTGATTGCAAACTGTAATGTGCACATTGCTAGTGGCGATGCTGACCTTAGCGGCAGTCTTACGGGTTACTTCCGGCTAATGGTGCTATTCAAAAATTGCTAGTGCATAGTGATAGCTTATATCTGAATCGGTGCCTATCATCACTTCGGTTGCACCATCTTCGCCGTCTTTGACAGTGCCACCTGCGACCAAATCCAGGGAAAGTGCAACCGCGGACGATGCAGGCATCATAAAGGCAGCTACGCTTGCCCGAAATGCAGCAAGTGTAATGTCAAACTTCATAGAGAGTGCTTAGTGCAGTACCACATGCAATTTTATTAAGCATTATGGCAAAGAAATATCGTTAGCATATTTTTTTATGTATTCTATCGGGTAATAGTAGTCAAAATACATGGAAACGGGTTTTGGCAGCTTTTAGTTTTTTTGCTGACCAGTGGTCAGTGTGTTGACCACTTCCATACTGCGGTTTTAAAGCACTTTTTTTGAGCTACTTAGTCAAGTTATTGCTTTTACGTAATTGCCGTTTGCCTAATTATTACAAAATTAAACATTTTTATGCTGTAGACTGTCCATGGGCATTGGTGTTGGCAAACGACATAGTCACCACCGCTGACCTATGGTCAGCACAAGCTCACAAAAAATTTCCTATCTTAATTGATTTTTTTCATCGGGAAATCCCGATTTTCAGAAGGAAATTCGCACTCCTTCGGGTACCGCCCGCTGGAGGGTTAAGGTCGTTAAATTGTATGCGACTTTGGCGTATTTAAGGGTTTTCTTTTCCGGTGCTTTCAGAATTTAAAATATTAAATTTACTTGGTGTTTTTTCGAATTTACTGTACGAGTTTTAGGGTTAAACTGCTCATACTAATATGTGAAGTATTTACTTGAAAATTCTTTTAGTTCGTGTTGTGAAATTTTTTGATAGTTCTAATCTTAAGTTCATGCTACATGGGGCGTAACGTTTTCTTGGGCGCTTAACGTTTTCTTACACGATTTGTTGTCCGCATTCCCCACTCCTCATTGTAACGCTCGCATTACCAAATTTTCACCCACCGTGTCGCAGACGCAGCGGAAACCCAGCTATCCTCCTATAAAAATTAATTAAAATTTTTGATTTTGTTCGTTATTTTCTGTGATGCCCTTCTGTCACGTAACACACCTTTCCGACCGTCCAGCCCTTGAAACAAAAAGTAGTGAAAGTGGGACCACTCCCTATCCTCTTGTGTTACGTAATAGTTGAATCGTGCCGTATGGGTTTGTTTATCCAGTGTATTGCTTTAACCTTCTGTTTTCTGTAGCAGAGCGTTTCCGTGCCTTGCCCATCTGTAGAACCTATGGAAGAAGTACAGGATACACGATTCCGCACTCGAATGCGATCCATGTCCGTTTTGTCTGATGGACCAATGGATGTGGCCAGTCCTGTTCCTCTGAATAATATCGTGCCAACCAATGATGTTTCGCAGATTACGACTGCTGCCCCTGCGACAGAGAAAGGTTCCCATAAGAAAAAGAGTGCTGCCCAGAAGGAGGTGCACAAGATTGGTACCATGCCGCTGACGGATCTCGGCAGATGGAAGCCTAGAGACGACATGAAGTTGATTATGGCGGTGCTGGAAGTAAGGCTAATGACACTCTGGGACAGGATGAAGGAATTACGTAATCGAGTTAATTTCTTGTTTTAGTATCGTGATCTGTTGGTGGTTCACAAGCACGCGAAGTTCTCTTGCCACTTCACTTACGTGGAAATACAGGAAAGATGGTTTAACCTTCTCTACAACAAGAAAATTGCCAAGTATGATGTTGAAATTGTTGCAGTAAATTGAATGGCAGATTTTTATTGTTCTGTTGTATTTCCAGGGCTGCATGCCAAGCAATGCGTTCCTCCCCTCCCGATATCATGCGCAGTGTCCAAAGAGAAACCCCGTTCACCGAAGCGGAAGAGGCGTTGCTGCTGGAAATTCCGTTGGTAGGATTATCTCTGCTAGCGCACACTGCAAAGCCTATCGTCGTAGAATATATGTTGATTTGAGTGCTACTTTGTGTTAGTTTTCAGAGATTGATCTTTTTAGATTGCTGAACCCGTCGACATTTCTACATTCGAAGTGATGCTGGAAGCTAATCCGAACGTTTTCCCACCGTTTCGAGTGGCGGAAGATCTCTACAAGCATTGGCAAGTGTTGCTGGCCGAAGGGCGGATTGAAAATTCTGACACGAGTAAGGGTTTTCCAGTCGTGTAAAGTTTTATGTTTATAAATCGCAATGTCGATATTTATCATAGTTTGCACGGTACCAGAAGATAGTGTCGTAATTAACACCGAGCGGATAACCAGCTTTGCTGAAATGGAATCGAAGATGAAAGATGCGGATTTGAAGTAAGTTTCCTATTGCCTTTTCATAAACTGAGTACATTAGATTTAAAATGATGCGTGACTGTTTTGATAGGAATTGGACGCACGTCAGTGGTGAATTCGCCTATGGTAAGTAGGAAGATCGAGTACGCCATTACGAATTCGCTTTCTTACTTTCCGACCATGGCTGCAGAAATGGATAAACTCCACCGGCAGAATAGGGAACGGTTGATGAATGTGGATAAAGAAATTGAGCATTTACGGTTTCTTTTAGAAAAGGCCATGAATTACGAATTACCGGGTATGTTTGTCTTACTTTAATGCTGTTACAAATATTAATTGTTATTATGGGGAACAGATTTTACGCGACCGGAGTTTTCCTCACCCCAAGATCGCAGTTTTGTTGCGGTGCTTCTTGGTCAGCGTGCAAAATATGGATTAAGAACTGGAAAAGTAAGAGATTGTTTCTGCTGAGTGCCGACTTACTCGACAGTCGGCTGTGTAAAAGAGAACTGGAAAGTAGACTGATTAGTTATATGCTTTTAATGGGCGCAAAATAAAACACTACTAAAAACATAAAATAAGAACGAAAAACCTGCTGAATTGATGCGGCGGTTACGCCATAGTGTATTATTATGTAGACTTAACAAATGGAAATGCATTGTTTTTGTTTCATCAGGTTTCATTCGGTCGCTGCGTGCCCGGGCATATTGTGGACGTTGATCTTTCTGTAGAAGGCTATGCAGGACGAGTGTCAAGGCTGCAGGGTTACGTCATCTTGGAACGAAATGGGATATTTCGCATCGAAAACCACGGTCGACGTCCCATTACGGTAGACGAAAAAGTGCTGCATTACGGAGATTTCTGCGTATTGCCAGATGAAGCAGTAGTTCAGGTTCGAAGATTTGTGCACCTTGTTTGCCGTTGTACTGATGACTTAAATGTGTTATCTCGTCTTGTTTTGCAGATCTCCGATATCTTTCTCCAGTTTTTCGTAAATACTAGTCGCGTGCTGCGCTTTCTACGGCAGAAATATTATGGTGAATGGGTTTCTGATGAAGAAGGCGAAGAGCCAGATAAAGACAGGAAAAAGGCGCTAAAGAACTCCAAGAAGGCTGCCAAGCCGAAGAAAGTTACGGATGAGAGCATATCAGATATGATACCACTGGATATTCATATTCCGCTTCCATCGCAGCCAAAACCCAAGAAGGCGCGTGCTAAGCCAAAGAAACTCCCACCAGAAACAGACGCGTCTGCAAGTGTTGCTGCTGTTGTTCTGGACAATGAAGCCGTACTACCGCCACCGAAACCGAAGAAACCATCCCCGCGAAAGCCGAAACCGGCTCCCCCACCGAGTGAACCACCTGTAGACACTGCTCCTCCGCCTCCTGTCAGTCAGTCGCCGGCTATGGAATTTGCCATGCGCTTAATGGGGCAGAACCACATGAATAGTCCACCACGTCCACCCCCACCATCGACGTTTATGCAAACGAATCAGCTGCTCCCCCCGACCCGTCCCGTTCTCGCGCATCCAGCCTTCAGTTTGATCCCTCCACTACCTCATCACCTGATCTCGTCGAGTGGCATGTCCAGTCCCGTGACGTCACCCACCATCTCCCCACCCCGGTCATCGACGCTCACCGCGCTGCGGCTGCCTTCGATCAGTGATCTGGTGCCCAAAGCGGCGTCGCCCCTGCTCCATAGTCCGATTATGGAGACACGCTCGCCGCTGACCTCTCCCAAAAGTTCTCCCACCCGTCCGCGGCCTATGGTGCGTTCGCCGGTGATGGTCCGCAGCTACGAACCGGCGCCGACCAATCCGAACACGCCGCATATAATGCGGGCGCCCCCGATGCGGAGCTTTGCACCCATGATGGACAGTGGACAGCCGCCGCTGCCCACATGGACGCTGGCACCTTTGCGGAACACGGCGCCTAGCAGTGAATCACCATCCGGAGTGATGCGAGGAGGTGTCCCGCCGACGAGCCTGGTGGGTTTCTCTGTACTGTCGGCGGGTCCGGGGCTGCCAACGGCGGGCGCTAAAAAATCTTTTAATAAGGCCAAGACTGTGTGTGGTGGCCAGATGGGTGCGATGGCGGTTCAGATGGGTGATGTTCAGCAGCAGCAGAGGCTGGAGAACGGTGTGCAACAGGAGAGTATGGTGTCCAATCCAACGAGTACATCGGCATAAATTTCATGTTGCGTGGAATTTGTTGCTTAGAGGTTTTCACCATATTGTTGATTGTTGGCGACTACGTTTGTAGAGCACCCTTATGCAGTTGATGGATGCTGGCGAAAATATTTATTTTTGTGTTAAGTTTTTGAATTATTTTACAATCCGGAATAAGCTCTTCTTTGCCGTGATAGTTTTTTTGAGTTGTTTAATAATTACGCTGTGGGGAAATTTTTGGTTACCAAAGAGTGCTTTGATTGCACTTTGCAGTTTCGTTTCTGTATTCGTTTTAATACAACAGTTGGAAGGTGTGATCGATCGGGTACCGACTGCATCGATTCTACTCTACAATATATAGAGTACGTTCTTAAAACTTCGAGCAGCGACGGTTGCCGGTATGTTCATTTCTCACGCATTCTTCGTTTTGTTGGCGGGATGTTCTTTCTGATTAATGTCGATTCTTTTAGTTGGTTATTCTCTTGATGCTTTTGGCTGAGGCATAAAACAATTTTCTGATTACTAAAGCAAAGAAAAGTCATCTTTAAATTCAGCTGCAGTTTTTGATTAACCATCTAAATTGTACAAATATATATTCCGCAAACCGTTGGGTCTTTCCGCACGACCACTTTATCAGGTATCAGCGAATAGTGAACAGGAGCACGTAATATGATCTCCTGGGAATTAGGTTGTTTATTCATTAGGAATTCCCATTAATAATTACTGGGAAGTGGTTAGCTATAAGTTGCGTTTGAGGGTCGGGGTTTGGCAGTGGAGGTGATTATGTGTGACGGGACGTTGCGTTATTTGTGATTAGGAGCGGATGCATAAGGGAGGAAGACGGGCTGTTCAAGAGACAATTTTGAGAAAATGCGGCCAGGGTTATTTATCGATTTATGCCTTGGAGACACGGTATCAGAAATACTTGAATAGGTTATGTAGCTTAATAACTTTATACTCTCTGACATGAAAATTTAATTTTCTCACTACCAGCCGAGGCCCCTTCAGTTGTGGCCCGGGAGAGAATACTTATATCGCTATGCAATTTGGTTTAAGTGTCTTTTCACCGGAGTGAAATACGGAGTAATTGGCCTATTGTGTGTGCGGGGAAAAAACGATGACGATGGGGCCTGTGAAACTTGTTCTTTTGTACAAGACACTGCACTGGCGGTGGCAGAATGGCACATAAACATGTTGTTTGCCAACGGATGGTTACTGTTACACACAGATACACACGTTGCGCTCTCTTCCCAGTACCGACCGGCGTGCTGACCGGCATGGGTAATGTACGTGTGCAAAGGGTGGTGGTGGTCCCGTTTTTACTTTTAATTATACTCTCCGGCGTGTGGGATTAAATCTATACGGTGGCTTGATCGATTGGCCTGTGGAAAAGTGTGTTACAGCACCGCGTCCACTGCGCCTCTTATACATATATACACTCCAGTTGAATTAATCCGCACCCTCTTGGAACGCAGCCTCTTATCCCGATATTTGTCGGGCCTCTACACGCGGGTACATTTTTTATTGCCACATTATAATGTAACTTGGATAAAGTTTGCTCATCAAGTGGATAGTGGTTTAAGAAGGAGTTAAATGAAAAGTTGACTGCTTGAAGATGGGTGTGGGGACATTTTTTATCCGTGGGTGTAATTACTCCATATTGATCTTGTCCCGGCTAATGGGGCGTTTGATCTGTTATCGCTAGTGTGCGTATATCCGCTGTTTTTTACCGTGTCGTTGCGCATAAAAAACGATGTTTTGACTTCGCGATGTGAGCGAAATTTGCCGGATTTTCACTTTTTTTCTGGATGGCAATTATATGCGGAGAAATGTAAGAAGGGGAAACTTTATCCGGGTTATACGACCTTTACACAAGCGACGTGATTCGGTTATGTAAGTCACATAAAGAGACGTCGAGGTTTTTGTTCCGTTACATATGAAATGAGGCTGGGATGCTTGTTTGCATTTCTCTTCATGCCGAATGATCCTTGTCGATCTTGCACTTTCGACAAAAGCTTAATACGCTCGGTAGAAAGTGTGCTGATTCGCTATATCGACTGGGCCATTATTTGTAGTAACTAGTAAATCTTATACAAATTCCAATGGATATTGAATAAGTAAATAACCCCGGAGTTTCCAGCGGAAATTTGCTCCGTTAGATTCACATTTTTTTCTACACGGCTTTCTTTACTTATGCTGAATGTACTAATTACGCTGCAGCATAATACGGTTGAAAAATCAAACACTGTGCGTATTTACATGATCGTGGTCCCGTTTAATACATGCTGAACTTCGTGACTAATTTGGACTTCTAAACGTTTTCCGATATGGACAACAGCTCATGCGGTTAAGCAGTATTGATTCGTGTTCGCATAGAAAGTAGATATTAGGCAAGTTAAACGGCTGCAAAAAGCCACAAAGTATAACAGAACGGTGTGCGAAAAATAAATCGTTTTGCTACACAGAATTATTTTGGGCCTTTTTTCCACAAAACTCTTGTAAGTTATTTGTATTATTTTTCGCAAACCTGGTGACTACAAAGTCTACAAGCACATCATCGCCTTCATGGATTTGGCAATGTGAAAATAGCGGTGACCGGTGCGCAGTCGCACTACAGTAGTATTTTGGAACTGCTGCGCTGTATATCCTATTATCTGTATTACTTAATTAAAATAATGATCGTATTGTGTGTTAAGCATAAAGACCTTCATAAAATGCTAAGTGTATACTTATGTGCATGTGTGTCTTGAACCATTCTACGAGTTGGAAAACACTGGTGTATTTTTACTGTCGAAGTATTTAATAAATAATTCTGTGTAGCAATCAGATCCCGCATGTTTGTATCGGAGCGTAGCAAATTAGCAGCGGAGCTGCTTTAAACGTGGAACAGAAGTACCTAATTTGCTGTAGCATCTGCATATCTCTTGAAACATCATAGCGTCTTAATTTGCATGGCAATGTCCAAATGTTTATGGCGGTGTAGTTATTCTTATCGTATATCTACAGATGACCTTTATTGCCTGCACATTTACCGGAACTGGAGTATGTTTTTTTGTCGTTTGACTGACAAATGATTTTTCCCGTTAGTCAAGCGCATATTGATAACATCAGTACATTAACGATCGGTTTCCAGGGAAATTGAATGACGGCGCAGGAAAATGGCATTTTAGTGCCCGGTTTGCAGGCTGAAGTACGCAGACAACCTTGGGGCCCGCCGCAATGCCGGTTACGCACCAACATTGTCATTGTGCAAGTAGGCATGATGCGCAGCCTGGGCACATTATGAGAAAGAAGGAAAAAAAGTAGCATTTTCCCGGCCGATGATCCTGCACTGTGAGTTATAATATACGAATACAAAGTGCGTAATGGGATTTTGAATTCCTGCTCATGGAGACGACTGGGGTTGCCTTAATGTGCAGTGAAAAGATGTTGTAATGAGAACGAAGTGCGTGGTTACAGAAAGGCATAATTAATCCCCGCGCCGGAAAAGGGCCGTTGTGTGTTATCTTGTTTCGACGGCTGAGCAGTCTTGAGTGGGATGGCATTAGTGAGCTGTATGGATAAAGATATAGTTTAAGATGGGAAAAAAACGTGTAAAATTAGAAGAAGATTCCGAGGTGTTTACATTCACGCCTTGCTGTTCACTGAATTAACGCAGTCGTGTATTTTGATTACACTTGACGAGCGTAAATGGCTCGTTACTACTGTTTTGGGTTTACGTTGTCCACAGCAGTCCTGTAAAAACTGTGCGCTGCGCAAAAATGGTTGTAAATTTTAACTAACATAATTTCCATTTGATTTGATTTTCCGTTGGGGAAAACACACCGCTTCTTTTTGTTGGATTATTTGTGTTGCTGCGGCAATTTTTCGATCATACATGTAGTTTCTAATTTTAATGGAATTACATATGTTGTTGTTTGTATTGTTTATATTTTAAGGGACATTAAAATAAATCAATAAATCAGGACACTTTAACTGTTTTTCGGTTTTCGGTAGGACGTTTGCATCTCGTTATAAACGAGTCACACTGCCTGTCAGCAGTGTCGTTTGTCGTTTAAATGCTCTTTCATTAGTCCTTCGTCGAGCGATTTCGTTAAAAAATACAGAGCAGAGATGAAAATAACCCACGTGAATAATATTTGGCGTTTACCCGGAGTTTGCGGTTACGCGTGTTTGTTTGTTATGCCGTTTATGTTGGCATACATTTCCCTCCGTCTGCTGCTGTCGTTCGCCTTTAAAAAGGATATAGAGTTATTTACGACGTGGAAAATTATAGAAAGCAATTTGTCTTCCCAGCGGTTAATATAAATAACAGGATGTTTCACCCGGTCGGTCGGTATACGTACGTCTACGTGTATGTTTCCCTACATAGGGAAACCCTGGGAAATTTCGTCTCCACTGTACGCCATAGCAGCAGTGATATTTGACTAACAGACGATTTCCTGCGCGCCTACCAAGTGATTATGAATAAGTGCGGGCCTGCGGGATATTGGCAGATGGGACACAAACAGTTACCAATACTCCTCTCCCTGTAATATATTACCTAACATGCATCGGCTGATGGTATGTACGTATTGTGTGCAGCCGGTTTTAATGGCGTTTCGCATGCACGCACTGTAATGTCACCATGCAGGATGGTTTTCTGTTGTAATGCAAAACAGTGTGGAAGATGCGATGCGATTTCCTTTTTGGTACAATTAAAATTCTAACCCTGTAGCGAGGTTGCATTGACGTGGGCAAATTAACGGAAGTTAGTGGTATTCTTACGCTAACATTTGCTTTTAACAGGATCTTCTTTTCTACCGGCTGTTGTACACAGACATATACGATGGTCATCTCAGTTTAACAGACACTGACTTGTGAGCAGGCCCTAGCCGTTAACGGTAGTTATTTCAATCAACCCAAAATTGCAAAACGGCGAAACTTAAACGTATACAGTATAAAATGATTGCTTAATTACATGATCGTTTTTTCATACGATAAAAACATTCACCATTAATTTTGCAGGTATCGAGGCTTCGCGATCGGGTTTATGTCTCACTGAAATAATTATCCCGTTATCCGCATCTACATAATAAAGTGAATAATTTTAGAAACGCTTTTTCTAGCTAGCAGTCGCTAATATGCTAGCCGTTTTGGTAATTAGTTCTCGGTTATTTCGCACGGTTTTTACAGCAAGGTACTGCATCGGAAGTCCTGCATTAGAGGATGTTACTTCGGTATGCGTTACAACTGTCAGCTTTGTGGCAGAAGTTGATTTCAGGGATGCGGAAGGACATCGTCTTATCGAGACGATCATGTTCAAGTTGCAAGACACTGCTTTAATATGACGACATCCTGATAATATGATTGTCAAAAAATTGTTTTGACGTTTTGCGACTCGGCCAGTGCACGCCTTGACAATAAAGCCCAAAAGCTTGTCTAGACGTTTGGATATTAGACGAAATTAAATGAGATCGTCTACATGTTATTCATCCCCGGTCATACAGTCCCATCGATTTTCCTTCTAGCACATGTTACAAGTCCTGGAGAATTTGACACTTTCTTCCCTCAGCTTATATCAGGCACTGTGGCTCCATTTGCTGCTGGGGGTATATTATGCGGTTTTAAGGAAAAGAACATTAGAAGTTAGTGGTCTGTCATATAAAACCGCTGGATGTTGGACTCAACGGCTAATCCGCATTAAATTAATTAACTACTTAATACCGCACAAGTCACGTGTAGAACCATAGTGTAAGGTCAACATACCGCAGTGGCCACACTGTGGCAGATAGTACGGATAAAAAATATTTAACTAATCCGGGACCCAACCCAACATTTTCGCAGTCTTCCCAAGGGTCTCATTACGGTTAGTTGCAAAAACTGGCTCGGCTTGCATTCCGAGAATGTTTGCAGTGTGGTATGTAATCGACCGAGTTCCAGAGTATATGATCTGCTTCATCTAGTTTTGACAAGTGAGCTCTGAATATTGCACATATGTGTGAAAACTAACTGCTCGTGCATAGCAGAAAGTGTAACATTCCTTAAAAGCATTTCCTTACGTGTTACATCAACAACTCTGACATATTAAATTTTCTGAATTCCATTACGACAGGACGTGGCAGGCTTATTACAGGCAGGCAATCTTACTGGAAATCTTAGTGGATATAAATTATTATACCGTAAGCAGTACTTTAATGCAAGCAGCAATGTTAATATAATATGCAACACATTTAGTGCCGGCATTGTTATTTTTTGCTACATCAAAACAGTAATATCGCTGCTGGTAACGAATTGCAATTTCTTGAAATCTGATCGGTTTGGATCGATAAAAATGAAATGCCTCTGCTGGAATAAAATCACACATCTGTTTTTATTAGATTATTGACGTTACACAATTTCTGGACAATAGGAAGTGCTTGGGTGTTGTTTATGGAGCGCAACCTGGTGATAGGATGATTCATTGAGTGGTGGCAAAAAACACACGCGCGCCCATATCTCCAGCTTGCGCCGGGGTTAAGATCTCTCCGGGGGCAAACCCCGGTCTTTTAGCGCTTTTCATTGAACGCCGGGTTGCAGCAGTCATTAGACCGATCGGGGTCCTGACGATCAGTCGTTTGGGCCTCCATAATAGCTCTATCAAAAATCGCGCGCCGGATCTTTTTGGTAGCCCCGTTTACAGCGGTTAGCATATATACGCAGAGAGAAATGCAAATATATATACAGTAGTAGCCCCACATTGCCGCCTATCGAAAATCGACACGGAATTTAATGTAGGATTTATTGCGGCATTGGATATGTGCGTATAGTGGAAACGATGCACTTATGTGTTTGTATGTACAATATCTGCCTATGGTGGAAAAGATTTACAAGACAGCGCACATCGGCGGCCCGCTCGACAAAAACCACTACTGTATGTTTACGTAGTAGTTAAAGTGTAGAGATGCATCACGGTAGCCGGCTATTTCTAGCCGGGATTCGCTAATATACGGGAGAGCTATATGTTTAGCTTAACAGCAAACCCGGGAATAGGCCGATTATATAGATTGAAGTGCTGTTGCATGTTGACATTCGGTCCCTGTGTTCACTGCAATAGAAGTGTATAGCATATGCTGGATTTTTAATGTAAATTTCCCTGACAGACATTTCGCTCTCGTTTTTATCTGACTGCAATATACAAATCCGCTTCTTGATTATCCGCACACGACAAGCCCGCGCTATATCCAAGCCGCTTATTAGCCGGCATTTTTTGCCCACACAGTGACTTACACCGGCTTCATGCACCACAAATTTTCTCCGCGTTAACGAATAACCAAAATGCAAATTGGTGATGGGTTTTTTTCCTATCAAAAGCTCGACAATTTGTCGTTGGATTTATGTGCAAAAGCGTGAATTTCTGACCGGTGTTTTAATAAGCACACGCACATCAAGCATCGATGGATGTCTTCGATCATGATGCAAGTACATATTGCAGAAGAGATATACACGCCGGTTATACAATACAAATCATGGGATGACATTATCAGCTCATATCGGTTTCTAAGTTTCTGTGTAACGTATTGATGATCCAGTTTATTGGCGATGGCCGCTGCAACCTGTGCAATGCAGTAAATTGGTAAGTGAAACATGGTAGATATGGGTTTATTGGATTGCGATTGATGCTCTTTTTTGCTGCGGTATAATGACAATGTTAACATAATAACCGACAAATCATATTAGTGCTGTTTTGCCACTTAAATTTTTTTCCCGGTTAAATACTATTGATTGGAGTGCTTTCGCACGGTAATAAATGGCTTTTGCGCGACAGTTCTCGCTTTTATAGTGGATTGTGTGTTTGTGGCCTTCGCTTACGAGATGCTTGAGCCATTCAACTTCCGCTGCTGCTGCATAAAGGTGCAGCTCGATCTGCTTCACACGTTTTTTTGCACATGAGGCCAAGCAGAAAAAGGTTTTAAAAACGTTCAAGGAGTGCGACAAATCGTACGGTATTAATATCGTGGTGATTTCTGAGCTAAATTGGTTTAGGCTTTTATGTATGTGAAATATATTTCACGTCGAAAACGAACCAAGATGTTTGCCGATAGACTAATAATTATAAAGTAATTTTGAAATTCTAAACTGCACAGATTATTGGTGGAAGCCCCGCCTTGTAATTTAGATAAATCGTCGTTTTCATAATTAACTATTTTCCGGATTATTGCGTTATGGCCTGGAATATGTTTGATCGATATGCTAATTATATTGTGCCTGTTCTATACGCACAGACATATATAGCAATCTGCTGAGATCTGTGGCAACAAAAAAATCCATTTCGCTGACGTAGCATCAGCTGCACCCGCAGCGAGAAGGATACTTAATTATATCTAATTAAACGTATTTTCCTGACATTTTCTTCCCTTTTATTTATAACATTGATTATTGAGTTAGGGCATGCTTTAAGGATAGATCACTGGATCTGTGTGACCGGAGGAGGCGTACACATTATTGTAACCTGCGCCATATATGGTACAATAGTGCTAGCTGTATACGGTATACCGTATTGGTCATTACCGGGATGCGACTATGTAGTATAAGCAGCGGATCACGAAAGCCGGCAGCGTAGGGATTTGGTGTCATCCACGTTTTGTTACGTTGGCATTACATGTGCAGTTGTTTTGAGTTTGACTGATGCATGTGCATGTTAATGGAGTTTCTCTCCCATATAATTCATTTGCCTTGCGTATACGCAGAAGCAACCTTCGCAATAGTTAAACTTCATGCATTTAAAAAATTAGACGAAAGCCTGTTTCTTGGTGTGTGTGTATAACATTATGACAGTTTCTTTCCTTGTTGATAATAGAAAGCACAAAGTTTTCCTTGTATTACGAATATGCAACAGTTTTAGGTATTTCACTTTGCAATCCGAAATCTACGTTTTTTGCTTCCGGTTGTCATTATCAACCCTAGAAAAGGTCGGGTTTCGTTCGCAGCGCATTTACCTTTTCTTTAAAAGTTTCCATAAAGCGTTACTCATTACTTCTGTTTTTTCAGTTACTTTTAAAATTCTTTAGTATCTTTGGATAAATCACTGCAAAGATGCAGCGGTGTTTAGGCTTATTTTCGTTTGGATAATGGCAGTGATAATGGATAACTGCAGATCATCAAATTCTTTTTTACTTCCATTCTCGTATGGTACGGTACAAGCGCAGTTATGCACGTATATAGCAATACGGGTGGTTTCCGCTTTCTGAAAAGACCTAATGAACATAATTGCATGACATTTTTAGTCTCCTATGACTAACGTAGACGCACGTTATCATCACCCAGTGGAAACCTTAGCGAAATTTCTGGTGTTGAGTGACCCGATTGATAGGGTTTTTTCTCTCTGCCGTGCGAGTCCCTTAACTGATGGATGGCATATATACGCCGGTGCATCAACGACGCTGTTATGGAAACTCGATCATCCTGTTTGTGAAAATATGTTGGAAATTAGGTAGATGTAGTTGGACTTCTTGTACCCCATATCAAGTAGCATAATTTCGATTTTTTCCGTTCACATAGGGATATATAGATCTTGCGTCTGCTATAGTCGACAGCATTGTAAAGGTCTCTTTTCTGGGGACGCATGTTTCGGCGTATGGAACAGCGAAATGGCTGTGTCCTGATGTCACTGAAGCTCATATACACACATAGAAATCGGAAAAATATTGTCGATCATGTTGGGTTGATCCAGCTGATGCTCTTGTCGTCAATTTGGGAAATTATGAGCGGTCCGGTCTCTGGTTTCGCCTCGTCGAATTCTCTGTGTGCAAATAAAGGAGCTTACACAGTTCGTACTCAGGTTACCGACTTGGCTGTCCCTCCGTCAATAATCGAGCGGCATACGGTTGTTAGGAACAGCAGAATTTTATATCTCATAAAACTGGGATACGGTATTGTGGTGTATTAAACGTCCAGACTGTCCGCATTCTGAACACTAACGCCGGCATTTTTATTTTTCCGTGCTACTTTGCTTTTTATTTTATAGCTGTAAATTTTTCTTTATTGTGCTCCGGGTAATACCCAATCAGACCGGAAGTGCCCCTCGGGTTTTACTTTAACGGTTTTCATATTGTCCCGTTAATTGTGAGGCACGGTCCAAGAACAAATACACAGCAACTAGAATTCATACTGCTGGGTTAAAAGGGTGAGTGATAGTCGGATGTTGCATGCTTTAGTAGTGTGTTCGTTGGACGTGGGGTTTATCAATGGACTTCTTTGTTTGCCGGTGGCGCTTAAGTACTTTTTTGTACTCGACGTAGATTGTATGTGTTACTGCAGTCCTGCTAAAAATAGGAGACGATGAAAAAGCATAATTTAGGTATGTTTTGAATATCGGATGCCGTTATATACAGCCAAAATTCTGCGTTACTTTGCATGAAGCTCTCTAATTTTATGGTTATAAATTGTATATTATTGAATCACCTTGCATACCGTCTAGAATTCTTGTAGAACTTTAAAATTCCGGATCGAAATGAATTTAGATCTTGCGCAAAAATTACCAGTGTGTTGTACGACTCGATACGACATGCTGTTTGTTTGTAAACGACAGGAAAAGGTATCTGGACCAGTCCAAAACTGGATATTATCACCACAGGACATAAAAGAAATTAAGTTTTCTACATGACTGTACTTTGTTTTCTTGAATTTTGCACTGCGAACACTTACAAAAGTAAATGCTATTTATTTCAAAATTACTCATGTCAGGTGAAATATTTGCAATCCTGACATTTATACCTACATTAAGCATTTCTGCATAATGACTAGAAAAATTCTAAGGTCACAAAATAGGTACTCGCAAGTAAAACGGGTTTCAATGGAATCAAAGATGGAGCTATTTTATGTTTAACATTCGTTAAAGCGTAGTCGGTTATCTTAACTTGAATCTTATAACTGCATTATTATGGCAAGAGTAGCCTCTATATTGTTTCACACCTGGATAGCATTAAAGAGCGTGTAAAACATTTTTTATACATATACCGTTTTGTAGAAATGTTAATAAATAAATGAACGCGGAAGTGTCCATTTGAATTGAATTGAAGTTTCTGGTAAATACGAGTACCTCAGAATGCAGCAACCACGAGTAATTTTTAGGCACTGACTTTCGTATGCCGCTGTTGCTGTGAGTATAGTTTTTATTTCGAATATTCCAATCGCCGCAGTTTGCAGCAGTTTCAGAATGTAAAATAATTTAAATTCTGATCTCGACTGGATAAAAAACATTTTGAGTTAAATTTAAGTATTCAGATTTGGCTTTTAATTTCACAATTTTCATACGTGATCCGTGGAACATGCACGCATCCGCTGCAGCGTTAAAGCGAAACCGGCAGATGTGTGCAGTATGTGGTCGGTACACACAATTGTACTTCCAAATCGATGCATTTTACACCGGCATTTGCGAATAATTAATGGAGCAGAGATCCAGAACCTATGAATATTTTACCATAAGCACTTGCAGTCCTGACCAGTGCGTTTGCACTTAACGCAAAAAATAGCAATTACAATGCATTGTTTTTCTTTCTTTTGGGACTATATTGATTGCTAGTGTAAACAGTTTTGTCTACCCATGGACAACGCACAGTGTGGTGTGTCCTCCCCCCCGTACAATATGCATCAATTTCAGGAAATTCGTTGGGAATGTGGAGCTGTACTGTTACTGCGTGTGTTTGCACTGTTCGTCTTTCATTCATTTGGCCTATTCCTTTCCCACCTCTTGAATAACGTCTCGGGAAGAGAATACTCCACTACTGTATATAGCTCGGATAGATCATCCACTGGGTAGGTTCAGTGTCGTGACACTGGACACGGATTTTAACCAAAGTTTTGTTAGTACGGCCTAAAAATAATAGAGCAACCTGGTGTCCATGTGGGAGTGTATATAAGTCTGTCCTCAGGGGAAATGATGACAATGTTACTAAGGCGAAAGCTACTGTGTATACACCCGGTGACCTTTTCCAATGGCCCACTGTTATTCTGACTTTTTACAGACGTTGCAACCTGCCGTTTCCCATCATCGGTCTTCTCAGTGATCGCCTCATTGGTATTGACCTAATCCCGTGAAAATTTCCACGTATAAAAAATATCAAAGTAAACCGGACTCTGTATACATTGTAAGCAACGGCAACGCCAGCCGCCTGCACATTAACACATCCGGCGCCCCGGCCTCCGCCAGCTTCATATTCCCAGGACAAATTCCATCGTTTTCCCCGTATATGTAAATCGTGCTGATAGCCCGGCTACTTGAACGAGTCCCGGCGCTGTTGTATCCCTTGCGGATATTCTGATTAGTTTGAGCGGATCGGCACTCGCGCTCTCTCTGTCCCGGGTTTTATAACACCGTCCCCGTTTACGTTGTGTTGTCACACACACATCACACACACACGGTGCCCGTCATCACGTTTTATATATTGGATAAAGTGATCAGGAAACACTGATCTCATTACCGGCATCCGGCCCTCGTTAACGGCTAAAGGTGAGTCTCCGACGTATAACGTGTGTTGACGGTCATGCGGCAAATTTACGGCTTTTAACACCGTCTTCATTAAGCTAATTTTCCTTCTATTATACGTGATGGTGATAGCCACGTTTTTGTATTTCGGTTTGCCGATTGGGCGAATTATCGGCTAAAATACAGAAAATTGATACGCCGTCATGTATGCATGCCGTATTAAATATGGATGGCGGATGATTCGGTAAAAGGTTTATTCCACTTTTCATTCCGCATACCGATAGAGGGAAACCTTTACCATGTTTTACATATGGGGATAACGATTAAAACAAATTCATAACAGGAAGTCTTCCCCACACTGATGCCCAACATGACGGCTCCGCTGGACACTTACGTAATCAATCGTACACTGTATCCAGCTACCGGCAACTGTTCAGCCGGTAGCGACTTCGGCAATAACACCGCGGCTTATTATGACACCCAGCCGGGATCCCTGCTGTTTATGGTCAACCTGTATTATGGAATTATTTGGGTTGTGGGCATGTGTGGGAATAGCCTCGTGGTAAGATAACAGCGTGCAGTGTCTATTAGTTGCTTGATTAATAATAACTTTTAAAGCGCAGTGACCGCGGTATTCACCGCTCTTGAGTAGATAAATATATAGACATTTACGCTAACAGCAGGTGATGCGATTCCCGTGTTTGTAATTTGTAATTATAATTATTATCATTCTGTGCGCTAGAATGCTTTGACCGCAATACTGCCTTTCTTACAAGTTATAAGCAACTATGAATAAAATGGTATGCTTTATGCAAAATGTCTTTCTAGATCTAGTAACAAAAATTAACCGTGCATCCTTTGATCGAAAATTTAAAAACATAAAAGTTGCCACGAAACAATATGCAAAAATTCGAATATGAGAACATTTTCGAGCATATGTTGATTAAAAGTATGATTTGAAGTGAATATTTGAAAATATCTGAACAACCTGAAAAAAGGGCGTAGTATTAGCACGAGTACTGTATCTTAGTTTTAAAATGGTATAATGCTTGACTAGTGAATTGTTTTGGATAGCGTAGCAAAGCATCCAGTTATTTGCAAATCAAGTGCACACTTTCGAGTTCAAACCAACAGTTTTTTTATGGGCGGAGTAGCCTTTTACCATTTTGTTATCAAGTAAAATTCGGGTTATCAAACAAAATTTGTTATAAAAATTTTGGGTGATCTTAACTTGTAAATTTCCGTTCACGGCTCACGAAAACAAATGCGACAGCAAATTCTTAAAATCTGTGACAGTTAGGTTTTAAGCTTTTAGCGTGTAAAAATTTTCTCGTGCAAAAACAATAATTACGTTCTGTGATAAGGATGAAATGTTGCAGATCTATGTCGTATGGCGCTTCTCCAAAATGCACACTGTGACAAATTTTTTCATCCTGTCACTGGCCTTGGCTGATTTATCGTTCCTGCTAAATTTACCCTTGGTAATGGTCACAACCTTCAAAGACCGTTGGATCTTTGGTGATATTTATTGTCGGATCTTCTTCACAATGACAACGGTTAATCAGTTTGCGTCCTCATTCTTCCTCATGGTTATGTCGGCTGATCGATATTGTACGTTGTCATCGACATGGTTACTTTTTATTTTCTATTCAGCTTAGCTATGAAATAAATTTCCAAGTACTACCGGCAAACAGTTTAACAACGGCATTCTTAAGAAGACACTGTTGTATTTTTTTACAGTTGCTGTTTGGTGAGTACACACTTGGATCAGTTTTTCTCTCTCTTTCTGCACTGTTTGGCTCAACACGTGCACCGTCCGTCGGCATTCCAGATGTTGATGTTCTCATCAATTAAAGTAGCCCCATCGTATGCCTGGTAGAACACTGTTGATGATGATGCATTTTGCCTTGCAGTCATCCGATCCGCAGCAATAAATACCGCACTGCCAAAGCCGCCAAAGTCGTCTGCGCCATAACGTGGCTCACGTCGGCAACTCTGAGTAAGATTCTCCAGAAAAAAAATACGCTCTAAGCAAAGGTCTTTCCCAGTCCTTCTGGTCTTCCACAGAGAGAAGAAAAAAGTAGATCCTCCTAGCTATGATTTGTCTTTAAAAAAGGTCACGAATGTACTAGGACGATCAATGTTAAATGCGCTTATTTGCGACCGGGACACGAACAGATATCGACATGCATTGTCTCGTATCGATCAGTCTTACCTTGCGCAACGCGGCGCCTCCTATGTGTCCATGTGGAAAATTGGTTAATCGGCACATACAGATATAAGCAGGAATAATGTAATTCCACGGAGCACCTGATATTACTGCTAAGATTGCTTTTGGCACTACAAAATTTTCGCCGTATCCGTTAATTTTTATGAACAAGTATTGTAACATTTTGCAATACATGTAACATACACCGTAAATGCATTTCATCAGGTTAATTAGCAAAAATGCGCATCATTAGATCAAATTAATCGTTAGATTCCTGGAGTACGTACTGTAAAGGTTAAATTAAAACAGTTGACCAATGCCTTCGAATTCCTTGATTTACACAAAATGCTGCTCTGGTAAAAACGCTGTTGAACTCGCACCCAAAAGAATCCAACGCCATCGTTTTCTTCGCAGTGATACCGGTATTCATCTACGCCAAACTGGAATCCGAAGGCGAATCGAATGGGACGTGTCACATTGCGTGGCCGGGAGGCGAGTACATTGACGGCATGCAAGCCTTCACATTGTACTGCCTGGTACTGGGCTTCACCTTTCCGCTGCTTCTCATCATTGCCTTTTATTCCATGGTGTTACGCAAACTGAAAACACTCGGCCCGAAAAATTCACAGGCCACCAGCGATGGCCGACGAAGGTCACACCGGCGCGTAACAATTATGGTGTTAGCCGTGGTGTCGGCGTACGTTATCTGCTGGCTGCCTTATTGGTGGGTACACGACTGCACGTGTGATAACTGATAATACTTTCGCGTTTATCGCATTAATTACTGAAATTATGGATACAATAAGCGGGCGTTTTTGCATGTGTCAAAATTGTAACAAAGGTTAAAATTGCGATTTTCTGCGATGCATTACATCATTGCGTGCTGCGCCCAGATTAGAAGTATAAAGGTGATGTAATAGCTATCCATGTAAACTCTCGAGTAAATTTGTAGCACAGATGGCCAGCGCGTGGTCACACGTTTATTTCATCGCCTGAGTGGTGCGTTGTTGTTGCAGGGTCTGGCAGGTGTTGCTTGTTTACATATCGTCGATTACGAGTTATCTTAATCCCGAACCGTCCTGTGATTCTGCGAAGCCGGCTGCGGCAACAGCAGCGGTCAACGACGGCAAAAATGCCGCACGTAATGCGATTATTTATACAAGCACCATACTGCAAGCGCTCTGCTACACCAACAGCAGCGTCAATCCCATTTTGTACGCCATGCTGAGCGAGAACTTTAAAAAGTCCTTCGCAGCCGCCTGTTGTTGGGGCCGCGGCGGTCACAACATGGACCAGCTACAGCCTGAGCGCACTTCCGTCCCCGATCAGCACAGTAACATTTTTGCACGCTCTCGCAATTCCATTCGCCGGCGCTTTCAACAGCATAATGACGAGGATGACGATGAGAGCCCGACTATGCACATCAATGATGAGAAGCTGGAGATTACCAGTTTTTTGAAAAGGTCACAGAAACGCAAGTCGACGACCAACGGAACGAACAAGCTGGCTCCACCGCCGACCGAGATCCGCTACCGTAACGGATCTCTGACGGACTTCGGGAACATTCCCACTACGGTTACCACTACCACTATGGCCAGTGTTCCGCTGGGCGAAAAAGACGATGCTGTATAAAGTAGCATAAACTGTAGATCGACCGGCAAAGCCAAATGTGCATGACATTTACAGGTTACACCCATTTTGTCCTTACTTGAAGACAGGTCTTTCAAGCAACTTTATGCATAGAAGTACTTATGGTTTCTCTCGCGTTGGGTTTCAAGAGGGAATTTTCATTTGTTTATTTTAATTCTGCTTTTCTTTCTTGTCTCGAGTCTGTTGACTTATGTCGCATAATATATGTACTTACTATTTGTAACATTAGGTGTTCCTAACTTCATGTGTTGGACGAAACAATATCCTTCAGGATCTGCCAGTTAATTAGTTTCTACTTACCCAAACCTTTAAAAAGACGTAATTCGGTAAAAACAGTAAACCAAAAACCAGCTTAAAATTAGTGAACACAAAATCAATATGTAATTTTGAGGTCGTGGACAGGTGTGACGAATTTATAACTTAACCTTATTCACCCTTAAATTAGTACTGTACCCTTCTGCGGAAATCAGATCCCTACGTTGTTACTCGTACTTGTTAATGTGGTTCGTCTAGAAGTTTACAAGTTTCGTTTAAGTATCAGCTTAACAAGTTTGCTGCTTTTAATCATAAAAAATTAGTACAGCACATAAACATGAAGCTATATCTGTATGTACAAAGTATAGCACAATGCTTTAATTACAGTACGTATTAAAATACTGAATTAAATGAGCTGTGCAATGAAATGCAGGTACAATACGTACACTAAAAGATCTAGGATGTCGAACATGACAAGCAAAATAACGTTCGTACAAATACCATCAACATACTACACAAACACATTTTGGAGTAGTGTGTTTTTAAGTTCATTAATTGTGTGCCACTGTTAAAATTTTAAACGTATTCCATTCCCGATTTTAATGTAGTACTTAATTGCGAAGAACAGTAAAATGGAGTACAACACCCACATGCTGCATCCCTAATAAGTAATCTCAAAAAGGTCAACGAACGTGTTTATAAAAATATTAGCACTACTACGGCGTTGTACAATACACACGTAGTATGAGTATGTCAGTATGAAACAATCATGTTCTTGGAAATCCCCATTCAACTATGTGTTTGTAATTTTTTTCTGTATTACTATTACCACTATCTGTATATAGTATATAGGAACTTCACAAAGGTCATACCGACTCACACACATACCGTAGTCGCTAGTAAAGGGTATAATTACAGTGTTCAACTGTACCAATCATACGGTTGCCGGGCAACCAGTGGTTGATGTAATAATAACCATAATAATAATATGTATTATTGAAGTAAATTAAGTATTAAAACATAAATTGTTACAAAGTAATTACTGTAATAATAGAAGCACTGTACGTACACAGCACACCAACTTACAACATCAGTATCTATAGATGTAAATATCTATATTAATAAATTTATCGTTAATAGCTACTGTTCATACAGTAGTACGGTATCGCACAGTACACTCTGCGCCACGGTTTACTCTTGTATTACGCCGTTAAGTTAAGCGCATTGTTTAGAACTCCTTATCTGCATATGTAATTAAGAATCTATCGGCTATTAACAATAAAATTACTTACCATTAGGACGACTGTACGAGTACATAATTAAACAGTGGTTTTTGGAACATAATTAAACAGTGGTTTTTGGAACACAGTACCGTATGTAGATAAATACATCGTAGTATGCATAAGAGTACATCGTGTGTAAAAAAGCCGGTACGTACTACAATACGTAAGTACTGCACGGTCTGCACACATTATTAATAATATCTTTGTTTCGCTGAATACAAACAGGCTATTAATTACCGGTTTCTAGAAAAAAATAATTTTCCGTGTGAAGTGTTCCACCATCCTCATACTTCTGTCAAAGATTTTTTTCGCGGACCGTATGCGAAGTTATGAACACCGTCCCTGAAGTTACAGAGGTAAGTAATAAACAGCGTGCAGAAACCCACAGTTTTTGAAGCGCCGTCTTGTACCTTCACCGTCAGAATCAATAAATACAAAATTATGTGTAAATGTATAAATTACTATTGCTGGAATTAATAAGCTTGCTTATGACCGTATCCGGTATCACCACACTACAATCGTGCCCATGAGCAAACATTATGACGTCAAAAACTTTTCGTCATCTTCTGTTAATTATAATAAATGAAAATTAATAGTCATACTTGCTATAGATTATTACATGATTACCGTGCATGTGAAGTAGTGGGCGTAGCTCATTACGGTGAAAGTTTTTACGAATGCCTGCACTGCACCATAAAATTAAAATAGCATATTTTTCAGATTTTTACCTTCACAAGCAGCTGAGATTGTTTCGAAACGTGAGCAACCAAAGTTAAATTTAATTAAGGTACAGTATTAGCTAAACCTCACTTTTAGTCCATAGTCATACGTACCCTGGAATTAAAAATTTTTAACTAACAATAAATAATTTTATATCAATTAAGCAGTGCAGAGTTTACATGAAATTTATCTCCCGACACAGGTGCTAAGTCTGGATTCCGGAGAATCGAAGTTCCAATCCCCGCATAAGTGTTAGAAGGCGTCCGATAAATTCAAAGATTTCTAGGTAGTAGGTATTCATGCACGACGATGAGTGACTGGCGGCTCTGAATGCATTCCTGGCAGCCGCGTCTGGCTTTCCCGCCAAACAAAATCACAACGGCCACATGTATAGGAGCACCCAAGAACACTTCCGATGACGGCAGACATGATTGTTGGCCAAAATTCCCGGCACCAGAAAACGAAGAAAGGGCTAGACACATTCCTTCGCTGACGAAGAATAATGAAAAAGCCAGACGCGAAAACCGCAATTTCACCTGAATCCCCGACTACGGTGTCTGGCCGGTACGCGAATCGCCTGCAGGTTGCAGCCATATGTATCCACTATCCAACCACTCCCTAGTCCCTAGTATTCATTCATTCGTCTAGGCGCGCGTTGACCGCCCCTTTTAAAGTTTCTAATTTCGCACGCAACAAGTTGAATTTACCGAAATTTTTAAGCCTGTTTTGCATACCGGCGTAAGGAACTTCCCGGAATTTTATCACACCCCCATGTTAATCCATTAATATCCAATGGTTCTACGTTATTCCTTTTATCTAAATATGTTTCATTACTGTTTTGACGAGCTTAGACCGTCAGTACCGTTGTTCTTCCTAATAATACTGTGGAGCTATCTAGATGTCGGCCCGATCGGCTGTGCTCCCTTATCCAGCGATTTTGCAAATGCCTCCACGCTTTATCCCCCTTCACAGTCACCCGATCATGAATCGTATTGTGGATACGGTAATTTTCGCTGCAACGACGGCGAATGCATCAGAAAAAGGTGAGTTGTGCAGCCAACGAAGGGCACCGTCGGAATTGCGCGCGCGATTGCGTAACGCAGAACTGCGGGAATACGCGAGTACCGTTTTTCGGAGGCCCTGCTTTTGCACTTGTAGAGCGTTTTTTCCCTGGCGAATTGTGTGCATCGTGATGGCTAGCTGGTGGTCCATCTTTGCGCTTTGAAACCGGTCCCATTGCACGCCATTTGCATGCCGCGCATGGAAGACCTGTTGCGTTCACTGATTCGGTTGTTTGCAGTTGGGTGTGCGATCGCCAAAATGACTGTCGCGACAAGTCGGATGAGGCGAATTGTGGTGATATTCCCTGCGAAGAGGATGAATTCCGGTGCGATAGCAATCGGTGTATTCCCCTCAACTGGCGCTGCGACGGTAGAGCAGACTGCCGGGATCGAACCGACGAAGATCAGGAAGGATGCGAAAACGACGATTGTCCGTCAGATCATTTTCGATGTGCAAACAGTACGTACCGCATTATTGTTTAGTGTTTAATATGACTTTGAGCTTTATTGGAAAAGAGATTTTATTGCCGCTATTCTTGTTCAGCCATAACCATATTATTTTTCTCGAAATAATGGAATTCAGTTTGTATCAAAATGTTTATGATTTGATTTACTCGTTTTGTTTTTTGTGTTTAGCGACTTATGAAGGCGTTAAAGGTTGATTTTTTAATTGCAGGCCAGTGCATTCCGGCGCACTGGGTATGCGACGGGAGCGCCGACTGTCTAGGCGGCGAAGATGACAATGCAAAGCGCTGTTACGGTCAGACTAATCAGCCGGGATGCCTGCCCGGCTTCTGGAAATGCCGCCGTAACCGCAAGTGCATAGCGCGAGCGCTGATATGTGATGGCAAACCCGACTGTCCGGACGAACTGGACGAAAATGAGCTAGCGTGTCCCGGCTATCTGGCCAGTTTAAGGACAAACACTACCCGTAGGCCAGTCAGAGTTTGATGTTCCCGCCACGTTGATCGTCTGCAAAGAAGCCGTTGCGTCCTTTCACGACACTGTTGTCCCTGTCCACGACAACTGGCCGTTGGGAAAGTGCAAGGGAACTTAATCCGATCGACAGATCTCATTTCAGTCTCGTTTTGTGCGCACAGGTTACTGCGTTTTGTATTTTTGTGGGCCGAGCGGTATGCTGAACTGATATTATGGACTGGCTAATTTTAGTCTGTTTTTGTTGTGTTGATGTCGTGTATGTTGCTTGTGATTTGAGGGGGGTCTGAACGAAATCTTTGTTTGGACATTACAGTATATAATTGATGTTAATATATACTGGATATTGTTGTGGCCGATTGGGACAGCTTCTTGTGAATGATTTTCTGTCATGTTGACACTTTAATTTTGGTTGTTAATAGTCATTTCCGGTAGCAGTAAGTGCTGTATTGTTTTACGTCGTTTCAAACGCTCGATTAACACTAACAACTAAGCGCCTCCTCTGAGCGGCTTGTGCTGCAGTGAATTTCGTAAAACTGATCGAAAAGTTCTCGGAGATCGTAAAGAAAATTATAAGCAAAATCAAACTAAAATTAATAATCTACACCAACACCACCAACCAACACCAACTAAGCTACAAAACTGGAAATAATTTAACATGCATTCCCAAAAGGGCATCCGCCTGCATTCAGTCGAACAATACACAATTACACACCGAAAGTTTTACCGTTGCTACATAAACCGTTAGTAACATCACTAATATGATCTAACTACCCGTCAACTTTATACTATACAGCAACACACACCAAACTACACTATTCAACAACTAAATATAATTTATGCAACCAATACATATAATAATTTTTATCACAGAGTAAGTCTCTCATAAAAATAATGATAATTGTTACAAACTGAATTCCGGCATAATATGCCGAAGCGCGACTACTGTTGCCGCTTGTTCGGCATCTTTCTTAGTTCTGTGCGGCACCGTACTAATAAAAGTCTTTCCCATAACCAGGACACTACCACAGAACGTCTTGCCGGTACTGGTAAAACTGTATTGCGCCGGAGCGATGGAATGCTTCTTGCAGTGTTCCAGTAAAATGCTTTTGGGCGTAAAAGTATTCAGCGCCTTTTTCAGCTTTTTAGATATGGGATTGTAGTCGACTTCTTCCACTACGATGTCTTCTTCCCGATCTCTCTTCAGGGAACACGATTTTTTCTCCACGACGAGACGATCTTTTTCTGGTGTCGACACATGTTTCTGTGCATAATAATCTTCAAAGCCGAAGACCTCACACATATCAGGATAATCCCGAGTGGCCAAAAAAGTCTGACCGAATTCGGTGCTGGTGTCCCCAAAGAGATGCTGTACTCCATACTTGGCATTACGAAAAGGAATATCAAAATCGATAGATTTTCGAAGAAAATCGGAGATCATTTGCTCTCGGCTTAGCAAACCTTCGCGACGAAAGATGGAAGGATTGGTTTGTACACTCCGCGCCACCATTACTGAAGACGCCCCACATTCCAATCGGAATTTTTCCAAATCGTTATAGCAGCGAATGTCAGAAGAGCCGCCGTTCGCGATTACGGGAATCGATACCGCTTGCGCAATGGCTCGGATGGCGGCACTGTTGTTTTTATGACTTGGTCTTTCCTAATAAGCAAAACCATCTAATGTAAACCCGCGACTATCTTAAGAAAAGTAAAAGTATATAGCTGACTGGTGAAAACACTAATTTGCAGCAACAGACTCTACGAAATACGCAAAACATCTAACGCAGCATGTACATAAAATTTGTTCGGTATCACAGATTCAAAACATGTATCGTAATAATATTTTTAACCTATGCAACTTTTACATTAATAAGCTGCCTCACTAGACATTTTAAAACTATTACCGATTGCTGATTAACATAGTATTCAAACGAAAGAAACCTGTAAAATGCCAATTAATACCCCAGCGATAATTTCAATAAAGTATTAAACAAAGAAAAACAACGACACAAAAGGTAGCACCAATTCCGGCAAAAGGCTCTGACGAACTCTCAAACAGCATAAAGTTCCGCACTTGAAATGTATGACAAACAATGAATATTATTAATTTCAATAAACACTTCGTTTGGAGAAAAATTTCAATTTTAGACAGCATTGCCATATGTCGGGGAAGCATCAGCTAACAAATATAACGTACTCAAATTATGGGTCTATTTACGAACGCTCCGATTTGTATATGCATATCGAAAGGCGTCGTAATAACATGCCGGTCGGCATTCAAAGATTCAAGTTTAAAAGTTTAACTATGTAATAATTTTTTTTTAAAACCTGACTTTTACCCTACCAGAAATGTGGCTGTCGTTACTGCGCTAGTATAAGACAGCTTTCAAAATTTGCAGCTCTAAAGTCAAATGTACAGAATTAGAAGTACAGTAATTAAATGCCGAGCCGAGAACACTACCATTAAAAATTAAAGTACCTCTTTTGTACGACCATGAACAGCAATTGCCTCAATCCCAGTTGCTTCCATCCGCTTGGCAAAATTAACGCTGTCCTGCATGTTATGAAACAGCCTTATCTTGCAAGTCAAAGGCTTCTTAAACTCAGCCCGAATTCTCCTTAAAATATCCTCTGCAACATCAGGGGTCTTCAGCAGTGCGGCCCCCATACCACCTCGGACCGAATAATCCTTAGGGCAGCCCATATTAATATCCAGCCCCGCAATATCGTTCTCGACCATTCTAGCAACTTGTACTGCTTGATCGCTGTTCGAAGTGCCGATCTGCAGTACCACACTGGAATGTTCACAAGGATGAGTTCGAAAGATAAGCTCCTTGGGAATGGTGTAGTCCACCGTATTCAAGGCAGTGTTAACAGTTCGCTTTGATTGAAGGAATTTTATATCCACAATCTCTTCAGAATAAACAATATCGGCTCCATAGTCCAAACATAAGGATCGGAATGGTAGTGTTCCCATTCGCACCATGGGAGCCAGAATGTGCTTCCCCGAGTATTCCAAACGACCTCGGCGGGATGCATCCGTATCTGCCATTCCCAAATCCAAAACTGTTCTGAACAATCGTATGGTCCTTGTCGGATACCTTTCAGAGCGGCTCTGTAAGAATTAATATGCTCGTGGCCTTAGTTTTTCGAAACAGGTGTATTTCGAATGTCCGATCAAATCATGTGCCGCATGAAACAACAGAAATGGATCTTTCTTCAGCAGCAGAAAAATGATTTTGAAATGAGACTGAGAACTGACCGAGAAACGCTGATTGTAAATTTTGAAAAAGATTATCAAAATTATAAATGAAATAATCTCTTTCGTCAGTCTGGCAGTGGCAGTCGGTTCGGTCGGCATACTGTACGACTACCCGACAGCTGATCGGCTGGTGCGTTTCCAGTTCCGCTCCACTGTTGTGCTTTTTGTTTTCCGATTCATTTACCATTTTTGGCTTTTGAGTACTAGACCGCGTGCGATGACAAAGTGCTGCTTGTGGCAAAATTCAAGATGCACCATTAACTGGATTTACGCCCATTTTTTTACTGGAATTTTCAATATTTTTAAGTTAAGCAGTTTGACATGGTAGTGAGTCGGCGGTATCCGCCGTAAACCGTAAAACGGGCACCGCTTTTAATCAAAAGTACAGAGTTAGACAGAGCGTGTGTCTAACGAATTTCTGTCTGCTCCCTTGATTAAATGCGTTTTACGGCGCCCGGTTGCTTCCCCAGGCGGACATCGCCGACTCACTACCAGTGAGTCGGTAAAGATGTTGTGCGACTGAAAAAAGGCAGTAGCAATATGCACGGAGAAACATAAATTCAAAGATTGTTATTCGTAACTGCTAGACAACAGGAGTACGGCACGACGACACAGTAAATTTGGAATTTCAGACACTCTCGGCATCTCCCCGAAGACGGGAAAATGAAAATTCCAAAAAGTCGGTTTTTCGGAATTTTCAGAAGATGCCAGGTTCAGCCAAAATGCATAGCCTGGCAAATTTCCGAGCCGAGCTAAAACTCTAACCAATCACAGCTTCCTTGGCGTGACGTCAATTTCAATTTTCGGTAGCACGATCATTTTTGACTTCCGGTTGCATTTTGCTTTGGAGCAAATCGCACTAGGTACACTAGTGATTTCTTGTATCTTGAACGAGTTTGGTTTTGCTGCTACGGTTCAAGTTTGCATTCGTTGCTTGTTTTGGGAATAGCTTAAATCTGTTTTAGAAGACGCACCATATTCATGATGAAAAGCTCAGAGACGCGCAAGTTAGCAAAGCCCGCGTCAAAACCGAAGCAGAAGCAGCACATCCAAAGAACGTGGCTCCTGCCGGAGTTGATATTCATGAGCGCATTTGGAATTCACCTTGCTGTTTGCCCATGGACTAAAGTGGAGGAGAGCTTCAACACACAGGCTATCCACGATATTCTTTTTCATGGATTTAATATTTCGGCGGTAGGTAAATATTAGAATAATCAGATCTGTCGCAAAGCGAAGTGATTCTCCCTTCACGTGTTTCTGTTGCAGTACGATCATCAAGAATTTCCAGGACCTGTTCCGAGAACTTTTATTGGAGCGTTTTCCGTGGCATCCATAAGTCTGCTTCCTAAATTTCTTCTGGTTGACTGCCTGCATTTCAACAAAGTCGCGGCGCTCGCTTTTGGTACGCGGAGTCTGAGGGAAAAAATGTTTGCCGAAAAAGGCTTATTTATTTCGTAATATGGATCTGCTGTTTGCAGCACGATGTTCACTGGGATTCCTTGTGATCTGCTCTTTCAAAGTATTGCTCAGAATTATTAGGAAGCATTTCGGTCAGGACGTTGCACTGTGGACAGCCCTAATAACCGCTTCGCAGTTCCATTTCCTGTTTTATGCAACTCGTCCACTTGCAAACATTTTTGCACTTCCTCTAGGTAAAATTTCTGTGTCTCCGCTTTCTGCACGCTTTTTTAAGTTTTGTTTATTTACAGTTTTGCAGATATTTATAATATAGTATACTGCATATACACTGTCCCTTCGTAATGCTGTATTTTTCCTATTCCTACTTGCGAAACTATTTTTTTTATTGTTGTTTCTTCCCGGCGTCCGGGTAGTTTTAGAGTTTCATTTTGTTGAATGTCGTACATTGACAAAATGGGACAGTAAGTTTGTAAATTTTTGATTAAGTATTTTTACGTTGATATTAAATATTACTGTGTCAATAAACCCTCAACGTAATTTCTTTTCTATTGGTTGTGGCTTAGTGATCTTAGCGACAGCCTTCTGGATTGATGATCAAGTAACGAAAACAATTCGCTTCGGCGCATTTGCCACTGTTATTTTCCGATCGGAATTGTGTTTACTGTTTGGCCCTATGCTCCTTTCTTCATTGCTCCGGAAGAAGATTTCGTTTATGAGGGGTTTCGTCGAAGGTGGTAAAGCGGTAGCTGCCAGTCTCCTCTTAACCTTTCTCGTGGATTCATATTTTTGGGGACGACCAGTATGGCCTGAAGGGGAAGTCCTTTGGTTTAACACTGTCAAGAATCAGAGCTCAAACTGGGGTGTAAGCTGTCCGTCAACCAAGTTTTGGACATTCTTAGCCAGTGGCATCAGGGTGTTTAGACAGAATTATTAAACTGATTTTTTTCAGACTTCTCCATTCGCATGGTACTTTTACTCCGTGATTCCAAGACTTTCGCTTGCAAGCCTTCCATTATCTTTGTATGGAACTTTAAAAAACAGGAACATCCTGAACTTAATTGCACCCTTCTTGCTTTTTGTCTTCTCATACTCATTTTTGCCACACAAAGAGCTGCGCTTCGTCATTTACATAGTACCAGTTTTCAATCTCAGCGCGGCTGTTGCATGCGCTCGAATGTAAGTTGTTTCCGGTCAGGTTTTCTTTGCTAGTCTTCATTAAGTCGTGGAAATTTAATTTCAGAAGCTCTACGAACAGATTTTCCTCCCTTCTTTGCAAGGCGCATCTTTTGGTCAACCTTTTGGCAGCAGCCATGTTCTTGTTTATATCATCGTGGAATTATCGGGGAGGAGATGCGCTTTACGAGCTACATCAAATTGAAAGTTCTACAAAAAGTGTTCACTTATTTCTGGATAACTTCAGTTGTCAGAACGGAGTGAGCCGGTTTCTTCATATGAACGACAAATGGATGTACGTTTATTTAAAAATCGTTGTTTTACTTGGCACCGATAGCTTCAGTACACACTCGTATTTGGGCTTTTTGTAGATACAACAAAACCGAAACAGTGGATCTGCGTACGTATAATATTACGTCAGATGCGCCATTCACGCACATAATTGCCGAGAGCAAATATGTTCCCCACTTACTTACGCAAGGATTTCAAGTTATTAACAGTTTGTATGGATTCGTAGGATTTCGGCGAAACCTGCGGCCGACTAATGTCTTTCAAGAGTCTTTATTACGTTTTGATACAGTGGTCGCTATTCTGCGGAAAGCGAGTATTTGAGCAGATAATGTTACATTGGTAAAAACTACTAGTAGTATAGCGCTTCTTTTAAAGCGACTTCGTTTGTTTCCGGCAGATTGCGTTTTGTACTTACTTCTGCGTCTAACGTACAAGTGCGGTAGAAGAATTACAAAGAAACAGAAGACATCGTTTGCAGAAGGTTTGGTTATTGTTCATGAAAACTTCATGAAGTACAGTGGCCAGTCGAAACAATACAGTTTTCTTAAAGGTGATTCCATATGAACTTTATAATGGTTATGAATAATTAACTGTTGAATGCTAAACCGGTTGTTTACCTATGTTGGTTTTAAATTTTGCACCCCAAATTATCAGTCAACAAGTAGCGCAAAGAAATCACACATTAAAACATGCATGTTAGCAATGAAATTATGTGCCGAATTATTTAACAAATACTTTTAAACCACACTGCGTTATATTTTTGTTAATATTATTTGCTGGCTTTGCAACATAAAATTATTATGTCCGAACGAGAAATTTCCATTTTCATACCGTATATTCCTGCCCGTACCGTCAAGGCTCAAGCGACAAGCACGGAATTATTCGTGGATACAATGGAATCCAACCGGTTTACCATATGTAAAGGATGGTAGATTGAATGGCACAGAACCATTTCCGCTTGTTTACTCGAGGCTCGGCTCCACTTCATTCGGTCAATCTAGATTCTAGTCAACCGAGTGGTACAATCGTCTCACACTGTTTTCCACAGCGTGCCCATTGTTTCTGTTACGAGAACTTCTTGCGAAGTCGTTTTTTTGTTGGTATGATTGCAGATTTCCATTTCTTTGCAGTTTTTGGTTAATTTACCGTGCGTTTTGAACAAATTTTGTATCGCTTTCAAGACATTGCTGGCACGTTCACCATCAAGGCATCACTCGTTATTGTTAGCAGAAGTTGCAGAACCACACTTCACCAATGTGGTTTGGCAATGTTGCCATATAACACGATCTCGCTGTCAAGCCCTGCAGATGTGCTCATCGAACTTTGTAGGTAAGTGATTATTAGCAATAAAGTGAAGTAAGCTCCGTTGTCCTAGTTTTTGTCGTTATCTTTTGCTCATTATTCGTACGGATCTGCCAGATGCTTCTTCACTGGCTGACGCCAGATTAATAAGCTCAATGATTATAATGAGTCAATAAGGTGTTCTGATGTATGTCTGTCTTCCTTCTGTCTTTTACACGTGCAATAATCAAGATTGTTATATTTGATAAAAAATGAGGCAATTTCTGTTGTATTATCTGCTGCATACAGTTAGACTGTTAGTGTTAGAGCATTTTCCGCAGTAAACCATCGAACACTGGCTGCGCGCGGATGTAGACTGTAGAGTCACTATGGGATTGGCAGCGTGAGTGATCAGCAAGGCATCCTATTCGTGCCACTCGTCTCTCCTCGGCAGCCGCGACCGTCAGGTGGGTTTGGTCTTTATCCTTGATGTCCTCCTGAGGCTGTTATTAACAAAAGAAAAATCCTTCAGTCTGCGTAGTTTTTCCGTTTTTAAAAATTAACGATTTTGACAGTCACAGCGGAAGGCCCAGTCCCAGTGCAAATTGCAGCAGGCTTTCCTTTTTAATTGCTTGTGTGCTGCTTGCTCCACTTACATAATGCGTGCCGTGCTCTCTTTTCAGCACTGAAAGGATGACATCGACAGAGCTGCGGGTGGGAAATAAGTATCGACTAGGAAGGAAAATTGGTTCCGGATCGTTTGGTGACATCTATCTCGGTATGTGTGATGTGTAATGTAGGATTATTTATTATTTACAATTTTTTAATTTCCATTATTTGTTAAATATGTAGATTGCGAAGCTTTCCAAAATTTTGCTGGTTACGTTTAAATTTTTGTGTTAGTATTACGTATCACTGTACAGATGCAATAAGCTTCCTGTGTTTGTGACATTTCAATTTGGTATGGCTTTCCATATCCCCTTATTTTTTTGTAGAATAAAATTTGTATATTCATATCGGTTTAATTTATGCTTGAATAACAGTATGATAGTGTAAATATTACAGTGAAAGAAATGAAATCTTTCGTCATTCCCTTCATTAGCAACTGTATTGACTCACAGTCTCACGATAATAAATAATAATTTCACCGGTCAGTTTTTGTACGGCATTTTTCCTTTGAATTTGCAGGTACGGATGTCACGACCGGAGAAGAAGTTGCCATTAAGTTGGAATACATCCGAACTAAGCATCCGCAGTTGCACATCGAGAGCAAATTCTACCGAATTATGCAAGGAGGAGGTGAGAACAACAAATTTTTGACAATTATTAGCTCAGGATGTGAACATATACGCGTAGTATCACGTGCAGTTGCATAATGGATGTTTTACTCGTATTATTCGGTTTACTATTATGGCATTGTACATAATAAGAAAATGATCCCTTCAACATCGGTAACACGTGAGTTGTAGTGGGAATACCTATTATAAAATGGTGCGGAGCGGAGGGCGACTATAACGTGCTGGTTATGGAGTTGTTGGGGCCTAGTTTGGAGGATCTGTTCAACTTTTGCAATCGCAAATTCTCATTGAAGACTGTGTTACTTTTGGCTGACCAATTGGTAAGAATTGGGTTCCTAATTTTAATTATTGGTTAGAGTTTTGAGTCGCATTTTCTCGTTTTTCAGATCTCACGAATTGAGTTTGTCCATAATAAGAACTTTATTCATCGCGATATAAAACCGGATAATTTTCTCATGGTAAAAACACTTTCATCGAAATCCATGAGTGCAACAACATAAATTGTTATCGTACATTAGGGTCTCGGTAAAAAAGGAAATCTTGTGTACATTATCGACTTTGGTTTGGCAAAGAAGTATCGGGATCCACGAAGCCATCAACATATTCCTTACCGAGACAATAAAAACCTGACTGGAACCGCACGATACGTTTCCATCAATACACACAAAGGAATCGGTAAAAATTTTGGTTGTGTGGTTTCATGAATGTTCATCCCTTTTTATGCTACGGTAGTGTTCTTATCGTTTTACTTTGCAATATTTTAGAACAAAGCCGGCGTGACGACCTTGAAGCTTTGGGATATGTCTTGATGTATTTTCAACGAGGATCCCTCCCGTGGCAAGGATTGAAAGCCAACAATAAACGGCAGAAATATGAGAAAATCAGCGAAAAGAAAATTGGCACTCCTGTGGATGAGCTCTGTCGTGGTTATCCCCGTATGTTTGTTTGATTGACAGATTTTTAAGTGATTCGTTTTACCCATGTCTATGCTGCAGGTGAATTCGGTCAGTATTTGGATTATTGCCGCAGTATAGATTTTGATATGAAGCCCGATTACCTTTACCTTCGCCAAATGTTCCGCACCCTATTTTCCCGTAGCGGTTACACATACGATTACAATTTCGATTGGCACGCCAAGACAGCTGTACGAGTATTATTTTAAATGATCATTAGTCTACAGAGGTGGCAGGACTTCGAATGTCATTGCGTTTGCGCTTAGGGCTCTGCTGCTGGATCCACAAACACGCTAGTTAGGAAGGACGATCTTCCTGGCCTGAGTACGTCCGGGAATTCCGGAGGGAGACGTGTCGATAATATGATCTCGCCAAAGAATGATAGCACAGGTAACTTACAGATGGTAGAAGTAGAGTGATAGTACAACTGTACAAGTACATAATACTCGTAGCATAGAAACATTTGATGCCGCGTGTGGGATATTTCGGTAAAACAGTAGGTTCTGTTGAGAACAGTTGGTTGATTTTCAGTTCCTTTGTGATGGTAATCGTGGAATGAACCAATGTATACCTGTACAAGTTGAACAACTATACCAGGAAGTTATTTAATTTTTTTTCAAGTTCAAGTGTAAATGGCTTTTAGCTTGTACAATTTGTCAATAAAACAATTAAAAAAAATTTTTTCTACTGTTGCAGGTTGGAATGGTGCATCGATCACCACGAACCCTGCCACAAGCGGGCTTTCAAAACCGAGTACGGGTAAAACTCCGGTGCCGCCAATGGGATCTAATAATACTCGCTATCGTGCGACTAATTTAGTACGGAACAGTCGAGGTCTCGATCAGGTCACGCCCGAACAAGCATCCCGTTTGGCACAACGGGGAAATGCGAAAACGCAGTACCTGTTCGGCACGCGATGATGGGCTGTTGAACTACGAGTTATTGTGTATCTCGGACTTCAAAAGAAGTTGTGGCCATTCCTACTTTCGCGTTAACCTTCGTTGTCGAGCCAGTTGACCTCTACACATGTTCTGGAACTCGTAGCTTTTCGGCTGTTTAGCCGAACAGTTTGCCAGTACGTGCACGGTTGTTTAGCATTGAAACATTTTGTACAACTGGTTTTTGAGTACTTTGATATCCTTTGTTACTCACATTTTGATGCTGATGAGAGCTGCATGTTCAGCACGCTCTTTTTGTTGATGATGCGTAAGTGAACTGCTAAATTCTTACTTTTTGACTACTTTTTTACTTTTCACTGTATAGTTGCTTGATGACCTTAAGCTTATCGTCAATGGACGCGTGGCTGGTGTCTTAACATCTTGACGAATTTCAGATCAAGAAATAATTTCGCCAGAATACAGGGTTGTTGAATTTTCTGTGGTCTGCAGTGCCCTGTGACCTGTCTTTTTTATACCTCTGTCTTTTTTTGTCTTTTTTGTCTAGTTTTTCATCACTTTATATTACCATAGCAAAATAATAGACTTCATTGATTGATCCAGGTGACCTGGTGAGGCCTTTACAGTCAGATTTTTCTCCAAAACTTTTGCATCGGGGCATTGGCACTTCTTGAACATTGCCGACAGTTGTTTTGATTGTAGAAATTATAAGAAATTTGCAGTTACTACAACAGTAGTACACAATGTTATAAAATTATTATTATAATTACCGTATTATCGTAATCTTGTTACGTCATACAGTCATGCAAGTACATAATGCAACTCGTACTGTACGTAACATCGACCTCCGTACAAGATGTCACCATTTCGGGAGGAAGGCGCGGAAACACCTGCTTACGACATAATAGTTTCGTGACCGCAGTGACGCAGTACTTACGTACAGTACGTACTTATTCCCCATGCTCTGGTAACCACTGTGCTGCATGGTAGCATTGACCAGTGCACAGGCATTGAACTGTCGCAGGCGGCAGGCAGTTGCGGAGATCAGGATTCTTTTATTTTACGGTTAGATAATTTTGGGGGAGGTGAAAATAACGCGGTCGATATTTTTTTATTTCTTCTGTTTATTGATCCTACCCGGTACGTTTTTGTGGTTGGGTATCAGGTGTACTAACTTAGTTGTTGGTGATTTTTGGAAATGGCATTACAAAAATCGATGTTGATGGGGCGCGTTTTTGTGTCTGTTTTGATTGTTCTTTGTTCGCGCTTTCTGGGAGCTTTTGCTTCCTCGTCAACACTAGAAAAAGAATCAGAACGTACCAACATTTTGGCTGTCCCGTGGAGCGATTTGTCTTTTAATTCTTTGCAACCACCTTCCTGTAAGTCGAAGCCGTCACCGTGATGTGTGTGTGGCTTTTCTGAGTCGGTCACGTTTTGTGGAGATTTCTGACACTCAGTGTTTATCTTGTGTACAGTTGTCCCGACTTGCGCGTTTTCTGTTGTTCCTGTACACGCGGAAGAAGAGCCGACGAAAGGAATATTCGTACAGTTCAAATTAGGGAAATACAATTATATTGCCCGTGCTTCGCTGCATAACGGAAAATACTGCACCATCGACGTTTTTCGTCTGGATGTGTTGTCCACGGGAATTCGGTTTGAATTGATAGCGTCGACAAAGCTGCAGTATGAACCACTTGGAATTAAGGTCAGTGGTGGAAATCTGCGTACGCAGTTTATTTTGTCGGTACAGGTTCGGAATGTTGATTTTACTGAAAAACTTTTCTACCGGGCGTTTTGTTGCATTTTGTATCGTTTGAAACTATTTTAACTCTAATTGTTATTTACTGCATTAGTTTTTGCGGGGCGAAGGCTTTTTAATTCGAATAACTCAGTTTGGTAGGTAAGTACTAATCACTAATCAGAGTAAAATTTAAAAATTAATGGGAAACACTCAAATTACTGACATCTGATAATTTAGAATAATTTCCTTGGTTTCGAAATGTTTATGTTGGCGGATATTGGTCTGACCAGACAAACTGTCGGCGGTTAACCGCAGATGCCGTTTTGACAGGCCGCATCGTGCGACGACACGGAAGCGTATATCGTTGTCCTGATTACCAAAGATGGCATCGGATCCGATGTGCAGCTTTTGGTATTCAAACCAGTGGAGCCGGGAAACATGGAGGAATACGTTATTGCGCACAATGCCCAGTTGTCGGGATTGAAAGGTGTCGCCGACATCAGCATAAGTTGCTACAAAGAACAAGTTATTTTCGCCTTTGCCCAGTCGACCACCCTATCTCCGTCGCGACCTAAGGAAGTGACCAGGTACGTGGGAAAATCATTATACATTTTGAAATCACTGGAATTGTAGCTTTGTAAACAGCTGCGAACACATGCCCTTAGAAAAGGAATGGGAGGCTTAAAAAAATGGAATGGCTTAAAAAGGAATGGCTTTAAAAAAAAATGTAGTTAAGACAAAACTACCGAGATTGAATATATGTATTAGAAGAAGTGTGGTAAATTGATGGTTATTAATTTAAGTATGTTTTTCCAAAAATTTAGAATAAGTTTGCAACCGCCTGCTTTTTTAGTTCGGTTCATGTTTGGAGTCCTTTAAGCCGCTCTGTGATCTCATCAATGACCGCGGATACCGTTAATTCCGTATCAGTTGTCGTTTTCGAAAGTGGCCAGTGCTTGATGATCATATTCGCACAGAACAGTAACGGAGGGAGCGGTGGTCCCTTGGACACACTTCTGTATTGTCTTTCTTCCGGTAAGCAGCTTCCTTACTTGCCCATACACGTTGTTTTTGTAAAGAAATTTTAATTTTTCGAAACTTGAACAAATTACGGTTTCTAGCACACGCAAAATGATAAATAAAAAATTATATTTTTTTTCTCCTCATTTGTGAATTTGGTACAGTACAATAATTGTATTTCACAGGATCGCCCACGGAGTGGAAACTCGTTTTAGCTCAATCACTAAAATTGTGTGAAGTGAATGGAATGGAATTGTACACTAATCCGAAGCGTGAACTCGGGTTATTTGTGGCCATATCGAAAAAATCCTCTAATTTTAAATTCTGCCCAAGCACTCCTTTGACTATGAAATGGAACGGCAATGAGTTTGTCCCCATTAAGAATTTGACCGTGAAGGGCGTTTCTGATTTCTATCATTTCCCATCGCCGTGCTGTAATATCGTGCTTGCTCAGCACACCGGCAACGAGGTACGAGTAAATTAAACGACATTCACAAATTTGCCGTATTTGGCTCGTTTCCTTACCTTTCTACCCTTGTGTGTTTGATATATTAGAGATCCCTTAGCGTGTTAGGATCATCTGAATCACTCTTCGAAGACGTTAAAAAAGTGGACTTTCTTTTTGTGGAGGATCGCAGTTTCTTTCTGATATCGTTTTCCAGCAGCTCTCATCAAACACCTCTGCAAGAGTTTGTTTGTGATCGACGGGCTGGTCGGAAGGCAAAGACAGCATTTGGTGCGGGAGGGACACCGGTTGTGCCGCTAGAAGTGGGTGCCGGCTATGGACTGCCAACGCCACCTTTACCTCCAGCTGCTGGTAAGAATTTGATAGTAATACTGTACCTTGTAAGTTGTAGGCTTTGATCTGACAATATCCTTAAAGTTAGAAACGTAAAACTAGTTTTTAAAATGTTTGCAAAAAAACAATTTACCTATGCAGTATTTTGAACGCAGACCCAGCCGCTTACATGACACCACCGCCCATCATGCCTCCAGAAATTCCACTGGTGCGAAATAATCGAAGCGGAGTCTTACCGCCGCAAATGAATATGGCAGGGCGAGTTTTCAACCCGCTGGCTAATATCACCGGACCTTTAAACACAAGCGCAGTTATTTATCCTAATCCTTCTCCATTTGCACCTCCGAAACAAATGCCCGTAATCCGACTCGAATCGGGAGTTAGTTCAATGGTTAACCGGTCCAGGAATGGTCGAGTACCGAGACCTTACGTCTACCGCCTTGGAAAGCAGAGTAAGCCGGTTTGATAATGCCATTTACAGTAGATTGAATGTGATGTGGATTTACTATTGGCGAATGTTTGGTCGTTTGCAGCGGAAACAATTGTTGTTTCCTACTGAGCAGTGGTTCAGTCTTTCGTTTATACTAATCTTTGGTTTTTTTATTGTGATAGTCCAACTGTTTTTCTGCTTGATAGACGGCACAGCAGTTTTGAGGAGACCTGGTGTTCCCAACAACAAAGGTATCCCCGTTGCCGCCAAAGTGCAAGTGAAGCCGTTGGTGCTGCAACCGAAAACTCTGCCTGTTGTACACCAAGAAAGAAAAGTTTATTCTCGCGTACTGAACCCCAATCCCCAACGTCCATTCCCTCCCGGCCGGAATATGACCAGTGGGCAACGTAGGAAGGGGCCGGGGGTTGTGCGCCCCGTCATGCAGTCTGGTCCAGTGAAATTGCTTCCTGCTTCCCAAAGGATGAAGCCGATGCCTCGTATTCATTACACGGATATGAGCGATATATCGAATGAAATGGCCTATGTTAAAATATCGCGGCCAGGACTCAGAAATTTCTCTAATGATTTCGACGTGCAGGAGAAACAGCAGCCGTTTTTACCGCCGATAACGCTTTAAATCGTGTCCCGATCTGGACCACTATAATCCGATGGCATTCTTGCACGGATTGAACGGGGAGACTGGGATGCATATGCATGATCTCAACACAGCTGGAAAGTTGTATAGATTTACGGATACGCTGCCTGCAGCAACTCTTCAGACCGCCCGGTGTTACTGGACATTTTTACCTTAACTGTGATTTCCTTTGTGATTTTGTTGTTTGAAATGTAGTTTTATTATAAAAGCTTTGCTGCAAACGGTATGCTTGTTTGAAGCCTTTACCTTCGGTATGTACTCTTTTGGTTTTGATTGTGTAATTACATTATTTGGATTTTTTCCATTATATTGCAGCATTTGCTTGAATTTTGTGAGATATTTGTAAATCACGGCTTTTGACCAATAATAAATTTTTTATTCTTTACGGTAGAGGTGACTTGCGTAGTATACAAACACCGCCAACTATTCGTCGGCAGTACAATGGCAATCGTTACTGAGCCGACCATAACGCATTGGCATTAGCAGTCAATATCACGGTCAGTAAGAACACTTCAAACCTCAGTAAAAAATGACATTCAACAACGGAACAAGGCAGCAAATGTAAGAAAAAAATCAAGAACTACGATTAAAAATCCCCAATCACAATGATCAGGATATCTCTCAGTAAAACCGACTACATGTTGGTTTTGTTGCCAGCAAAGAGACACTGCATTCGATGAATCTCTTCGGACAAACAACAAGTCAACGGTAAAGATTAAGAAAATCAAATAGCGGTTAAAAAAGAGGACAAAAAATAGAAAAACATCTCTTTCGGTAATTCATTTCACCCTAACATCCCAAATAACCATTAATCCATCCATACCGGTAGAACAAATTGTTGTGTCGTTTTTGTTTGACGAAGCCATCGAAAGTTGCCTAATAATTGGGCATACATTCAAAATTCAAATTATGGAAACTATTACTTATTGTTTATTAAAAATAAAACACTCACGTTATGGTGTTCTGATGTGTTGTATCTAAAAGGACATCAACATTTTCGCTAGTTGCCCGCTTATCCATATCTGCGAACTTCTTCAAAGCACTAGAACAAAACGCACAATTCTGATTACAAGATAACGCCAATAAAGATGCAGGGCAGCGAAACAATACCTAAATCCCCCAGTTTCTCGCTTCTGAACTTGGTCCACTTTCATTTCAAAAGCAAGCTTCCCGCTTTGGTCATATTTGTACAACATAGGACAGCAGTCATGGCCCTGGCAAGCAATTGGTAAATTTCGTTAAACAGAGCCACAATAATCTGATTCCACGTTATTTCCGCTTCTTACAGCCGCAAGTATATGGTTCTCCCTTAGCCAAATGCAGGCCATAAACGGTAGGAACATGGTCCTCTGGGTGACGGCATTGTTGACGTCACGCTTGGAGTCCACCACCGAGATAGAACTGTCATGCGACACCCAGGCTAGCTTGTCACCAGAAGGTGAGAAGCGTACATCGTGTGTCCAGCCACCTGATACACAAATAATGCAGTAGCCATATTTCATGCCTGAGTGCGGACGATGATTGCGCCTGTCACCATTTCACTTACCGGACCGGCTGTATTCGCTGAGCATGTTGGCAAACGTAGTCTTATCTCCCCATGATGAGGGCGATGGTTTATCGTCGACCTCTTTTATGTACGCTGAGAACACTCTACAGTAATTTATTCGATGGATTTTAATACACTAAACTGATTTCATTTGCTCAGTTCGTAACGTACCGAGTAGTGAAATCTGTAGCTCCAACTGCTAACAAATAATTATTGGGGTGCCAATCTATGGACGTAACAGTGGATCGGATCGGCTTTTTTATGTGCTTACTAAGCCACCTAAAACACAGGAAGCTTGTGGGTCACATCGCTCACATGCACAATGATCATTGTGTAGCTTTAACATGCATTATAGTAATTAATACAGTATTTTTAATACCGTAAAATGATTTTACTACTGTTTATTCGATGCCTCATTGCCTACAGAGTATACTTAAAGGGCTAACGAAAAATTAATAATTATAATATAATATCTATAAAGTATAATTATAATATAATATAATATATATAATTAATTTTAATTATTTTTAAATTGTTAACTAGCTTGCAAAACACAATTCATATTTTTTGCAAGAATCACTTAAAGCTTACACAACAAAAACAACTTTGCATTTCCTAAAAAAAGTTTCAGTCAGCGTACGTAGGTGTCCAATATTTACAATTACGATCAGAGAGCAGGAGATAACGCCCACCCTTGTTTACGAACTTTCAAAAAAGCTTTAATCCACCCATTCTAGTAGTGAGTAATTGAGTCACCCATATTTTTCCTCCTTAATCTCATGCCGAACACCGCCAATAAAATGAAATGGCTAAGTAAACCAAACCCTTTAACAAAAGCGAACCGCAGTCGCTTTTAATTAGGATTTAAGATCAACAAATACTCAATTATAAGGAAATTTCTAATTCCACAAAAAACTGTTTAATATAAATTTCTCTCCAACTGTCGCACTATCTCCGTTACTGTCTTGCAAAACTGTACACCGAAGCCAGAGAAAGCAAATTTTTTCTTGGATAAATTCGCAAAAGAAAAGAGCTGCGGCGCCCAGTTCGGGAATAGTAATTGAGTGACGATCACTCACGACTCACCAGTCGTTTTCCTCATCGAAGTAGCATACTGCGACTAATTTCGCTCCACATCCCACTGCGAACTTGTTCTCCTTAGGCGACCATTTGACGCACATAGCCGCCCTGTTTATCCTTAGCAGCACAAGGGATTTAGTCCATAATCCATTGCTCAATGTCCACACGTACGCATTTCTATCCGCCCCACAAGTGACGATCCTGTTGGTATTCGGAGCCCAGTCTATACTCGTCACTCGGAGGTCGTGGGCCGATAGTGTTGCTATTGTACTCCAATGCCCATTGTGATTTTTGCAGATGATTACATCATTACTGTTTAAACTGAAGGCAATTTCTGCAAAATGACCAAGCAGATAAGTACTGATGATAAAAAATCAAAATGGTACAGCTACAAGTCGACCAGTGTAAACATTGCTGCGTCCATGCTTGGCATTTCACTCCGCTAGTTACCCTGTATTCACAATCGAATTATCCATATCTACAACAGCAATACGTGTACATGCGTCCAGTACCTGTTCGATCCTTATTCCATGCGTGACAAGTGATAGGCTCTAAACCGAAACTATGAGCTTCTGCAACCTGATAATTCCCGTTTGACATATTTGAATGCACCATGTAGGAATATTATAATTTTGTAGGAAGACAAAATCAATCACAACGAAAAAAAAACGAAAAATTCTATTAATCCTTCGTAATTCGCAATTTGCAAAACATCCATGCAGCAAAACCAGACGGCAGACGGTTTTCGGCTTCCATCATCTCTATTCAAGCTGTGACGCATCGGAAGTGGGCGACAACACAAGGTCATAATCACAAAGATGCAGCTGCACACGCTGTGTTTGGTACTCTTGCATTGACTCTGCACTGATAAAAACGGCGCACTAGGTAATTACTTGGTAGTTCTGGTCCGAAAACCTTTTAAAATAAACAAAAATTACTTGTTTATTTTGTTTCAATTGCCGTAGTTTACACTTTACTGTATTTTACAGCCTATTATTAATAATTTTACGGTAATTATTTTGAGTCTCATTGTCAGCTGACGTGGTTGTTCAATAAAAGTAGTGCACACTGGACAGTAATATCTCATATCTGTATAAAGTTATGAGAACAGAGAACTGTTTATTTTTGTTTTGTTGAAGCATTTATTAAAAATTATGTGATTGGTTTAAGCCCTCGCTTATGTTTATGGCTTAAAAATTGGCTTAAAAATGCTTAAAAATGCGTTTTGGCTTAAAAATTATGTGATTGGTCTAATAACTAATAAATAATAACGTCTAATAAATAATAACGTCTAATAACGTCTTATTGACTAATAACTGATACTCTGTTAAAGTGTTAATAGTCTAATACTAATTGTAGGAAAAAATGTCAGAGTTATTTACAGTAGTGACGGATTGAGAAACACTTTAATACTGCTTTTGATTTTAACCGTGAGTTATCCAACCACAATGCCACACGTAAAAACGGTTCAAATTTCAAATTGCTGGCAGCGATTTTGTCGTAGTTCCTGTTATCATGCGCAACGATCACCACTGAATATGTCTGCTTATAACCGGTTCATTGGCGAGTTCCTGTCTGCATTTACGATTATTTGGACACAATTGTTGCGACTAGGAGCAATCTTTTTAGTGGAATAGTGCTGTTGCGCTTGTCCGCATTCCGCAAAATGCACAGGACTACCAGAGTTTTTCCGCAATGGATGTCTTTCTCGTTTTATGTCTTTTTTCTCATATATCTGAGCAGTTTTTGCTACGAATGTAAGAAGGCGGACGATAATAGCCATCATGAACGGGAAAGAGATCGGAGACCTCCTCCAGATGAACCGAAAGAAACACGACAACCTACACCTTGCGAAGGTAGGATGAAGAATCAGCTGTTTTATAACTGTATGAAATGAAATTATTATGAACACATTAAAAAATTAAGACATTACGACTTTTTTGTACTAATAATTCTTCTGATTGTAAATAATGTTATCGCAAATAACGTAGTTGTCACTTTTGGCCCTTTTTCGTGCTTATTCTTTACAGTTAGGCCTGTAACCGGTAAATAACGTATTAGTTATTTTTCGAACGATTCACCGTCAAATTAATATGACTGAAAACCTGAAGAACAAAGCATTCACTCCTGCTGCCGTTAATTTTCTTTCGCACTAATTTTTGTAATGACGTTGAGTCTAACAAAATATTATTGACATACCGGTATATGCATCTTTAATTGTAAAAAAAATTCTTGATAAATTTAGCACCGTTCTAATTACTGGTACTGTCTGCATTTTTTGTACAGTGAAAAATTTGAACGTATCAGTTTGCAGAGTACTAGTCCATGAAATGGAAGAAAAAATGCAAAAAACAGCAGCCAAATTGAAGTTGGATTTGGGATCGCGGCCGGAAGGGCCGGATTCGCGCAAGCTGGATTACAGTCGATCGTATGTGAAGTTTCACCGATTCGTAGTATTCCGTAGCAGTAGTGGAGTACCTTATTACGCTGACCAGTGTCCTGGATGGGGCTGTTCGGTGCTCGCCGTGCTAAATATTCAACTTATTGCTTACTCATCAATCGTTAGCCACTTACGTCTAGACAGTAATACTGATCTATCAGTAAAAATGTGACGCAGCAGTTATATTGTTTTTACGGTTTTATTACCAAGTTCCGCTATAATTTGCTTACTAGCTTTTTCTTGCAGGGAGCTTCGCTTGATTGAAATTTTAGACACTGCTTGTGACGATGTTAGCCAGTACTACGTGCATGTTAAGGATGGAATGCAGAGATTTGCCAAGCAGGAAAGCGAAACTCTGGATGCTCTGAACTCGTTGAGGTGTGTATTATGTAAAATTTTTGTAAAAAACCGTTTGCACTTTTATGAAAAATAACAAAGGGAGATCGTGAGTCTGATCTCATTTTCGTAAGCTGTCTTTCAAAACTGTTTGCCTTAAATGCGTAGACGAAAAGGAGTGAAAGTTGAAATTGGAATGCCATGGGAAATCGTGGACAAACAAGCGAATAAGGAAATAATGGCGCTAAAGCGTAAAGTAAGAATTGCTGGCACTATATACAGTGGAAATTCGGAAGCAAAATTAATAATATTACATTATTTTTTTTCCAGTGCGAAGAAGTGGTCGAGAAATACGAAGATGATCTGAGCGCTTGGTATTTTCAGCAACAAGATACGAAGCCGCTAACCGATTTTATATGCCGAGACAGACTGCTGAAGAAAGAAAATCAAAGTATGGGAACCATAATATGACATTTTTCGTACTGTGTAAATATTTCAGAATTCAGAGTAAAGCATTTCAATTTATCCAGCGTGTTTGGACGAGAAATGGCAGCCGTACGGTGATCGCCCTGTGACAACCGAAGAAGAGAAAGAGCAAGAACGAGAAGAGGGTCGGCAAAAAGTTAAAAAATGGAAGCAAGAAGAGCTAGAAGGGAAAGACAAAGAATGGCAAGAAATCAAAAACCGAAAAATGGAGCTGTGAGGATACTCAATAGGGATAGAAAAAGAGAGGATGGATATTGAACTACGAGTATAGTACTTTATCATTTACTTTTAGCGTTTTTATTTATTTTTAATTGTGGGATCTGGGTTTGGACCTTTGATGAGATTGTGGCTTCCATTCTTTTTGCACTCGCATGCGTTTTTCTAATACGAAGCAATGATTTTACTGCACAGCCTCGCTTTTGCAGCTTATGGTTAGCCAGCGGTGAGCCGCGATAACAAATTGCTCAACTGCTTATCACAGAAATCCAGTGGTGTTTTTTCATCCTGCAATCACAATTTAATTTAGCTTGCTGTCATTTCAAAACTGGACCAAAATTTATAAAACAGGTACTGCTGATATGCTACTGATACGAGTTGATTTGAATCTTAAAGTATCAGGAATATCGTAATTATTGTTAGTTAGTATTAATAATTACTGTACCTTGTTTTTCATTTCAACTGACGCGCCATTTTCTGCCAGTATTCGCGCAACATCTGGATTTTGGGATTCACAAGCTACGTGTCTGCGTTAAAAAAATCACGACCATAATTGATGAGCCTTTTAACGAAAAGATTAACGAAGTCTATTAGCGAAAAGCCTCTATTAGTTGTAAAATTTTATACCCACGGCCAGCTGTAAGTGCACAAATAACTCACAATGGCGTGTTCCCGAAATTATCAACGGCGTTAACCGTTGCTCCGTTGTGTATCAAAAACCGGCATATGCGGCTGTGGCCCTGGGAAGCAGCCCGATGAAGAGGTGTGCTACCGGAATTATCCTTCACGTTCAAATGTGCACCCAGTTCCAAAAGAAGCTCAGCGATCTATAATACATATGTCAGTAAAGACTTCAATATCTTCTGGAAAAATTCGAAAAGGCGTACAGGGAGCTTATCCTTGGAGGCTGCGTAGTGGATCGGCTGCTGACCAGTATCATTCGTCTGCCGGATGTTGGCCCCTTTGGAGACCAGGTAGCGAACTAACTCCTCCTTTCCGGACGCAACGCTAATCAGCAATGGCGTCCAACCATTCTATGGCAATTTTTTTCATGAGGCATAAAATTACTCTCTAGTGATCAAAATAAATGAAAACAGGATCTCAAGACTCATTGCAACGATCAACTACCAGTAAAGGATAAACCCATCAAGTAGTAAGCATTTCCCCGAGTACAACAACTTGCAGCAAAAACGTTAGCTAAATGCTCGTTAACGACCAAAGCTGAGACACATCCGTTCACCTAGCGGTACTGCGGTAGTAACGGGTAGTTGCACGTTAAACTAGCGTTTTTCCTCAAGCTGTTTCACTCGGGTATTACAATATATAGAACAGTGACGCCATATAAGTACGCATATGAAAGCTCGATCTGTTGCAAAGAGTGATTTATTTTAACTGTAATATGCTAATTAGTGACTTATAATTACAACAAAAATTCCAGGTAAAGTTAAAAATATGCAATCGACAGTTAGTGCTGAAGGTATTACTAGTAAACCTTTAAAAGAATCAACGAAAAGCATTTTTAAGGAGCAATTAAGTTACAGTGGAACAGACGGTAACGATCACGGCTTACGAGTCCTACCTGATCAGGCTCGTCGATGGGAACGCCGAGATTAACCAAATACTCCACAAATTCTTTATGCCCGCCTGAACATGCCCAATGTATCGCTGCTCGACCGCTCTAAAATAAAAGAATTCAAGCTCAAAATGCAACGAATGGGATAATAAATGTGGGCATGTACTGTATTTACACTGTCGGTAAACATTACACTATCTAATGTGAAGTTGTACTGTATATTACAAGTTTGTGCTGCACTTACGAAAGGGAACTTCAAAGTTCAAAGTGTTCCTCTACATGTTTCATCCATCCAGGACGTTACAGTACGTGGTTCATTAGGACATACCTCGTCGGGCTTTGTCGCAGCTGACCTATCCTTTTCGATCACATCTTTGACTTCTTGAATCTTTCCGTCGTAAATTTTCTGTCCCAAGCTGGGCTGCCAGCTGCTTGCCAATCCAGGAAGTCTCTTCTCTCCAACCATATCATCAAAATTGAGTCAAAATCCCTGCACAGGCTGCTTTCAGCAAATGAGTTACTCAGCACTCAGCACAACGACAAGCCAAAACAAACGATTACTCCCAAATTTACTTATTATTCGCGTTTAAAAGTGAAAAGAAATATGAATCGAACTAGCCGTTCGTAGCGCAAAAAAAAATTTGGTCCGTGAAAGTGTTTTGTGCTATTTAACTGTGTAGCGGTGCCTTCTATCAAAAACTGAAATATGCTTTGTCACGGAGAAAATGATAAGCCAAAAACCACAACAACGGCATGACGTCAGGCGGCTAAACGACATACAGCCGCATACATACTCGCTCGTCGTCAGCTGTTTCGTCTCCACTCTCCAATTTTCTTTTATTTTTTGCCAGTTCCTTCCATTTTTATAACATTTTAGCCGCTTCGTTCTATGTAGTTTGAAGTATTGCTTTGCTAGTTACAAAATGGTTTTAACTTTTGCTGTTGCGACGAAGTTTAAACGATAACGGCGCAGCAGGCGCGCTTTTATTATCGCTGCTTTAGAATGGAACGAAGCCTCAGTGAAATTGGCGCTTTCGTTTCGTCTCCCTACTATTTTTCTTCTCTTCCGACAGTGGATCCCTCGCCTCAGTCACCTGTGGAGGAGTCACTATCTATAACGCCATCAGCAGCTGCTTGTGCGGACCGTCCGGCGATGAGATCCGCTGTGCAGCGAATAGCTTTAACTTCTGTGTTTTACGCAGTTCCTTGTCAGACCCTTGCACAGGCGCTGCTAGGGAAAATTCTGGTCAGGCAGCTCGAAAGTGGCACTCTAATCAAAGGGAAGATCGTCGAAACCGAAGGTAAAATCACTCGTTTGCAGATATATTATGCACTCGTTTGGTGGAGACGTCAGACGTGAACTTAAATTTATAGTCGAATTTATTAACAGCATATCCCGGGGAAACGGATCGGGCATCCCATACCTTCAACGGGAAAACTAAGCGCAATGCAGCCATGTTTGCACAAGCAGGGACCGCGTATGTTTATTTTGTTTACGGCATGTATGACTGCTTCAACATCAGCGCTCTCGGTACGAAGGCCTACTTGCGCATTTAAAATTAAATAATTAAAGCAGATTCGTTTAGAACCCGGTGCTGGAGTGCTAATTCGCGCTATCGAGCCGCTGGACGGTGTGGAAGCCATTCGGAATTTCCGTAAAAACGGTGATCGTGTTAAACTGCTGCAGTTGTGCAATGGCCCAGGACGGTTATGCCAGGCCTTCAACATCACGACAGCTGTATTTAATGGGCGGGATTTGACGGAAAAACGGGAATTATGGCTCGAAGATGACACTACCCAGCAGCCGATCACGGTAGTGTCCGCGCCGCGGATCGGAATTGATTCATACGGCGCCGAATGGGCGGCTAAGCCGTGGCGCTACTATATTCTCGGCAACCAGTTTGTCAGTAAACGGGATAAGATTGCAGAGGCTAATTTGTCCGTAGAAGTTTTACGCCTGCCGAATTCAGAATCAGGAAGTGCTCGTCGAAAGCGCAAAAACAGGAGTGAATGAGAACTTCAAATGAAATGGCCAAAGTTGTGGTTGACTGTTTAACTGTGCCGGTATTGCGAGGGATTCTTATTTCTTAATTTTTTATTTGCTGCATTCCTGTGAATTCTTACATTTGAAAGCTTACCTGTTTTTAGATTCAGGGTTTGTTGAATTCGAAAATTAAAAACACAGAACCGTATTTGATACCGCGAAGATTTGTTTAAAAAGTGTCTGCCGCATGGACTTCTGAAATTGGATGTTACTAGTGCATCCGAAACAGTATTTTCGTTTTCTTTGTTTAAGAACTCTGGAATAAATATTTCAAAACGTTTTTAACAACTGCGAATGTGTCATCGGCCATCAGCTATCGCTACTGCAAAGGGAAAACACTCGAAATGGGAAAATAATTCGGCGATTGCAGTTATGCTAATTGCCGACGCCGCACGGTGATCTACAGTACGATTTACAATTACTAATTTTGTCATACCATAATAGTGAAGTGCTATGCACTGCTCTTACTGAATGCTACGATATGACATCACATGTGTTGCACAACATCAGAAGCGCGCTGTCATGGTCTGTGTATAATATACACAGACCATGGCGCTGTGATTTCGCAAGTTTTTGAGTGTTATGACTTCTGTGTTGTGGTTTCTCTCGTACTTCCCGTAATAAAAGTGAATTACCGTACTTTCCATTCATATTTTTATCTAAATATTCCACTGGTTATTTTAATTGTCGGTTGCTTTTCAGTATACTTACGATTTAGCATTTGTGATGCCGCATTTAAACTATGGTTCCCCTGTCATTGGCCCGGTAATTATACTGTACATGTCTGCAGCTCTGCATATCGTATAATTATGAGAAAGATAAGAAGGGTGGATTAAAGCTTTTAGGTTAATTTACCATATATTCATATCTATAGAAGTAGCGATGTCCACTTTGTTTTATTAATGGTTAGTAGTTAAAGGTGTTAAACTACAGTTTGCGCTGCATTCGCTTTCTAATATAGAGTAGATGTTTACGGTTTACCTATAACCTATCCCTTTTAAAACTTTCTTTTTTCGGAGACTGTGCCCTGCGTGTACGAGATTCCTGGTACATTACCTGATTACGGGATGTTCGTCATAGAAGGATTTGTTCCCTTTGATAGCCGAGGGTGCGCCGTATGACCACAGTGCGTCTGTGAGACAGAGATTCATGTCTTGCTTCCGCTTTCAGATTCGCTGTCAACCTACAGATGGGTCCATCGGTGAATCCCAGAGACGATGTTGCACTCCATCTGGGATTCTTATTGTCGCCCAATTCTCGCCTCTCCGTTAATACTATTCAACGGAACCAATGGGGAACGCCAATGGACTATTCATCCTGTCCAATGAATAAAATGGACGCCTTCCAGATTTTCATCCTCGTGCAGAGACGAGCTTTCATGGTGAATTTTTTTTCAGATTTCTGAATGTTAGGTTATCGTGTTAAACGTCACTGATGATTTTTTACAGATTGCATTAAATAATCAGCATTTTTGTGAATTTCCACACCGGATGGACCCTACACAGATCCGTGCCATCGCCATGGATGGCAGCGTAACGGTGAATGTTCTTCGTTTAGAATTTCCCGGTGGAGCTCAAACAGCCCAGGTACAAGTTTAAAAAACATTCAGTTATTCCACTTGTGCGAAGGAGAAGTTTAGATACATACTGCTAGTAATTTTAATACTGTGCTTAAAGAACGGTTGGCAAGAGACGTGTATTTGCTGCTTCAGATTACTTACAGGCTACAGTTAAAATATTGTTTCTGTCTGGGGATAGTCAAGCGCTGCCCGTACTGTTCGTACAGTTTTCGTATTGCGAATGGTTTTTTTCTTATACTGGAATATTATTTGACTGGATTTGGTGGTTTTTGTTGAAGTTGACAGTCAGCAAATTCGTTCAAATTGACATGCTATTACCTAGCCGGTCACGCAGTTACCTCTTGAAATGTTATGCGATAATATTGTAAATTTCTCCATTTTTTTGTGAATTTAGAATTCTTCGAATTCTTTGCCACCTCAGGCGCCGTTATACGGAAATTCTCAGTCAGGATTTCCTCCGATGCCGGCCTCATACTCAGGATTTCCATCGTCCAGTGCCCCACCGAACGGCGCTTACCAGACAACTGCACCGGAGTATGGAAGAATGCCGCAAAATCAGCGCTCCACTACGCCAGGAAGTTCGATGGCCAGTTTGCTTACGGTAAGTTTGTGTAAGTGTCACAGTAAATGGTTTGTTAAATCTTTGGTTTGTTTGTGGTTTGTTAAATCTGTCACAATAAATGGTGCTGCATCTGATTTTTGAAGCTGGTGCATAAATAAGTTTTGGTGTTGGTAAATTGAATACATGTAGAGCGGAGCAGCTTTGGGCGCGTTGGGAGGATTGGCGGCAAAAGCCGCGCCACTATTCTATCCCGGAATGAAGAAGAAAATGAAACATAAAGGTCGTAAACAGTACGGAATGTTTGGACCGATGGGCGGCAGCGGCAGCGGTATAGGTACGGGAAGCCTGCTGGGAACGGTAGGCAGCTTGATCGGTGGAGGGGGCCATCGTTATGGACCTGGTTATGGTCATCATGCGCACGGCGGTGGAGGAGGCCTACTGCCTGGTTTGGGATTGGGAGCGGCGGCTGGGCTAGGAGGAGCAGGCCTTGGCTACGCAATGGGACATCGCCACCATCATGGCGGACATGGTTACGGGCATCGGAGCAGTAGCAGCTCCTCCAGCAGCTACTCCAGTGACTCGGACTGAACCGGTGGCCCGGTGGGAACAACCTACAACAGTGCTAATCTGTCGTACTTTCTTGGATTTAAAGTTTTGATTTATGGAACTCTGTTTTTAAGGTACCATGATCTGTAAGCAGAATCTTCACTGGTAAAATCTTCGTTCGTGAAGTTGGTAAGAAAAGGATTTTCCTCTCTTGTTCTAATGTTGACGCTTTCGTAAAATGTCAATATTTTCGGTGACCGATGTGATTAGTGAACACAATACTAACAGGATGTCACAGATGTATAATAATTTTATTAAATTTTTATATTTTTTTGTAATTTGAAAAGTACGTTTGTAAATAGTGCATTTCGTGGTGCTACCGTATGTTTTTGTAATACCGTTGTGTACATATATATGCTGTGCGCGTGAGAAAAGCACGAGTGGCATAAATCATGGCTGTTAGCTCAAGTTGTGCGATTCGTGATGTGAGACTGTTGTCTTTTCCCTTATAAGTCTGTTTGCAGAATATAACTGAGTTTTTTGATTAAAAATTGATTGTTATGGATAATGGTGAGTGGGAAACGCAACAGTGGTTGCAGCCAAAAACCAAATCAATGCGTATAGTATCACTAGATCGATTCTCATTTAGCTGTCACTTGTGACGTTCAAAAAGCCGGATCGATTATTGTTTCGTGCTGGCGGAGTTTTCACCGGCATACCGTGACTTTTTCCTGCCATGTATTTTGTATTTTGCAAGTGTAAATAACAAAATCGTCGATCTTAGCAGTTATCAGTAGATGTTTTTACCGCTGTATTCTGCATTAAACGCTAATTTATGTGTGTGTGCTAAATTGTCACCGGAAACATTTGCCAACTGTGTGGTGGACTCAGCCTGTTTGAACAGCGCCGTTTGCTCCAGTGCGGCATATGTCAGGCAGTAGGAAACGTGTAAGATGACGACAAACTGCTGGTGAAAAACCCAATTACGGGATAGCCTGTTGCTTAATTGAGTTTAAATCCACCCGCGATAAATTGGCCCGATTACGTTATGATCTGGTTAATCAAGCGTATACATTGAAAATTGCAATGATGCGGCTATACTTACATATGTGTGTGCGCGTGTCTGTGTGTGAGCCAAGAGGCATGAACCGTTTGAAGAGTCGATTCAGCTTTTAAGTGGCTTTTTTGAGATCCCTACAAGATGGCAATCTCTGAAACATTTTGCGCGATAAACGGATTTCTGAAATGCACTTAACAGATTGATCTGTCCCCCCGATGCTCCACCCCGCCGTATATGCAAAACCGGCAAAATACTTGGGATGCGGCTATTTGGTCGCCATGCGTGTATTGCCTATCAGGACATATATATTGCTGCAGCGGACTCATGGGAAGTAATACATTATTAAATCATGGGAACGGTGCTGGCCAAGTAACTACTCACCATTTCCTGTGTTGACAGTCCTTCACACGACGTATAGTCTTCATACTTTTTATATTGCCTAATTACAGCCTCCCTGACACTATCGTCCATCTCCTATGCATCGCACAGCTATAGGTTGCAGCTGGCTGCAAACGTGGGCTCGTTTGTGCTCGTGCACGATTATACAGCAACTCACTGTGACCTTTTACCAGCTATATTACATGAGCACCCATGAGGAGTTCCCTGAATGTTCTTGCTGGAATAATAGGCCTTTTGTCCATTTGTAAAGGTATGCATTCAATTCCGTCTTTCGTCTGAGGTAGAATTTACAGGGCGCTCATGCGGCAGTCTTGCCACACGTAAAGGTCGCGATCGATAGCGTGCATTAATTGAAGCGTCCGACTATGTCTCGTATCCGCATGTTCATTTTTTTAGCACACTGATTACCAAAGCGGATCAAATGCAGAATATTCATTAATTAACTAATAATAATAAAGAGAACGCTTACCGGAAGAAATAGTTTGATTCATAATTTGTGTGCAGTTGGACGATTACTTACCCTTTATATACGAGTATTACTGTAGATGCGAACATGTTATTATGAATGCTATACACTGTATACTAGCATTTACGACAGGTCGACATAATTTGGGTTGTGAAGTCTTATTGTTAGGCAGAAGTACATAACTGGGGTATATGAGCTATGAGATTCTAGTGACGTTGTTTACGGGAGACCGCAGTTTGGCTGAACAAAACAACTGCAAAAAAAATTTATTGGTAATTATGTATCTGACTGAAATTGCATATATCAGTTTTCAAAAATATTTGATTTTGCAATTTTTTGTTGCAGGTCGGAAAAGGTTCTGGCAACTACAGTGTTGAGGCTAATATTAGTATTATTATGTAACAAGTTTCAGTCTTATCTTACCTTTTGTTATTTTTCGGTCAAAGCGTAAGAAAGTCCCGTGAATCTTGTGAATTAAACAAACACTGCTTTTCTAGCAGTTGCTGCATGTTTAAGTTTTGGACTCCAAGTTTGTCTAGGTCATCCACTAGAAATCGATAGTTCCTAGTAATCTGAAAATTTTGTAATAAAGTTTTCTTTCTTCTGTGCTCATAATTTTTTATTGTGCCGGATAACAGATTACGGGCAGACGGGGCAGTCAGTTTTAACAGATTCTACAGAAGACCGCAGATGCTACAGGTTGCGACAATGCTGATGTACAGGTTCTACTGAGCTTGTTACAAAGCTAACAGCAAATTTTTACCTTTACAAAATTAGCATTGGCTTTGCGTTCTATATTTCGAAAGTTAGCTCCCGAAAATAATAGCTATATTTGTCCGCACCCTATTCTGTTTCCTTAATCTTGAGCTGGTCATATGGCTCTGTGTTACGATTTATACTACAGTTTTTTCTGGGACCAACTAGCCATGAATGCTACGCTACGTATAGTACATTCATAAATCAATATATCTGTACCAAACCTTTGTGTGCCTCTTAAATGAAAAATTATGACGCTCTCTGGAACTGGATCGTATTCCCGAAAATACTTGAAAAGTTTTGGTAATCGTCTGCGTCAACATTTGTGCCAGATCCAATTTGTCCGATATATGCAAACATATGTAAACGTTGTTTAACGATATACATATACCAAGCTGACGGTTGCCGTATGCAGCCTTACGTAGCCAGCACTATGCGACCGATTTCCAAAGTAAATAAATGCAGCTACAACTTCGATTATTTTTTGTTATAGTCGAATTTCTGGGATAAACTGAATTAAGTAAATAACCACCGTACATAACCCTGATTCTGGTGTGTATATTAATGCGCTATTTATGCTGTATGTTTATTGTTGTTGTATTTTCGGCGTAATGTATTCGTAACTTTGATTTGTGCATGTTAAACTGAGTAACGCGTTTAAATATAATTTTATTCATATGTTAACAAAGCTATTTTTTATAGATTCTCTGCAAGGATATCACGAAAAGCGTCTTTTAAACAGTTTTTTCGGACCGGGGTCGAATTACAGTAACATGGAACGGCCCATCCTTAATGAGTCCCTCGCTCTTCCAGTTCATTTCGGTTTAACATTACAGCAAATTATGGATGTGGTATGTCGATCATACTTGACTGCGCATTTGCGTTTGACCCCTTGTAATTTACATACGTATCGTTTTTTTCTTTATCGAAAGTTCATCCGCAGTGCCTTGATAAGTTGATATATCTGCTAGTAATGATCAGAGCAATCTTGCAGGATGAAAGAAATCAGCTTCTCTCCACCACCCTCTGGATTACAATGGTTCGTGCTTTTGTAACATTCAAATTTATGCCGGCCCCTTGGAAAAACCTTTTACTTTTTGCAAGAAATGCTGCAGCGTGCATTACGATTGCAGTATTTGTACAGACGATAATAGGCCTTGCTGTAGTAGATGTATGTTCCGTTTGCAGTTAAATTAGCAGCAAGCAGCCACCCTAATAACTAACATTATGCTAAATAAGATAAGCGGATATTGGGCAAATTAAGTTGAATAGTAATTTTTTGTTATCGATGTAAAAATTAGTTGAATCTTTTTGAAGATACTAAATATCATGGGCTGGATTAATTTTTATGCGGGAACAGCAAATTAAGCCTTTTCTTTGCCGTGGAAATAATTACAGGATGGATAATTAGTGTATATACAATTTTTTTAAAATTCATTGAATAACTGAATCACTCTTTGGAATACTGTACGTCACTATGTCCGTCTGCGCTGTTGTTACTGAATTACTCTAATTTTAAATGGCAGAATTTATGAGACTCCGGAATAGTAAATAAGTGAAGACTGAATGGGATTTGGTAAAGCTGGTTAAACTCTGTTCTAACTTCTAATTACTTTCAACAGTGATAGCTTTGAAATTAAAGGACAATTTTTAAACCCTAATGTGGTATTTTTAGATGAAAGTGAACAAGGAATACGCAGTAAAACAACAGTAAAAAAACACACAATATCTCTGCAAATCAAACCACCGTTTTTTTAACCAGTAATGCAGCCAGTATCAGTTTGGCCGCAATGTCGCATACGTCTGGAGCCTCTAAAAATGTTACCGAACTGCAAACATTTTCTAAAGATGCTTGTGCAAAAACTTTGAAAATATTTTATGTTTATGTTTATACAGGAGTGGAATGACTACAATCTGAAATGGAACAGCAGCGAATATGGGGGATTATCCGACATACGGGTGCATCCGGACAAGGTTTGGAAGCCGGATGTCCTGCTGTACAACAGGTTGGTAAAGAGCAATTAAATAAGAGTATAGTACAGTATCTGTACAGAGTATGTATATCTTATACGATAATTCTGAAAATGAGCAATATTCTTTATACTCAAATGATATTGTGCATTCGTGGTTGCAGTGCTGATGAGCGCTTCGAGAACACATTTCATTCTAATGTGGTGGTGTACAGTACGGGTGACTGCGTGTACATACCTCCCGGGATCTTCAAGAGCACTTGCAAGATTAACATAAAATGGTTTCCATTTGACGAACAGCATTGTACGCTCAAATTCGGCTCCTGGAGTTACGACGGCAATAGGATCGATCTGCAGCTGAAGAAGAACGAAGCAGATCTATCCGGATTCATGAAGAATGGCGAATGGGAACTCATTGGTAAAAAACACGTTTACCCTTACTTCGTATGGGCGAAACGTTTTCAAGAGTCATTTTTAGGAGTACCTGCTCAAAGAAACGTTATCACTTATGAATGCTGCCCTGAACCATATGTAAGATGGCATTATCTATGCTAGACAGTATAAATTTAATTTCATCAAAGTTCAAATCAGAAACCATGGTTGTTCGTAGGTGGATGTGACCTTTACGATTATTATTCGCCGAAGGGTGTTGTTTTATGTTTTCAATCTCGTGCTTCCATGTGCTTTAATAAGCTCCATCACACTTTTGGGATTCTGTTTGCCGGTTGAATCAGGAGAAAAGTTGACCTTAGGTACAAGTTGTATAATTTAGATGTTGTATAGTTTAGTTGTGTAATAATATTAATTTATTTGTATAATAATGTTGTTGTTGTTGATATTTATTTGTATGCGTTGTATAATTTATTTGTATAATTTAGTTTTTGTATACTTTACAGTAGTTACGTCAAGAATTTAGTTCTTCTAAATAGAAGTGCCTACTGATTAGTACTGATTTTTAATTATGCAGTTATTAATACAATACAAATACTCGTATCGGTCACTTTTGGATCATTATTGCTGGTCTGTTAAATGCATTACTTTTGACAGGTGTGACAATTTTGCTCTCTCTTACTGTGTTCCTTTTGATGGTTGCTGAGAGTATGCCGGCTACTTCGGATGCCGTACCGCTTTTAGGTCTGTATGATGGATTGACGCTTGCACAAAAGAAATTTGTTTTCGATATTTAAAATACGGCAGATCAGAGTGCCATTAATGGAAATTCATCTTGTCATTTGATGTTTTTAATATAGGCACTTACTTCTCACTCATTATGATGATGACCGGGCTTTCCGTAAGCAGAACGATACAAAAACCCGTGATTTTTTCCTGATCACATGGATTACTTTTCAGGTGGTACTTACGGTGATTGTCTTAAATGTGCACTTTCGTACTCCCCAAACGCACGTTATGCATCCTTGGGTAAGTTTTTATTTTTTAATTGGGGAAAACATTTTTTGTGTGACCTTTGAGTGTATGCCGGGGCGCTCCGTGTTTCCGCCATTTCCTTTGTTATCAGCTGTCTCGTGTACGGATGCGGGTGCCTTCAAAAGCCCGCCATATTTCTTGTAAAACTATTATTGCCGCACGTGTTTATTTTTCTATTAGAGGGCATAATAAAAAGCAACAAAAATTGGGGACATGAAAGTTTATAAAAAGTATACGGTTTACTTAACATGGATGCCGCGTGACTTGTGGTATTCGAACAACGTTGCCGGTCGCTGATAAATTTTAATGTTTTGAATTATCTTCGATCTCACATTTAGCATTATAAGATTAAGTATTAATTAAATAGTTACAGTTTAATCTCTTCTCTTGTAATGAAATACTGATGAGTTGTGTTAATCTGTCGATTTTGCAGGTTCGCAAGATACTGCTGGTTTGGCTGCCTTTTATCTTAGGCTTGAAGCGTCCTGGACCCATGCCAAATATGTGCCCTCCAAAACCTAAAATCTGCCGTTCCTGCTTTAAAACCGTCAATGCTAACAACGTCAACTCAGACAAAAATCACGGTCGTTCCCTAAATGCCTTAGATCTAGAGTCGCGCTCGTGCAGTCTGCTCGCGAATGTACTGGAGCTCGATGACCGGCCAAAATCCTTGCAGTTGCTAAATCACAACACTTTTTCTTCTCCGGATCATCAGTACGTCGTACGTCGCCGATCCAGACCTCAGGTTACTAATGTTAAACCTTCTATTGGCTTATTAAATTAAACAGTACATGAACGCATCCGCTACTACAGCATAATTAAAGGATAAATTTGATAATAGCGAACATTAAGCTGTATAAAATCGTGTCCACTTTGTTAACTCGGTGCGACGGCGACTAAGAGTTAATTATATGCCATGCAAAGGCCGATGTTAACTTTTCTCTCAACTGTTTTTTTTAATAATTATTGCAGTTTTCTTTTTATTCACCTGTGGTAAAACGTATTATCTATAACATCATAATTTTTGAAACATTGAAACGTCATTAAACTTTTCTGCTCCTTCCATTGTTCCCAAAACCGATGCTGCGTTCCCCCGTTGTCGGATCTTCAGTGATAATCTCAGACGTAAAAATTCATGGGAACGGGTTTCGCCAGTGTGTTGTTTCATGCAGTCGTTTGCCCAGCTCTTTAACAATGACGAAAGCTGAAGATCCCCCATGGGCCCATTGTTTCGAAAGCTATCGGTATTGCAGTTAATTGCTACCTGCATTTTCTTCGCTTTTCTTGTGATTCGTTTAGTCAGGCGCATAAAATCTTAGTTTAAACTAATTTTGCATGCTATGAGTCTCAGTGCATGCAAAATCACTTTTTGAGTACCTCTACTCATGGCAGAAAAGCGGCATGAGAATCATCTTGTGCCGTATACTCTGTACATGTGCAGTCATATAAAGATTTGTCCGATAATCATAAAGGTCTTATATTTACCGCCAACAGCATTCATTTTATAACCATTTGTTAAAAAGTTTTCTTATACGTAAAAGTATCATACCGTCTTTTTCCCTCTGTGTACATATTCACACAAGTCCTCACAGTAAAATAAAACAAACTGTTTTCGACAGCATTAAAATTATAAAATGTGACACTGTGGTGAATAACAGGTAAAATTCGTCTGAATACCAGTCAAAAGTTAAGTAAAATGTGCACCCAGGTATATGTACGTACCACAGTTGTTCCATGGCCAGGTTTGATTCCTTACAATCATATAAATTACTGGCTTATATGTTAAAGAATTACAGTGGGTCAAGGTTTGCTGATGCAAATAAATTTGTCGGTCAACACATGGTATCCTCCCAGTGCTCCAGGAGCTAGTAATTTTAAACATTTTTTGTTTCTTTAGTTTCTGTCGGTTCCTTTCCTTTCTTCGTGTTTTTTTGCTATACGAAGTATGGTATTGATGGATAAAAGTTGCTTACACTCTGATAAACTTCTACAATACTTCTATGTATGAAGACAGAACACAAAGTACAATTACACGCGTAGTCTTGTACGCGAAAACTTAATGAAAATGTGCGAGTACTAATTCCAGCGGATACAATTGCAGCAGTCAGGCCGTGTGGAAAATGTGGAAGATATTTTAACCGAAGTGCGATATGTGGCGGATCGGATGCGAGCAGAAGATACGGACATGATTACGACAAATGACTGGTACAGTATTTTTTAGATTAGCACATAATTACTTTATTCACTTCCCGCGTTTATCGCAGTTTCTGTTACTTGCAATTGTGTGTGACACGTGGTAAACATGTTTGCGGCTGTTGCAGGAAGTTTGCCGCCATGGTCCTCGACCGGCTTTTTTTATGGATCATCGTAATGTTTACGATTGGCTTTACGGGTGGTGTTCTCATGTCGGCACCGCATTTTCAAGTGTAATCATGTATGCAACAGGGCTGGCGCGACTGTTAATTTCAGCAGCTGATCAGCAATTTTTATTCATTTTCAGCATGACGATTTACGGATACACGTTAAAATGAAACGTGATGTTCGCTTTCTAAGCAGCTCTGTAGTTGTGTCATTGCGACATGTCATCCGGGAGTGAATAACACGTGTGTAAAATTGTATGACAAAGTTTTCCCATTAAATTTGCAAAAACGTTCGGTTTCTGTTGCAGGCTTGGTCGTCAGTTTAAAAGTGTTTTAAAGTTGTGCCAAAAATTTTTTTTTTACGAGTATGCGCTTTATGTCAATTATTCTTCCTACAGTTGTACATTTACTCTGCTGTGGAGCAACCATGTAATGCACAAAGTTAATGCCTACTTGAGAATCAGAAAGCAATCACCGTTGCAAAGTTTGATTGCTCCTGTGTTTTGCGCAATCTCGGATAATAATTACGCATAATTAAACGATAACAAGTTAGGATGAAATTACACTTTTTTACGAAATTTCTGAGCGTGTTCTGAATTTCAAGTATTTCATGTTTTGCTTTATTCTTTACAGAGCATCTGGGACTCAGTTCAAAAGGCAATAGCACCCGATTAACTACAAGGCAAACCTGATTACTTTATTTCATAATTTAAAATTCGGAAATTGAAAAACAATCAAAAAACAATCAATTAAAAAAACAATTCTATCTGCCCTCGTTTCCCAACGCTGCCATATACATATTTGTATAATTGTACGGTAACGTTTGCTTTAACGACAGCTACAGAATATCACCTGATATGGCTGACCAATGCTAGTTCAAAGCCCAGGTTTTCCGTATCTGTTATGTATGAGCTATCAACTGGAATTTAAGGACTGATAGCCGTTTCCCAAATAAATATGTTACAAGGGAAAAATGTCCAGGCTTAGCGCAATTTACAAACATGCGCATCACTATAAAAGGTCAAAGTTGCACAGGTGAAAAGTTAATCTCCGGTAACTGCCATCCTGTTCGCTATTTTGATTGACAATGTTTTTGCACGTTTTGCCGAACTGGGATACTGTCTGGTAACTTTGTTGTCTTCTAAATGACGCTGGTGTCTCTCTGTCCAATTAGCAACATCGAACAGCCGGTGTCGTAACGAGTAAGTCACTTCCGCTCCCTGGTGTTTATATACATGTCCCGCTGCGCGTAACACGCGGACAAAATAATTTTGTTCATTGTACTGAAAAGCTATTCCCTACCGCATGTTACAGTCATTTCCCAAAATCTGACCCCGACACATTCCCCGCCCAAAAGCTGCTTAACACAGCAACCTCAAGGAAATTAAAATCCACTGCCTACGAACGTAATTAGCACTCATCCCTGTTTTCGGCTTACTAGAAGCAATAATTAAAAACCCATTTACACCCGGCTTTCTTTAACTCCCAGCAGCATCGTGCAACAGGATGACAAGTGTGTCATCAGCGTTGGCTCAGCAGAAATGATTATACGCGGAGCGCCGGGTGCTAAAAGAAGTGGGTTACTATAGTTAGCACGTAGTGTCCGGTACAGCTACTGTTCCCGCGTTAAATTGTTATTCCCAGTGTAATAATCTCCGGCGGGCGCAAGTACGTACATTACCTGTTGCCGAGGAGGTGTGACACCCGGCAAATCCTGTGCCGAGTGGAAAATGATGACGCGGTGATACACAGCGCGTCAATGAAATTGCCGGTATGGACACGGTGAATGTGTGTATATAAGTGGCCGATCTTCCTTGTTGTGTTACAACACCCCGTCCTTATTTGTTAGTGGAATCCAAAGGAGATGATTAGTATTTGTTTGCTTGTAACGTTATTTCCGCGCTTTCGTCAATAATTGCTCTTGTACGCTTTTCCGCATTACACAGCTGTGCCGTGATATTAAAGCCTTCGGGTTGCCATTTTGACATTAGAGGTAATTTTTGGCGGACATTACGTGGTTACTTCCGCTGTCGACCAGTTGTCTCCCCACGCCATTTCTGTGCAGCATTCAGTTTCGATTAGGAAAGTGTGGTTTATACGCAATTTGAATTATGGACAAAAGCAGTTTGATTGCTATCCTGGCGTCCGCCATCCTCATGGTTGTTATGCAGTGTTTTGCCGTGCCGGTGCCGGCACTGGATGACGCTGACCTTTTCGACCAGAGCGAAAATGTGGTAAGCACTAAGCACATAGTTTACGCCATTTTAAAAACTAATTTTAAGCAAAGCGTTTTTGTAATATATACGACTGATAAGCATAAATATACGTGGGCGCCAAAGGACTGATGTTTAGTCAAATCAGTGAGGTTGTAATGGTTGCGTTGTTATTTTACTTTGCGAGTTAATTACGTACTACGTACGCGTAACACGTGTAAGTTTTGAAGACTCGAAACTTAATCTTAATTTAATTAGATACAAGAATTAATACATTAATATCAAGATAAAAGTATTACGTCTGATTGGAAATTTAAAAAAAACCGTTGAAATTTTGCGAAGATTTACTGTATCTTAAACGCCGCGAAAAATTCATCTTGCATATCGTACAGCATAAGCATTACGCAAACCAAACTACCACGATACAAAAAGCCTTGTTGTTAACCTAACTTGTCCTACAGGTTATCCAGTTTTGATTCCATTTCTAAAGACCGTAAAATTTGAAGTTGATCTTGGCCGTAGGCGAAACGGGGATCGTTAAGCTATAGACTGTCTGTAACATCCATCACCAAAAGACTGAAATAGATTTTTATGATTAAATCTAAATGCAGCAGGGATCAGCCGGAAAACAAAATGTACCCAGAAACCAACACGGATTCACATCGATCCGCAAAATCATCCGCCCATATCATAATTAGAACCTCCTAGCTTTTTTTTATTTTGCTATTGCTCCAACAATTTAGCACAAATGGCGCAGCTGGACGCCTTGCGGATGTGGATAGGTTTGAGTGGAACGGAAACAGTGCTGACACAATACAGTTCTGTGAACACAATGCAGTTTACCGTTTATGCGAAACATGGACACATTGTACAGTAATCGCTTCGTAGAAAGATCAGATTCGCTTTGCACTGCGAATTGACCTATCGGGTGATAATTAACTTTAGGGATTAACCTAGCCTTAGTTACGTTTAAGTGTACTTCCTTCATGAAACGGAAATTTACGAACTAATAATTCTTCGTAAATCACAAGGTAGCCACGTTCGCTTACGCATAACCGAAACACTAAATTTGGTAATCATAATACCATACAAAATACCCCATATTCTGAATACGGATACCCACTGCAATTAGTTGTGCTTAATTTTAGACAGATGCAAAAAAGTTTTGTTCTGCGCTTTAAAAGGAATTAAATCTTAAAACTGTTATAAGAATAGATAAGACCGCCATCTACGTCATAGAACGTTCTTCTCACCATCAGTTTTGCTGCGGCGCACCTAAAACGTTGTCAAAACCGGCGAAATAATATCGATTTGGCGGATAACATACTTAAACGACAACCAATACAATATCAATGAGTTGCGCATATTTGTTGTATTCCATAATTTTGAACATCACGTTTTTGTTTAGTTTGAACGATTATCCTTTATCAACAATTTTGGGAAATAGGCGTGCTCATCAATAAGCGATACGCTGGATAGGTAGCTATAATTACACAACAGGCGCTAATTATATTTAGAGACATTTCCTAATCGGAATACCGGTAGCTCGTGCAACATACCTTGGTTCACTTCCGCCACAAGCGCCATTCATTCATTAATGTCTTGTGTATGTCGCACAGGCCCCATTCTTCCCCGTCTATGACCGGCGCACCGCCTATTCCGGTCCGGAGATGGCAGAAATGAAACTAATGGCGTCATTAGCGGCGGACGACGCTAGTGCTGTCAAGGCCGGCGTGCCGAGTCCCGCGACGTATCCCGACAATTACAGCATCTTGCCGCCGATTAAACGCACTCCACCACGCGATGTCCGCAGCCGGTCCATCCTGTGCTATTTCAATTCGGTGTCCTGCTTCGGAGGAAGACGTCAGAACACGTAGCCCGGTGTTTTCGAATTGTTGCTGGCCGCTGGACGACATTCCAAAATGGCGTTAAACTACGATCTCGTTTATATTGAGCTTCTTAATTTATTTACTTTCTAGTTTTTATATTTGTGCAACAGAAAACTGCCTACAATTTTGTTATAAAGTTTTGTTGACGTGGTTGGTGATTACGCAGCAGTTAGTCACTACGTACGCTATTAACGATACAAGGAGAGAAGCAGATCATGTAGCGCTTCCACTTCCGGTAATTCAATCATTAAACTGTGCATTGTGTCATAAGTGAATGCTATGCGCCGCTACAATTAAATACAAAGTACATTACTACTACATAGTATAATTACTCGCATAATTATACTCGTATAAACGAAATAATCACTCAGTTAACAGGAAATTGTAACACAACGTTCAGTCTTTAGTTATCATTTGCCGTCCTGTGGAATACTATGAAAATTCGTACTTTACTAGTTTTCACTTTATTAGTTTTTTCACTTCGGAATACTACTTTATTAGTTTAACGGCTTAAAAAAAGTGCGCGGTTAAAATTAAAACATGTACTCATGCTTAATTTTTAATCATTACATACAAACATCAGTAGAAGTAGTTGATTTAGTAAATTTAGTTGTAAATAAAGCTAACAATATAATTATAGGTCATTCGTGCGGTGCGGCCTGCGACTATAAGTTTGATAATCTATTACAGAGGCAGATTTGAGTTAAAGATAATATTACTTGAATAGTTGCAAGACACAGCGTAAATGAACATTCAGAATTTTTCGCTCAGAAATTGCAAAGCGATTAATATTATAATAATATTAATCACTTTGGAAATTGCAAAAATAACGCGGTACGAGGCGTATGCATAGGCGGTCTATGGCTATTAGGCGCACCAGGAATATGTCCTGTTCTTCGAATGACAGATTTGACGATTTTACAATCTGGATCACACTTCTACACATTTGCAACATTAATTGTTCAAAAATTCTCTTTATAATCAAACGAACATGTCTCTTCCATTTATTAGATTCGTACCAAATAAGGTTTCCGCATCCTTATCTCGTAGCTTCAAAGTCAAGAAGTTCTTCAGGTATGTAGACCTTATTCCAGAGTGGCGGGATATATGCTGCAACTGCAACATGCTGTGCAGTGTGTGTACTGTGTAGCCTGAATGACACCAGTCGTTTTTTGGGTATTTAGCACTACGGCGTCTTCTGTCCGGCTGGAATACTCGTTTTCCGGTATTGCGGAATTGGCAGGAATTGCGGGAGGTGGCGTTTGTGGGGCACTGCTGTACTGCTGCTGTTTGTATCCTCCCGACAAGCAGCATCGTACAATGGACATTGGTCTGCTGAGCATTCCCGCGGGAGCCTGTTCGGGGATGGTTGGAGCTGCGTTGTATGGGTTTTCACTTCGCCGACAGAATTTTCGACAACTGGGTGCAGCTGGATTCCGGGCTGGAGTGGCAGGATTTATGGGCAGCTTCGTCGTGGTCGGGACGGCGAGCGCTTACGAGAAGTCTAAGGGGAAAGACAGTAAGCAATAGCATAAGCATACCAGTACTCGTACAGTCTGTAAATGAGCTGCATTATGGGCAGTAATCATATCAACTGCACAATACACAGGTTTTTTGTAATTTGTAAATGAGATTTTCCATTCTTTATTTTTGATAGTTTTGCCGAAGGAAAATATTTTCGTATTCGTTTTCGTAACGCATACGAATTTAAGTGAATTTTCGCGAAAACGACAAGTAGCCGACTTGTAATTTCGTTATTTTTATTCTTTATTTTGTTATTTCGTTCTTTTGATTTTCGTTATTTTGTTACGAATCGTATACGAAAAGATTTACGCGAGAATCCGAAAATTTTTGAGAATCCGAAAATTGTTTTAGATTATAATCATGTACGCGAAAAGCCTAAACTGCCAATTTCAAACACCGAAACCATTACTTGATCGTGTAAGGTTTTGCTGTAATGACAGCATGTTGTCATCACAGCACCAGATCCACTCCCGACCCAAAAATCCACTTTCACAAAATATACCGCGCATCATATTTTGTGGAACTGTGGATTTTGGTTAATTTTTAAAATTGAAATTTAAAAATTTTTCTTTTAGGCGTATCTGTTTCACCTTCTGCGTCTTCCCGCGTGTTACTGAACAAAACTAACAAGAATTATCAGAGCGTTTTGAGCTATTATCGGATTTGCCACAAGGAGACAAAATTATTGCATGTTACGTATGGACTGACGGTCATGGAGATCTTCGCTGTAAATCCAAGACACTGGATTCAGAGCCGAAAAGCCCGGAAGGTGAGTTGATACTTTGATAATAAGCTAACAAGCAAACGGAAGCTGAAATAGTGAAGAGTGCTATGTTGCAACTTGCAAGCGTAGAGCAGAATAATTGGTCAGATAAGCGTAGAAAGTGCTCAGGCTGATGAGATGTTTCAGAACATTTTTGGGGTGACTTTACGTATTGTAATCTTACGTTTAGATCTTCCCATCTGGAGCTACGATGGTTCAAAAACTTACCAGGCCGAAGGAAGCAGCAGCGAAATTTATCTACAACCTGTAGCATTGTATGCGGATCCATTTAACGGCAGTAAAAACAAGCTCGTACTGTGCGAAACGCTTACAAGCGACAAGATGCCGACAGGTTAACAATTACGAAGAAGCCTATACCGTAGTGCGAAAGAATGATAATAGCTTGCAAATTAAAACTTGAAAATTTTTTTAATAAATTCTTTATAGAGAGCAATAAGCGCCGATCATGCCGAATTGCCGATGTGATGAATCAAGCAAAGTATTTTGAGCCACGGTTTGGAATCGAGCAAAAATACTCGTTGTTGGACGTTGACGGTCGACCATTCGAGCGCAAAGTGGATCTCCGAAGTCACAAGGTGTTGCAAGAAACCAAAATGAATATACTTATATTGTTATATATCTGTATTTATCATCTGCTTTGGAGATAAGGTGGTTTACTCAGGTGCATTACGAAGGATACTACTGAACGAAATAATCATTTTCTGATATTCATAGGATATGACTGCGCGATGGGAGCAGACATCGCGATAGCTCATTGTCATGCTTGCCTGCATGCTGGGATCAGTTTGCCGGGTTCAAGGCCGGTGTAAAACCGGGACAGTGGGAATTCCAGATTGGACCTTGTGACGGCATTTCGGTTGTAAGTTTCTGTGTGCATCATGCGTTAAAACTGCGTCTAAACGCTCGTTCTCACGTTCTGGTATTGCATTTTAATAAAACAATGTCAAAGGAATTACCCCCAATAGGCAGACGAATTGTGGATGGCTCGATACATCTTACTCCGTGTGGCGGAAGATTTCGGAGTTGTAGTGTCCTTCGACCCGAAATCGGTACCGGGAGACTGGAGTGGCACTGATGCCAGTATAACTGTCAGATTTAGCACCAAAGCTATGCGAACTCCCGGGATTGGCCAACAGGCCATCAATGAGGCCGTTGAAAAGCTGAAAAAAGTTTCTTTTCACTAATCCAGTTAGTTTGAAAAATCTGCATTCCGTCCAGATCTTTGTTTGCATGTGATCTCGTTGCAGTGTGTAAGGAAAATTATCTGTATGCCTGTAAAATTAACTGTAAAATATCTGTACAGTAATAATTGTCATCCGCATTCTGGAAAGAGTTTATAAGAATTTGTTCCAAAAGTGGTAAAAAAAAATGGCAGGAACCGTTGTACACCATAAAACTTTTGACGTATCACAATACAACATTAGGGCGCACTAAAATACATCATACAAAAATTATAAAAAAAGGTTAAATCTACATTTAAATGTATCAGATTAAAAACCTGTAGGTGTCATCCGACATACTAAAAATTATCAAGCGGGCTTTTGTATCAAAAGGCTGATCGGAGAGGTCGTCCTGAATTTGCTTGAAGTATTTTCGGTGTTTCGGAAACCTGTCAACATGAATCTTTGTCAACACGAATACACTGGCAATCAGAGATAACCAGCAACGCGCTCATACTTATCACACAACTGAGACCAATCATCGAAACGAACGGTCCCACTACCGGATCGAGACATATAAGCCGGCAGCCATTTCACAACTGGACCCGGAAGCTCCAAAGCGAAAATTTCCAGAATTGTTTGAGAGGAAAACGATGCAACCGTCTGCTCCAGTACTGTCAGAATCTAAGCAATGAGGTATTTATGTAACGGTAAGCTAGAAGTAACGGTAGTATTTATGTAACGGTATGTACATTCAGCTAGAGGTCAATTAGATACTCATACCAGAGGGCAGAGGTAATACAAACTACTACAGATACTGAAATGATAATAAAAATTTAAAAAGACCCATAAATCGTAACAACAAACGGTATCTGAATACCCCCCGGAAATTATTCAACTAAATTCGACCGGTATTTCTGTGGAAAAACAACTACGACTATACTAGGACAAGACTCGTTAATAAAAATACTTACATGCGTCGAATAACGCTTTTTATCCCGTCCATGCATTTTTTCGGACGTTATAAAAGACACTTTCACTCGATTTCCAGGTAAAGCCTGCACCGGGGTTGCGACAATGTTTTCCGTTGGCACATTTACAGAATCAGACGGCTCAGTACGAGTGGATGACATCTTCTGCCCGATCCAGTCCGTCACTTCGTTCAGCGCTAATTTACGCTCGACTATTCGATCACGTTCCATGAAACGCACCGTACAAGCACTGTCTTTGATAATCACTAAATGTATAGCCATTCTTTTGCAAAAATCCTGCGTATCTTCCAGCACCGGATGCGGATCCATTAAAATGTCCGCCCGAATACCCTGGTTACGCAAACCATGCAGGATACCAATTTGTTCCTTCAACATAGGCGAACTGCCAACGGCACAAATCAGAACATCGATTGCGCTCTCCAATTCAAACTATTAACCGTAAATAACAGTAATAAGAATAACAGTAAAATTCGAAGTGTTAAGCACAGAATTTGCCGCGCAAAGCCTACCTCTTCAGACTTCGTTAAGGCATTCACCAGTTTATCGAAAGCCATGCTTATACCAACGGCCACTGGTCGAAAATCTAAGGAGCTCTTTTTAACGAAAGACTGAACCTGCAACAACTGTTTTTGAAAAAATGCGCACAAAAAACTAAGAAGAACCAATTCAACGCGCAGAAAAAAAGAATGAAATTAACATATGGACGAAGTGCATGACGTACAAGGGAAGAATAGCGTCCACCCACTGCCAGGGTTCCAAGTGGTTTATCTCCATGCGGACTCTGAGTACGCTGAACGACGTGGTATACAATACCGCTTCGAATATATTTATCGGACAGCTGCAGACATACATCCACCTGACGACATGCAAAATATTTAAACTGAACATACATAAACTTTCACCTTACATAAACCTAAAATACCAACTGCATTCGTACGGCTTTCACGAATCGCTTAATAAGCAGCACTCGTATAAGAGCCTACTTTGAAAAATTCTTATGCATAATACATCTATAGAAATACAAAAAAGCTAAAAAAGGTTATGCTAAAAAGTTACCTTAAAAGGACAGCCCATCTTCTCGAGAATTCCCAAAAAGCTTTCGCATTCGAATAGTGCTCTTTTCGCTAAAGATCCAGCCTAAAATACCGCGTATCACAATATGCACCAACTAATCCTTGGTAACCGCCATGAATCCTTACGGTTCCTCTTCGCTGAATAATAGTTTTGACCATTCCCGATATCTGAGCCAACCCGCCTTCTTGTTCAAGGAATTTCTCAAGAAATGTATGGCTGTGTTCAGGCATTTCGTGCACTTCATTCCAGCGTAATCGTGTTTTCTGCTTGCTCTTCTCATGCTATTAAACATCACGAGCCAATTAGTTTTGAAGCGGCATCTTCATATCGATCGGTAGGGACGGTGAGTTACCCGGGTGTCCCACAAACGATTCAACGCTAGGTCTAATTTGTTTTCCGGTATACCGGCGTTGAGAAAAGCAGCCCGAAGGAAATCAGTATGGTTTAATCGTAAATGATAGCTCCGATCAGCTAATGAGGGAAACTCCTTAATTATGTCGTTGATTACTGATACGCACTCGGCGTCGGCCAGGAAACTGTCAAAAATATAACGTCACAAGATATCGTTGCTATTAAAATGATTTATTTCGATCAGTAATGAAGTACTCACCTCTCTGGAAAGGAGGTTACAATATCAAATGCACACTCATATAGTTCTTTGGGATGAGCTGCGATAATGTTACGATCGCGGTAAACACGATCAATGCAGAAACGCTTTATGCTGACGATCCCGTTGTGAGCGACATACCGAGCAAATGGAACCTACAAAATAATAAATATTCAATATGAGAACCAACGATGCCAAGGCGTAGGTGAGCTATCAATAAAATAGGCTAATACGCAATCAGAAAACAGCTGCCAAAATTCAAAACAAAAACTGTTAAAAACGTAAACACAAATTAAAAAACATAATACAAATACAATTTTAAAAACTTAAATAAATAAAATTTTAAACACGATTAATCATTACAAGCCACCTGTACAGCTAATTGTAAAAAACACGCACGATTATTACTTTCACAAAGTGCTAAGCGCAAATTATTTATATTAGTTCTAAAATTAAAGATCTGGCATTTACCCGAAGATCCTGTGGTAACACAACGACATCTCCAGAAGCATCGACAAGTTTGACACTTTCCAAAGATGTGTGCTGATCGGATTTTGGAGTTAATAAAGGTGTCTGAAAGCGGCTAGCTCCTGGAAATTGTTTGAAATTGTATTCTGTGCAATGATTCCTTTTGTTTGTACGCCGACAAATACCATGAAGCTGGAACACTTGCGTAACCTTCCGCTCGACAAATTCAAACGCCAACAACCATTTCATATTGCCAGAACCCTAATTCAAAAAGACGCTCAAATATGACGAAGAAAACTGAAATACCCAACGTACCTTCTGAATATCAGAATCGTAGGTCAGATTATTGACAGCACTCATCTGCTGCGCAAAAAGCGAATGCATTAGCCGCTTGTAAGCTTTGCTCTGTGGATTATGCACGGTACGACGAATGATCTCATTAACTTCCGCTTCTTCAATTTGTACAGGAGGCAGCATATCTGACTGAAGAATATCAACAGCGTGGGGACGCTTTTGTACGTCATGTTCCAGCATCCACATCAGCAGTGAAGCCTAACGATGGTGAAGAAATGCAAAACTTTGCAAAATAACTGTTTATTTCGTTCAACATTGTGTCTGTTGTAAAAAATGCGCACTAAATGTATAGATGTTAAAATAAAGGCTACATAACTGACAAAGCTGTTGCTCGGAATGTGTAAGCACTTCGTTTTGGTTGGAATGCTATGATATCAGCATATAGGTACTTATATACAACATCTATACGTATACGGTTTACCCACATAAACATTAACACATTACGTCTACTCACAGATTCGCAAATTTATTAAAGACAAACCTGTTGTTTCAGAGCGAAGAAATCAAAGTCAAGCGGAAAATGCGCCGGTGACTTGCGAATGTTTTGAAGCACTTTCGTGCGCTCCATTCCGGTAGGAAGAGGATGGTAACACATCTGCGCGAGATACCAATAGTAACTGCATTCAAGTTTTCAAACCCCCTGCTTCAAGATGCGCCACTAACCTCAAAAAAAGATACGCCTAAGCTGTACACATCCACTTTTTGGCTGTACGTCGCTTTTGCAACATTTTCCACTAATTCCGGTGCAACGTATAGTGCCGTTCCGACGCGTCCAGTGCGGCTGGCTTCATCCGTAGCCATAGTATCCGTTCGCGATCCACTCAATTCGCCAATATTATCTGCATAATTTGCCTGCAAAACAGCAGCGCTATAACCTTCCATGCAAAAAATTGAAGTCAAAACAACTGAAACTGGCAAACCAAAAAATGGCACTTACAAGTCGGTGAGTAGCTAAACCAAAATCTCCGATTCGAGCATGATCTTCACTGTCGATAAAAATATTTGCTGGTTTCAAGTCTCTGTGAATAATGCCCTGTAGAACAGACGCCCATTTCTTAGTTATCTCGATCCTTTAATGCATACAAAATACAACGATTCGCATAATTCCATTTTACCTGCTGATGAATATGCGCCAAACCTTCCAAAATCTCTCGAAATAAACGCCACACCCTTGTTTGATCTTTATACAATCCCTCATCAATACATGTTCGCAAGGTGCTCTTGTCACAGTATTCCATCTGAATAAACAAAACGGCCATTGGCGCGGGACTGCTGGAAGGTTGACTGCTGGCCGTGACAATTTCAGTTCTTTTCGTTGTGTCCTTGGAGTCCGATGATGGTTCTTCCGCACGCGAACCATCAAACAGTATCGAAGACGAATCGGGCGAACGTCGTTTGTTCTGGCTAAAAATCGCGTATTTAACCCCGAGATCCAAAACAATCAATCAACAACAACAATTGCTTATAATAACGAACACCCTTTGACTCGAAAATCATTAGTCCAATATATGTATATCAATCAAGTACGTTCTCAAAATTAGTTTATTTAATCAAGATTAATACATGTCGTTATCTAATACAGCAGTACTGTATGTGGTACTCCAAATTTCCGAAAATGCAAACAAAACATTTACTTACGGATACGAAGGGCCGAAAAAGTCTTGGTCATCGTTAACACTATCATCATTAGCAAAGAGCGAAGGGCCGTTCCCGAGTTCATCGTCGCTCCACTCTACGGAACCATCTCGAGGAGGAGGTGCGTTTTTTTCAATATCGTCAGGCAAGAATCCAAAAGAATTGACAAACCCTTCCGGTGTCTTCACTGGACCTTTTCCGTTTCTAACCGCACTGTCGGTGGTAATCGCCGATGATTCCTGGGTGCCGCTTTCACTGACAACTACGGTGTCAATCCAAGAATTGTAATATCTACAAACCACGCAGCCAAGTTATGACAAACGATAAAAGATCGTGCGGAGGTTAAATACACCGTAATGACCGTACCGAACAACATTTTCATGGTTTAATCTGGATAATAATTTCACTTCTCGCAGGATCCGCTGATTGAGTTTTTCTTTGGCTTCTTTCAAGGGAATCCGTTTTATAGCGTACGTTCGTCCATCTAGACGATTCTTCACTTTCAGCACATCGCCATATCCTCCACTGCCGCAAAACTGGATGATGTCGAATTCCCGATTGAGTCGACTTTCAGTTGGTACGGCCAGCGACCGTTTGGCCAGTTGTGACGCCAGGTCAGAATCTTCTCCATCCGGTGTCTCGGGTGGCAAATTTTTGAAAAAACCTACAAACGTAGAAAAATCAATTTACAGTAGCTCCAAACACATTTAAACACTACTCGTAGGGATCAGCTCTTTGCCTTTTTCGGATTCTGTGGGAACTAAAATTTCCAGTTTTTCAACCATTGCTGTTCGGGATGTTATGAAACGATGATTTTGTAGCTGTTCTACGGGCCAACGATCTCTATCAAACTGAATCAAACAGCGACTCAAGAAATCTTTGGCTTCGGTTGGAACGGTCAAAGGAACGTCGTAAATTTCCTGGACAATAAAGGATCCAACAAGAACCGACGCCAGCAGCATACCAAACTGAAGAATATCGGCTTTCTTTCCACTGTCGAAAAAGTTTTTCTAGAAATTAAAAAATGAAGGCATTCTCGACTATGTGTGGTTATACGAATACCTTTTTATGGTGGCAACCATATCTCCAGCTTCATTCAGTGAAAACTGGTAAATTTCTTCCAGTTTCTTCTCGATCGCATAATCACCGAGCAGGAACTTCCCATTATCGGAATATATCACAGAAGAAGGTATCAAATGCCGATGTACGACATTATTCTTGTGGAGGTAACTAAGGCTGTCTAAAAGCTGGGAAGCAAGAAGCCGGGCTTGTTCCATAGAGAACGGAGCATGATCCTTCAGGAAAGCGGAAAGAGAAGTTCCGTAAATGTATTCTTTAAGCACCTAAAATGCAAAACAACATTACACCGAGATTAGCAAATACGGTAGATGTACTGTATTTACAATAATGACCACCTAGTGAGTAAAGTTTAGCCACAATCGACTATCATAATTTTTTGCAGTACTTCATTATGACAAACATTTTAAACAGTCATCGCACCAACAAAATATTTGCGAAAAAATACAACCGGATACTTTTTTATATTTTTTTAAACTATAAGCTGCAACATTAGTAAATACAGATCACTTGAAATTCCGTGCGCCCAAATTAACTATTTGTGCACAGGTAATTCTACTTCACTTTTTTGGGGCGCATAGCATCGAATATCAGCATCGAACGTTTTAACTAACATGCACATAAACGTGATCCTTGTCAAATCCATACATCCATCCCAGATAATGCCGTAAACCCGAATGTCGCAGTCTGAGCAGTTGCTGAAATTCTCCATCCATAATATCAAGCTGTTTCAGATATTTCTTGGATTCTTCGGCAAGAATTTCCTGCTGCTGTGCGCTAGGTTTCTTGCGCCACGGTCGCCAGCGGAACAACCATTCGCCGACCACAATCAAGGCGTTATCGCGGTCCAAATCAAGAGCGTGGTGGATGAATGAACCATTGAGTTCCTTTTCTGCCGCAGACCTCTCCAGTATTATCACGTGAGCCAAGTACACTAATGCCAACGAAATACATACCGAACGATCTGATAATCTGCAACCGCTTTTTCCGACCACTTCGCAATTCCAACTCGAAGGGTTCTTTTCTGTGGCTAAGGTTGCTCTGACTTTCCGACTCAGTTGACCGAGATCTGCTGTAAAATAGATCGCATCTGGATGAATTCAAACCATCTTCCGTTTTGTAAAACCGGTATTTCTTCACGTGATACCTTTGTGGAACGGGAAACTGCGGCTTTTCTTGCGTGGATGATCTTGAAGGCGAAGACGAAGCAACTAATGTGACAGGTTCGACGGACTGATCTTCAGAAGCATCATTCTTCAACATACAAACGAAACATCACTCAAATCCAAAACAGATTTTGCACATGATTCAAACGTCAAAAACAAACACAAAAAAAACACATGGAGCAGCAGTTACTTCAATTTTAAATCGCACATTCTTCTCTTCCTGCTGCATGTAGGATTTACGCTTTTCGATTTCTTGTTCAATCTGCTCCATCTGAATAGCATACAAAGGATTACCACGAAGGCAGTCTACAGATATACTCACACAGAATAAATTATTATCCACCTCGTGCTCCTGTTGCTTTTGCAAAAAATCCCTTCTCTGTCGTTCTTCCGCTGCCAGCTTTTCGGATTCGTTTCGCTGCTTCATGATCATCTGGTCGTAAAATGATTTGTCGGCTGGTTTATTGTTGGCGTACAAAAAAGCCTGCACGGTTTCCGCCAGCGGAAATATCATTTCCTACACACCGAAGAAGCGGAAACAATATTCAGATTTGAAGTAACGAAAGGGCCAATAAAATTATCCCTTCCGTCCCTTTTCCGCACCGGTACCACCAAATAATTAAAGCCCACTTTGCATAAATTAAAAAAATCGTACAATTACAAATTACAATTAATACAAACAAAATGCACAGAAAATACAATTCAGTGTGAGTTGAGCGAACGTTGCAAAATTAATAAGAAAATCGCAGAATTAGACCATAGTCACATAGTGTGAGATAAAATAGAACTTGTCCGATTCAATTGATTTTCTTTCACCTTAGATCCGAATGCAAAAAATTTCTTCAGCTACACTCGTTAATCAGCGTAAAAGATTTCATTATGATTTACACGACAATACCTGGCCCTTCATTGCATCTGCCTTCATCTCCAAATCTTTTAGCAATTTTTTAACGTTAACGTCGCTCAGCCCTTTAGGATTTATTAAACGCAACTCCGGCGCACTGCAAATTGAATCGTTAACAAACCCTTCGGACCTTCGGACAAACGATCATCACTGCGAAGTGCGAACAACATTCTACGCACACGAACGGGTATCGTTCTCCGCATTTCACACCCAGCGTCAATTCAACGTGGGCTTCTTTTCCTGCATGCTTTCTTGTGGGAACAATCGTATCTGAATTTCAGGAGACCGGCGAACCTGGAGAAAAAATTTGAACTTACGATAGGGTAAGTTTAAAAGCTGAAAAACACTATACCTTCCATTCATCTTGCTCGCGCAGGTCCTCAACATACGGATCAAATATCGCTTTGATGGCATTCACTTCGTTCTCTTGGCGTTCTTCGATGGATTCGTCTTCGCTCATTTTTGGTAGTGCATCCCACCAGCATGAAATAAATCCATCAAGCTATAGAGTATACATATTTTGAAAGCGAAAGAACTTCTGCGCTTTATTTTTTAAACCGTAAAGGAATCTACTGAATGGTACTAGTAACAAGTAAGTAAATCACATCCAGATAGCAGTGCGTCATTATTGACGGTACTAATAAGTTGTCGGTAAGTTGCAGTCTGCCCAGTACGGCAACGCAGTGTATCAACTGTAGACAAATTTACTTACGATTAATAATAATATGTAATTACAGTAATACGAGTAAGAAATTGTGATTGTCGTTTTCATTGCTTTCATATTATTTTCGCAGCTAACAGAACTATTCATTGATCGCAGAAAATTAGTTGTTTAAGAAGAAAAATTAATAATAAAATCTAATTATGTGTAACTAATAAATGTCGCTGATTACAGTGTTATTTGCTAACGATTCATGCGGCGGCAAGCATGCCGAAAATGCAAATTGTCCCAGCTTATACAAATACTTACTTCTGAAAACTCACAAAATGTACAGTACCACAATATTAATGTAGAGCTTAATACGTGTATTAAAAATTGAACTTTCGTATTTGCAGTTTATTTTTGAGATAACCGTGAAGGGAAGCCGGGAATAGCTATGGTGGATAAATTAAGAGCATTTGGAAGGTACGAGTGCTGCTAATCTGTTGTTTACAATAATATTGCTGGTTCAGTGGTTTGTTTAGTAGACTCCGTAACCTACTGATTTGATGTAATATTTAATAATCTTGTATTTACAGTAATTTGAAGTTTATAGTTATTCTGTATTGGTTACAATTATAGCAATTTAAAAAAGCTTTGGCCCTAGAAGTATACGTCATGTATGCTCGAGACTCGTGCATAGACAAAAAACCCTAGCGGGGCGTCCCCAGTGGGGACTGTTCCGAAGGACGGGTTTTATTACATAATAACTGCAAAAAACTTCTGTTGTGGAGTTGTTTACTGGGAAGATTGCCTGAGTGCAAGGCTGCAAGCTGGACGGCTTATTTAGCGAAATAGTCTGCGGCAAGTGCAACCACCTCGCGTACGCGCATACGTGTATTAGTCTCGACTTTGGGTACGTGATTCCGACTGCCACTATCTCCAAAACTTGCAGCATCAGTTTTTCGTTGTCACTTTAACGAACCTTCCCATTAATGTTTCAGAGAATAAAATTTTAGAATTTTTTGATATTTTGAAAGTAGGTTTTATGGAGAACCAAGAGATTAGTTTTGTTTGGTTTCTCAGACTTAGCATAGGTCCGATGGAGGCGTTGCTTGCACCCTATGCTATGTCTACGAGAAACCAAAACAAGCATAACTTTCTTGGTTACCCACAAAAAAAAGACTTATCAGAGATCAAAAAGCGTAAAATTTTTCTTTCTATCTTCTGAGATGTTGGTTAGGAAGTTTTATGGAAAGGTAAACGAAAAACTAGTGCTTGAAACTTTGGATCAACTGACGATGACATTCAGTGCGTTCTTTCACTGTTCACATACATGCTCCACCTCTGCCTCTGCATCTCTGCCCATCCTGAGACCTGAGTTACAGCATTTCTGTCTCTCTTGAGTTTACAGTAAATTTCTCTCTATTGTCAGTAAACGTTCTGTCTGTCCTCAGTTACAAGCTCAGTTTTTCCCTATCCTGTGTTACAAACTTACAAGTTACAATATGATTCGACATGGATCCATACCTACACAGGTACAGGTATATATTGTATATACATACATATATTATAGCTGCTCTTATATTCTTTCTTTCTTTTATTTCTCTTGATCCCTCTGAGAAAAACAGCTGCAAAACTGCAAGTACTAATGTAACTGCGCACAAGGTCGGTTGCCCATACTGTCAATGCTGCCGGAAGTGCGCGCAACCGACCTTGTGCGCGGTTACATTAGTACTTGCAGTTTTGCAGCTGTTTTAACTAGAGGGAGCCCAGATAAGGAAAAGTAAGGTAAGGGGAGCCCATATAAGGCAGCAGGCGAAGTATATATATACCCGTGGACGTATGCAGCGCTACGTCCTTCGGAATAATTGGTTTAGTGGTATACAGTATGGCATTATTATTGCAAGGCAATTGCAAGGCGACATATACCGGTAACAAAGCACATACTGACATGACGGCATATAATTGGCGATGACGACAAACAAAATTACTAACAAGATTTGATTAAGTGTTAAAGCACTTGGATATGCTTTACAACCAGCACAAGATTCCGCAAAATTTGGCACGGATACCTATACTGATACGATTTCTACCAGGTGTCAAGTTCTTTTAATTTGACAAATGACATGAATTGAGCAGAAACCCGGAAATAAATATCAACAACTTTCACACGCATTTCATGGCATCATAGGTTCAATGCGGAAATATGTCAGCACGTCTTCGCCGACAGAATAAAAGAAATACACTGTACCTAGTACCTACATACCAGCCAGCACACAGAACTGGCGATATATTGTAACAGTGGCCTATCTGGCTACTGTTCTAGTGGGGTGGCGATCAGCCTTTACCACGATTAAACGGCTGTTGGTGTGAAAGGTGGCACGGCCGGCAACGATGCTGGCCGAGGACGCTCTTACTGATGTACACAATTACACAGGTGGCTCCGATTGGGATGACGCTAGTTCATCCCAAGCGGTCAAACGCAACAACGTAACTCAAGGCATGTTTAATGACAAGGGAATCAAGAACACAGCAAGGTTGTAAGCAAGGGTTTCAGCAAGAGGAACAATCAAGTAGATGCAAGCTGTAGCAAGCTGAGCACAAGACTGAATTCTAGAAATTCATGAGAAAGGAAACTAGCCGGTAAAGTGGACAAATTCATACCGCGGTGGAATGATTCATCATAACTAGGCGGTCTTATCGTTCGTACAAATACTATCGCTACATCCCTCACGGTAGCGATGAGATATACCTGTCTCATCAAGACAACAAAACAAAAGTTACATAAGAAAACAGGAAAATTAAGCGTTAGGAATTAGTAAGCTGTACAACACAATGGTCCGGGATGATCCTTAACGTACGGCGTGGTGGTCCCTCACGTTGAACTACCACGAGAATCCATCCGGCGATCGGAAGAATCCTACAATCAGGTTCCGCTGGATATGTCCGGGATTGAAGGGTCCCTCACGGTATCCGGAAATTTTCCGCGTTTATCCGGTGCTGTGGGGAAGTAGTGGAGGTTTCGTGCGATGTCGGTGCAGTTGCGTTTGGGAAAATAATATGCGTTTGTCTCATTAATCGCTGGTAAAATGAAGACAAGCGAATACTTTGTATTATGGAAACCATTTCCTTTAATTTTTCTTTTAATATCGTTGGTGGCGAATATTTAATTTTGGCACTTCTTGCAGAACGGAAGTGTGTGTTGACTGCGAAGATGCTTTAGTCTCGGTTGTCGGTTGTAATGTAGGCGTTAACAGTTCCGTTAAAATTTCACTCAGTAATGTCTCACATAATTCCACCTTCTGCGGGATTGTAGTCGATAATTCGCTTGAATTCGTCGAATGACATACATTTTGGTTTAATTTTGTGATGTACGGTGTCCGCGGTTTTAACAGATCAGGTTTGTTCATTTCTGCTTTTTGTTCGGCTAACAATTTTCTGCAGCGAGATGCCGGGTTATCTGAGCGGCTGCTGTAGAGATTAATTTCCGTAACACTGTAAAACACGGGAGGTACATAGTCATAGCCGTACGTTCCTCCTTTCCTGTAGGTGTTCATTCTTTTCCACTGCCTACTAAATAGAAATGAAGTTCCTTTGCGTTCCACCGTGCAGTTAATGTAATCGTCATATTCTCCTTGAACATTAACTTTAATGTCATCAGGGCATATACGCGGTATGGTATATTTGTCATTGGTGCTGTAGTTGGTGCATTCTCCATACGAATGGAAGAAATCCAGACATTTAGGACAAAACAATTTTCCATTATTTAATCTGTAGCTGTCGAAGTCAATAAATTTAGGATGTATTCTCTTTTCCGCATTGTAATTTTTCGATTACAGTATTTTGTGTAGTCACGTTTGGGCGAAGGACTACGGTGCTGGTCACGATAATGTGTAACGACGATCACTCTCGAGTGTGTGGTTGTGGTGTTCCCGGTAATGTGTACGGCGATTATCAGCGCTGTAATCGCTGTCGGGCGAGCAGGGACGGCGCTGAGCACGGTAATTCGGGGAACGTGAGCAGCGGCGGTGCTCACTGGGTGACCGGTTGCCATTAGTATTTCTACGGAGGTGATAAGAATCAGCACGTACAAGATGCCGTCTCGGGCTGGATGACCGATGGTCATCTGAAGCATTATAATGTTCCTGGCGAGTACGGTGTCGCTGGGCGTCGGTACCCTTGTTGTCACTGTGACGGTTACAAGTGTCGGAGAGTTTAATTTCAGTTTGAGCTGACTGTACAGCAGTGTTTACTGCGGTGTCGGCAGCAGCTACTTTTTCAAGTACAGAACGAGCTTCAGAGAAAGTAACTGCGCGAGAAACTATAAGATATTTCCTGCATTCTGGCATATTGTAAAATGCGCGGTGAAGTTCAACAAGTTTATGCGAATCAGACATTTGAGGATCTATTTCGTTAAACAGAATTTCCAACTCCATCAGAAATGTCTCAATATTTGACCCTTTCTTGAACACCTTTTTTGATAATTCAATGCGTTTCTTTATTAAGTAATCTTCAGGGAAAAAGCGGTCAATTAATTTGCATTTCAACTCTTCATAATTTAATTTCGAACATGTGGGCCAACTGCGCTCAAAATACAGACGTGCTTTATCACCAAAGTATGTAGGAAAGATACAAATTCTATCTTCTGAACTCCATCCAATTGCGTCAGCAGCTCTTTCGAATTGTTGAAAGAACGCAGTGATAATATAATCAGGAGTATCATTAAAGACTTTAATATTGAAATCTTTTGCAGTATATCCGTAACGCGACTGTAACGCGAGCACTTGTACCAAGCGGTTAATATCAAGCGGCAGTTGTACAGTAGTAATGTTTGTATCGGTATGAGCGGATGCGGCGTGCTGCGCGGCTGTGTGCGCGGCATGCTCTCTCTGTGCGGTTGCTAACGGAGCGCTGTGCAAAGCAGTTTGAGTGAGTGACTCATCGGAAGGCTCATCATCTGAAAAGGTAATTAATGTTTCTTCCTGTTTATAACGTTGCTCCAGTCTGTCGTGTCGAAGCACCGGTTCTGTGTGGCTGATGTGAGTGCATGCTGTATTCCCACGCACTGCGCTCTGTCCACTGTTTTCCCTTGACGGTGCATGTGTAAGGCTGCGGGCCGGTTGGGCAGAGGACCAAGACTGGACAGCAGACGTTGACGCTGCGTGTAATGTCGACAGGGAAAGCGCGTTAATCTTTCCAGTGTTATCATTGTTGATACAAGTGTTCGGCAAAGTAATGTTGTGCTTTAACATGTAGGAAGATAATTTATCAACATAACCTGACCTAGAGACTTTCCGATTAATGTACACGTTTAGACTGTTGCTGATGTCCTGCAACTGCGCCTTGGTGAGTTCACCAAGCTGAGACTGCAAATTTATTTCCTCAGATTCCATTGAACTGGTGGACCATGACAGTTAATGTTGTGCTCTCAGAGCATCTAGACCAGTGTTTACGATACACAAGGAAGTTTTGGCGCGAACCAGACCACGGCGGCACAGCGGCGCAGGGTGAACAACGGTAATATAACGGTTAGCAAAAGCGCGAACAAATAATGCAGCAAAAATTATTTTTCTATATTCGCAGTTTTAAGATTTTCTGATAAAATGGCATCGTAACAGGAACAGTGATATTAATTAATTTAGCGTTCGGAAAATTAATACAAAACTTTGATGTTATTAATGTATCAAGACCGAAAAAAGCAAATCTCACTGCGTCAACGGACACAGTAAACACTCACGAAACGGCGATCCGTTCCGGGACTTCCGCTGGTTGGTGTGGGAAGTGGTGATATTATGGAAATTGCTGGTATATGCAGGCGTCCAGGTGGAATGGTTCTTTACAGGAGCGCCATGTAACAGTGGCCTATCTGGCTACTGTTCTAGTGGGGTGGCGATCAGCCTTTACCACGATTAAACGGCTGTTGGTGTGAAAGGTGGCACGGCCGGCAACGATGCTGGCCGAGGACGCTCTTACTGATGTACACAATTACACAGGTGGCTCCGATTGGGATGACGCTAGTTCATCCCAAGCGGTCAAACGCAACAACGTAACTCAAGGCATGTTTAATGACAAGGGAATCAAGAACACAGCAAGGTTGTAAGCAAGGGTTTCAGCAAGAGGAACAATCAAGTAGATGCAAGCTGTAGCAAGCTGAGCACAAGACTGAATTCTAGAAATTCATGAGAAAGGAAACTAGCCGGTAAAGTGGACAAATTCATACCGCGGTGGAATGATTCATCATAACTAGGCGGTCTTATCGTTCGTACAAATACTATCGCTACAATATCTACAGACTGCAGTTATGTTTCCGGGCATTAATCAACATATTTAAGCCGTCGTCTGTTGTCATTGGTACGGTTTTTAAATGCAATAATGTATAAATCTCGTAGCACCTTGATTAAGGTCTAATTAATGTAGCCAAAGATCTTTCAAATTCATGCGACTGTACGACTCTCTCTTTACTAGTTTAAAGCCCTTATCAACTTTTTACACATTAAATGGTATTTGGTAGTCAACAATGACCTTGTAAACTTGCTATAACTTTAGACTTTAGACTGAAGAAATATTACCGGTGGCGGTATTTTACGTTTTACGGTTATTACTCGACCTTTCCTGTCCTGGCCCTGCACAGCTTTGGGTGACGGTTACCTGCTCACGCGCGTGTATCTCAGGCATCATGGTTGGTGGTATTAAATCTCACTAAAGCTGGTTTACGAAAACAGTTGAAAAATTTTTCGGTGATATTCAGATTTTTCGTACGGTACTTGTAAAAGCAACTTATTATTTTTTGTGCACAGCACACCGACGCACAATAAATCTGCAGATCTGCAGATTTTCTGCGACAGATAATAATTTCTGGGATAGAATAACTGACCTCTTTTCAGACTCCGCATCCTGTGTTACCTAATTCTGAACAACATTTCGCACACGAAATGGACCCACACGAATTCGTAGTTCCCGATATGATCAATGCCGAATCACTGAGAGATGTCATACTGATGTTCCACCGAGTCAACGTGATAAAATTTGGTAGTTTTACTCTAAAATCCGGCGTGCAATCTCCCATCTATATTGATTTGCGCGAGATAATTTCGTATCCGCGCTTGCTCCGAACTGCGGCCCGTCTGATATCCAAAGCGATCTACGAGACCGACGCGGTGGTGCACGAAGTCCTGTGCGGCGTGCCGTACGCCGCACTGCCCATTGCCACGCTCATCGCTTGCGATAAGGACATTCCCATGGTTATGCGCCGCAAAGAAGTGAAAGATCACGGGACGAAGAAGATTGTCGAGGGAAAGGTGGAGCGTGGTGCACCCTGCTTGCTGGTGGATGATGTGTGCACCAGCGGGCAGAGTATTCTGGAAACTGCCGAGGATCTTCGCGCTGCGGGGTTAATTGTGGAGGATGCCGTGGTATTGCTGGATCGCGAAAGCGGGGGAGCGGAATATTTGCAGCAGAATGGCATCAAATTGCATTATGCCCTGAACATTACCCAACTTTGCAGTACTCTTGTGGCTGCAGGTAAACACAGAAATGAGAAATACCGTGTTAATGTAATTAAGCCTGCATGAACTGATAAACCCCTTTTTATTTCTTTCTAACCGGTCGACAAGCAGAGTATTATTTCTTTAAATTACGGTAAAAAATTGAAATTGTTGAAAAATTGTACAGGTTTCAAATTTTAGAGTAGCACAATAATTGCAAAGGTGCAATCTTTGAATAACTGAAACCTGTATTAATGTAACTAGTTTATTGATTCGGTAGTTGTAAACTTGTAAGCCCGTTGCTGCATTTGATAATGCTGTATTATTACTGCTTGCATACTAGTATTAGAAACCGCATTTTTCTTATTCAGAATGGTTGAATAATTTATTGGTTGCATTTTTTTTATTTTTGCAGTGGTTAAATGATGCAACTGTTTTAAAAATTGATATTATGGTTTGCTAACAAAACGCTTAAACGTTTCCTCGGGCGTTGAACACCTTCGACGTGTACGACCAGCTTGGATGCGCATCTTGATTGCATTTTGACATTTGCTTTTGTTAAGAATTTGACAGTTTCAATTTACTCTAAAGAAGTACATTTTCGTGTAACAATAACTTTGGACATGCTATTAGTGTGTAAGCTATTAGTTTTGTTACATTATTGTTACAATGCTGTTAGTATTGTTACATTAATACTGGACGAATCTACAGTAATTAACTTTTTACAGGAGAAATTCCGATCCCAGTCTACGAAGCTGTCAAAAGCTTCCTTGCTGTTAGCCGAAAGAAGCCGGAAGTCACGAATGGTACAAGCGGCGTGGTGTCGTCCCCGAAACCTGCAACGTCATCCTGGCTGCAGATGACGTTTACAGAACGCGCGAAGCAGACCAAAAACCCAGTCGCCCGGCATCTCTTCGAGATCATGGAGAATAAACATACTACATTGGCCGTCGCTGTGGATGTCACGACTACTGCCGGCATACTGCAACTGGCCGAAGCTTTGGGTCCGCATATCTGTCTTCTGAAACTGCATGCCGATATTATTCAAGATTTTAAAGCTGATTTTATAACTGAACTCGTTAAGATTTCACAGGCGCATAAATTTCTCCTAATGGAAGATCGTAAGTTCGCTGATATCGGCTTCACCGTGTCGCACCAGATGAGTGGCGGTGTGCATTCCATTGCCAACTGGGCCGATCTCGTGACGGTACACGCGCTGCCCGGGCCAGGCATCGTCAGTGGACTGAAGGAGGGCATTAAACGGCAGGGAAATCGGGAGATCGGATTCGTTTTTATAGCGGAGATGAGTAGCAGCGGTGCACTGACCGATGGCGATTACGCCAAGCGTACGGTCAAGATATGCGATCAGCACAACGAGAATGTGGTGGGTCTGGTGTGCCAGACAAACTGCACTGATAATCCGGCTTTTATTCGCATGACACCGGGAGTTCACATGGGAGCGGCGGGTGATGGCTTGGGACAGAATTATTCATCGCCACAGGAAGTAATGGGGAAATGCGCAGATGTCATTATTGTGGGTCGCGGTATCACGGAATCGTCCGATCCCGCAGCGGTAGCACTGGAGTACAAACTGAAGGGATTTGCTGCCTACCGCTCGCGCACTGGGGACCGCTCTTAGGGAATGTGGAGCAAGATTCGGCTTTTCCACCACAGGGACCTAATAATTTTTATTGTTTTAACTATGCCGTTCAGTTTCTTTCATAAAAGTTTTCTTGATGTTGTGCGTTCCTGATAGAAGTTTTACGCGTAGTTCCAACATGTCTGCAAATTGTATATGATTTATCTTTTTAGTGAGCGTCAGACTTGGAAAACAGGAATTGCACTTTGACTTGGGTGTTGCGTTTTACTTTTGGTCACTTCTATGCGCCAGGAAATTTCCTGGCGCATAGTCAATTTGCTATGCGCCAGGAAAATTCGTGGCGCGTAGTCCTTTTGCTATGCGCCCGGAAATTCGCCGCCAAAATTAAAATTTATCGCTTTCAATTATTAATAACATAATACTGTCACTTGGTGAAAGTGCTTTTTATATAGCCAGCATAACAACACGTGAGATTCATTACAAAAAGCACAAACTACGCTTTCCAAGAACTCAGTATTTAGGAAAAACTAAGAACTGGAGCACCAGCAATACTTGTGATGGGCATTAGATGGGCATTAGACCTAAGGAAGCATTTGCGACTGCTCGAGCAGAAGGCCCGCGCTCAAGCTCGGACTTGGACTTCTAAAACTTGGACTTTATGACTTAGACTTGGAATTAGGCGTTTCTTATGTCTTTTATGTCTTCTTATGTTTCTTCATGTTTTCTTAGGTGTTCTTAGGTTTCTTTGGTGTTCTTAGGTTTTTAGGTCCCTTAGGTTCCTTAGGTTCCTTAGGCTTCTTAGGTTTCTTGGAATACCAAAGAATACCTAGACAACTATGAAATTTTAGTAACCTCAGAAACCTAAGAACATCCAACAAACCTCAGAAACCTGAGAAAACATGAAGAAACGTAAGAAGACATGAGAAACGCCTAAATCCAAGTCCAAGTCATAAAGTCCAAGTTTTAGAGTCCAAGTGAAATCCAAGTCCAAGTTTTAGAAATCCAAGTCCGAGCATGTGTGGGAATGCAATGTGTTGTTATGGCCGCGTTGAAAAGTAAAAACACCACTGTACAGTTTTGCCGTATTTACAAATCAGCAAAAAAGCAGGGCATGCACGATTTTCCAACAGTCGAAAGGAATAAGAAGCAACGGTCTCACCGGCATGTTAGCAGGCCCGCGTTGGAGGGGGGCGGTGGGGGCGGCCGCCACCCCCCTTTTCGATCTTTGGCCGCCGTGGGGGCGGCGATTTTTCGGTTTTTGACCGCCGGGGGGCGAATTTAAAGTATGGCGCCTTCCACCCCTCTGCCCCGACCAGTTTCTGGCCGCCACCCCGGCGGATTTTAGCCAAAACGCCGCCTCCCGGCGGCATTCCGCCCCCCCCCCCCTCACCAAAAGACCCCAGCGCGGGCCTGCATGTTGGTACTGGAATGGGTTAATCCCAAAAATCGCGAGTCCTATGCACACTTAGACGGAAACCGATGGACTTGTATTAAGCTGTAAACCTGGATACATACATTATTACTTTGCACTCAAGGAAACGAAATGCACATTGAGTGTCCTTCCGTCCCGCAACAAAAGATCGGTTAGAGTAATTGTGGGGTATATGCACCAGCGTTTTGCGTCAAACATGCCCTTTCAAAAAATGCGAACATCAAAAGCGCGAATTATGCCAAACAGTCTACATTTCGAAACTGGTTAAACGAAATTATTGAAAACGGAAGCCAGTTTCAAAAAATTCGGGGTGTCCTGGATAAAGTCCGTCTTGATGTAAAGAACGGTGTGCCGTATAAACAACTGGCATTACAGCCTTTCTGATCTAACCATCAAGTTGATAAAACTTCTTACCAGCACTGTTGATCACTATTTAGTATGTACTGTGTTAAAGTGACAGTTGATGAAGGCTCGGGCTGTAATCGTAATCGGACGTGTGGGTTATGATTAGACTTCGTAAAGGGATATTAACAACTTAAAAACACTTACATTTTAATTTTGCGAGAAATTTCCTGGCGCATAGCAAGTTGACTATGCGCCAGGAATTTTCCTGGCGCATAGCACTTTCGTTTACTTTTACACATCACACATTTTCATTGTTGTGTTTATTATGATGTTATGACACTGTTTGAACGCTTTCGTTGCAATAATGCGTAGAAATCATTGGATGATCATCGAGTAAATGTTTAATATCAATTTTTGGGTCATTAAGAAATACAACGGAGCACAGAAAAGTATTACGCAAAGCCGGTATGGTACTGCTTATTTAATGGACTCGTAATTCAGACGTCTGTACAAAACGAAAATGATTAAGAAAATTTAAACGGCTAGCATCGGAGCAGTATTCAACGATCCATTTTTTTGTACCTGTTCTTTCGCTTGAGGTCATCAATTCTAAAAAGGGAACATAGCAAGTTTTTGACATTTAATTTTCAATTCCAGTATTTCCCCACGACGCAAGTGCTTTTCTGCCGCGCTTGTAATATTCACTTCTTCGGCCGCAAGAGCTTTCAGTGCCGCCTGAATATTGTCGCAATGGCTGGTAATAACATCCATTAAAAATCCCCATTTAAGACTTTCGTGCCGCTCTTTCTTTTCTTCAGACAAGTATTCCGGAAAGGGAAAATCAGGAACATCAAGCAGTGCCCGGAATTTCGTCGGCAGGTTGGCCGGCAGGATGCGCTGGGCTATCTGTTTTTGCCACCATAAATACGATCTTTCCATCTTTTTTACCTCGTAATACTTTTCATAGATGTGAACCAATGTCTCCGACCAGCCGGCAATCCGCTCCTCGCACATTTCTTCCACTTCGGGGGTGACCGGGACTTTTGAACACACTGAAATAAAAATCTAGAACATTTTTTTTTATTTAAATTCAGGATTTAATTGTAGATAATCTACTGTAGATAATTAGATTCAAATCATTCAATACGAGTACAGCTTTTACCCAATATATACCGGAATACGATATTTTCAAACAATGGAAAAAATTTCGGGTCGAGTATGACGTTCTCGGCTGAATACGACATTTTCCGACAGTTAAGCGAATAATAAAATACGACACATATATATTTCACAGATACTGTATATGTAGATGCAGAAAGACAGAAGTAAAGCTCTCTAGACAGTTCTACGTAGTCTCTGTGGTTCGCGAAGAATCAACAGAATACCGTACCACTACGGCACTACCAACCGTACCTGTTCAGTCTGCTGCCAAGCTGGACAAAACAAGAACAGGAAACGAACCGGATGAGGATTTACACGCTTTGAACCATAGCTCTTGCTATTTAATTTAAATTAATAATTAATTTAATTTTATTAATTACCATACTTTCTGTGTGATCTTGATTCACCCATTATCGAAACCAGAGTTAAATGGGACAACGGAAAACAAAATCGTGGAAAGGGAAGCAAGATAAGATCTGCCGGGTATCGAAGACGTCCATAAAAATTGTGGAATTGGACGTCTCGAAAACGGTGTGTAGTAGTAAAGGACTACCAGCAGTCCGTCTTTAAGACTACGCCTAATTGGCTTGGCTCGTCACGCTTTTTGGCGCAGATGTGTTATTCTATCATTTAGGAGGCCAGTGCGAATTCGCACTTTACCTTTCACAGTTCGTTTTGCTTTTCGCTTTTGAGTTTTGAATCGGTTTTTATTCGTCCGATTTATTGCAAAGCTGAAATTCAGATTCTAACGTGGTGAAAACTGAAAGGATTTTGGTTTGCTTACATGACTTCATTTACGTACGCTGAAAACAGTGAAACGTTATTTGAGATCGAAACCGCAACATGTTTTGCCGTCGAGCAGAAGACCTGATACGCAGTTTGGCTCGCGCACCAGACGAAACCATCCCTCCTTATAATGTAAGTTTTTATTTAGCGAAGATTGCTTACCTTAAAGCTTCGTTGTAATTTTAATTCAGTTTAGAACCTCACAGATAATTGTTTCTCTAGAAAGAGTTGGTTCTTTGAGTTAATTATTTACGTATCTCCAAGAATTAAGGGTATAAAACCGTAAGAATTCTCTATGTAAGAAGTAAGATCCATAAGAAATTAAAAAAGAATTATAGCTTCATAAGGATCAGTTTTAAGATGATCAACACAAATACGGATTCATCCGCATTATGGAATTGGAGTCTTGTTTGTTTACTCTGAGTCTGATAAACGATGCTTACGAGCTTTCCAGCTTTATTCTGCACACTTTAACTTACGTTCATGAAATTGCCTGCAAGGCTGCAACTTTGATGCTGAAAATTTTAACAGGCAGAAGCGGTTAGACTGATTTGCGAGGAAATCGCCACTATTCACGAAAACAATGTCGAAGACAGGTAACCTGTTAACACACACATAAAAGTTAAAACTTTTTTATTACCAAATCTTGGGTCTACACGTTGATCATTATGGACAATACAAAATTGAAATTTTAGTGGACGTCGAGAAAGCCTTTTAGCAGCATCTCAAGATAAAGCTGCAGAAGACCTGAAGAATGCCATCAGTTTTCGTCATCTCGCGAAGGAACGCAACCTGCGCTGTTTGATTGCGTACCATTATAATCGACTAGAACGGCTGCGAAATTTACGCTGGTCGTTCGGAGGTATTCTTCCGCGAGATGTGCGGGCCGCGCTGTCGGAGAAGGAGGTGGAATGGTTCAACAGCTACAACACATTGCTTACTGGTTTTATGCAAGATAACAGCGGACTTAATTTACCAGCTCATCAAAAGCCACCACAAGACCTCTACATTCACGTACGTAGATAATTTTCATTTACAAATCTCATATCTTTATAATAAGTATAAAGAACTTTAAATCTTTGATTAAACATGTTACATTTGTTTTTTATCCTAATCTTATTGCTTCTGCTGGTGTTGTAAAGAAAAGTCACTGAACAGTAATCAAGTCGCAATTACATATTTCACCATAGTGCCATAAAGATAGTACAGTGCCTTCATGAGTTCACTCATACTATTTTCACGTATGAAACTATTCTTTATTGGCTGCAATCATTACGTCCGTTTTACGGTACATAAGTTAGAAGGGTTATAATTATTTTTATTTGTCAGTCGCATTTGGTAATATTAGACGGTTTAAAGGTTATACCTAATTTATACATAATACAATATCTAGAAAGAAAAAAAGGAAACAGTGTAAGAATTTACTGTGTGGTCTGTACTCTGTACTGTACAGTGCATCAAACGTTAATGCAGCCGGTAGCAAGTTAGCAACGTGCTTTTTTCATGGTTTGTATTTTTGTAATGTCATACAAATTACTTTTGTTTAAAACCAAAATAATACGGTGATACTTTTATGACCTTATGTGCAGGTGAGAGTTCTCAAAGACTTCGGGGAATATCAACTGGAAGATGGAAGCTGCATCCAGTTGACCAAGAACACTCGGCACGTCCTGCCATTAATGGAATGCGAAGATCTTATCCGTCAAGGAATTCTTGAGCACGTGGTCAATTAAATCTTGTTCAGTATTCACTATTTAAAAGTTTACGCGCTGTTTACTCACTTTTAAAGCTCTCATGTGCTTCGCAAAGCTTCATTTTGTATCGAAATTTTCCGTACAATTCGCTTTTCAATTTTGAATGATGAAAATAGTACTATTGAATGTTGATACACAATATGCTTGTTACAAATAGTTAAATGCCGACGATGAGGAGTAAATTAATTGTATTTTCCAAAATACAAAAACGGGTAATACGTGTGTATGCTTAGCATTTATACAATTTAATATGTTTATATTAAATTTCACTAATTAATTTAAGCTATTACAGTTGATACGATGCGTTCATACTTCTTGCTGCATTCCAGTACATCAAACTGCAAAGATGGATCCTTTATTTTCCTTGATCATACAATAAACTCCGCAAAGCATTCATTCATTTCTTTTTGTCGCAAAAAAACAAGATTATGAGACATCTATTTTTTTGTTCCAGTTTCCTTGGCTTTCAGGACTCGTTGTACGATCTTCTGTTCTTCTATTAAAAACGCTCGAACAATCCTGCAAATTAAGGCACATCAAAAAAAGACCCTCGAAGTGTCACACAGCAAAAACTGAGGTTTTCTGTTAACTAGTCAGTTGTTAAGTTACCTTTGACGAACACAGCTATGGCATCGGGAACCTCCGTAACTGCGAGTGACGTGCTTCAGACGCTTGCTAACTGAATGCAACTTCCTCGGGCGAGCGCGGATAACCTGAACAAAATAAATATCCAATACGTGATGAAATCTCGAATTTCCCGCTAGCGAACAATTAAATCTGCATTTTACAGAACCATAAAACATACTTCGCCTTGCCCATTATTTCAATCAGTACCACTTTAGGGATCAATATATTAATCACTTTACCGAACTGAGAGCCTCTGTGGCGGGCGGCTACATGAACAACCACGGCTGACTGAAATGCAGTCTATGCAATATGCATTACCATTCAGTCTATGCAGCCTACGCAGCTTATCAGTGTGCAATCTATGCAGTAAGACCAGCACTGCATCTATGCAGTAAAAGTGATTAATATATTGATCCCTAAAGCGGTACTGATTAAAATAATGGGCCAAGCGAAGTATGTATAATTAAGTATTGTCATCACAAATAACAAATTTGTGGCATCACTAACCACAGTATCTGCATTTTTACAAAACCATAAAACATGTATTATTAAGTACTGTCATCACAAAAATGACAAAATAATAACAAATTAATAACATGAATAACTACACTTACAGTACAAACTAATTATTAATGCTACAACAGCACTTACACCAGGGAGATCCCGTTTGCAGTCGCCACATCTTGCTGGTGTGGCAAGTTTCTTCTGGTAGATATACACCAATCGTCCTCCAGGAGTTTTGACTCTACAATAATTAAAACGCTTTCCATCGTGCAAAGCAAGTACCGCGGCCTCTCGCGAGAACCCTATGGACGTACATCTTCCGTTTGTTGGATGCGGTGCTGTAAGGAAGGCGACGGCGAAGGGTGAGACGCTGGGCCATTTTGAATGGAGCAGATGGTGAATGTCTGGAAAATTGGCTCACGAACGCTTTTAGCTAGGCTAAAACACTCAGAACAACCAAAAGCGGGAAGATCCTCCGGGCACCCGCAAAACGCAATTGCAATGCACTGAATTTCCAAGACGAAGTAAGTGATATCGCAGACAAGCAGTAGTCAGAATTTTGGAACTGAACCGAATGAACTCGTCCATCAAATTAACGAGTTTACTGTATTGTAAATTCCATTTATTACTGGAGTCAGTGAGGAACAGGTTTCCCAGCTGGAATGGCAGTTTCTTTCAAGCAACGTAGCAGTCACTAGCAAGCTAGTGCCTCTAGGCGGGAACTTGTCAAACTGTTATTGTTCGGTGGCGGCACTTAATCGATGGAGTACTGTAAATCCAGAGACAAGGATAATTATTAATCATTTCGGTTTTTCCCCTTGATTTTCATTTTTTCAGTAATATGCGATAGTAAGTAGTATCGTAACGATTCGATATCAAAAGCAAACAGGATTATTTTTGGTCTTGGAAGTACATTCATACCAGAACGACAAGGCCCCACGCGGCACACTCACTGTCACCGTGTCACGGTACATTTTTTAAATTCGAAACTTCAGTTCAGAATTTCATGAATTATGGTAGCCCTATCAACATTTTTATTTGATTTCAAAATCTCCTGTTTGTCATAAATTTAGTAATATGACTCTGTTACAGTTTTAGTCTGCAAAACTGTTGACCAAAAAAAATCAAAAACTATAAACTGCTCCTGCACTTTCTTTACGTGCTACGTATATACGGTTTTCTTAAGATGTATTCAGAACCCGGCGTTTTCGGCAAGGAGCAGCTGACTTATTGTGAACGGCACCAACCGGTTCTGGTCTGGTTTTAAAAGTGGGTATGATAACATCGTGCTGTGTTCCTAATTTCTCTAGTGTACAAGTTCAGCGCAGTAATATCTATATTAGATTCCATCAATATTGTGGACGTTCATAATAATTGTTCTACCTGCTGCCGATTTAAAGCCAACACTACTGACTAGTACTGAAAGTGCGATACATAATACGGTGTAGTAAGTACATTCATGATAAAAATTCATATCCGGTTGTGGATATTGCTCCGAGTTGTGGTGTAATTAATAACAGTCCAAAACGCGGAGTACTAGCTAACCATTTGCAAACCTTATTGTAGTGCTTCTTAACCGACATCTACGAAGGCAAGTGCATGGTACCCTACCCTGTATCGCTATCGAAAGTTAATCATGTGGTAACTGTTAAAAAATTGAAAACAGAACTTCGTACGGTTTGCCGCTTCGTGGAGTACTTATTCCTTATCGATAGCGCTTAATGCTTATACACTTGAACTGGACTGGTCACTACCGTACAGTTCGGCACCGGATATCATCGTGCGGTCTCGTATTTACACGTGTCTTGGCAGTGTGAGTATTTCGTCGTTGTACAAGTATTAGGCTACTCTTATCGCGCAGCTAGCCGTCCATGCTCCATTTCAATCAGATTAATCAAAATCAGCCCACAAAATCAACTGCTTGATTGCATCTTTGTAATACCTGCCGTAGGAATAGATAAAAATTTCTGCGCTCATTTACACTATAAAGCTAAGTGTCCAGTTTCTGCAGCGAATACTGTCTTCTTAAATTTGCAGTTCCGACGTCTTCGCTTACGCTTTCTTCAACCATAATCTTGGCCACCCGTCTGCGCGTTACCATTGCAGATAATCTAAACTCTCCTGGGTGCTATATTTTGAAGGATTCCGTGATTTGCTGCATTCATCACAATGGTTGGCACTACATTTGGCCAGATTCTGGATGGAAAAAGCATCGCGAAGTGAGTGATGGATTTAGAGCATAAGCAAGATTGCAGCACTGGCAATCTGGCATGCAGCAAAAGTAGTTTAACTCACATCATAACGAGGAATAACAATGCGCAGCGCTATATATGTGAGGTTTTATGTGATTCTGATATTGTTTTGAAGTGTCCGAACAAACAATTTCAACTAAATAAATTTTTAAAAACAAAACATATTGCAATTAACATATATAAATTTGTAAGGGAGACGCAGCAACATGTGGCTACCACGGTTTCCGCTTTGAAAGAGCAAGGATGCACGCCTGGATTAGCCATTTGCAGTGCGTGGAAATTTATGCAGTCTTACTTGAATACGTTTGTATTTTTTGATACGTCCATGCATATTAACCACTTGATTCGAAAGATTCAATTGACACCGAAAAAGCAACAGGAAGTATTTCGCCTTTAAAGGATGTCGATGGGTAAATTATGTTCTTTATTATGCGAACTTCTATCATATGCATATATCTACTTCGCCCGGGCATATAAATCGTTGCATGCTGACCGCCTTTTACCACTATAGTAGGTTGCATTCGGCTACATAAGTGAACCACTGATATTTTATTGTGCACTCCTTATGGACAACTCTGGAATTGATTGGCCAAACCGGTTTCACTACTGCACATAAAGTATCGTTTAGGGATTTTTCGAAGTCAGTACTTGTTACGAAATTAAAATTGATATATTTGCTATATTGTGATGATTGATATGCTATGCTAATGGAAACTAAGGAAATCCGTGCCGTGTAAAACTGGAAGGAGCGATTGCCGTAGTTTTGGGACGGAGCAAAATTGTCGGCGCGCCGATGTCGGAAGTGCTGTTATGGAATCATGCAACAACCATTGTTTGTCATTCAAAAACCAAAAACGTGCAAGACATTGTAAGTGGTACTGCTGCGACAAATCCATGTATAGCTACTGGGTAGCAACGTTAACTGATCATAGCAAATTCTTTTCCATTCGTGGCTTCCAGGTGAAAACCGCAGACATTCTTGTGGTGGCGATTGGAAAAGCCAATTTTGTCAAAGGAGACTGGATTAAAGAAGGTGCAGTGGTGATTGACTGTGGAATTAATTCTGTTGAAGGTAACCGAAAGAATAAATTTACATGTTAAATGAAAATGCAATTATTTTGTAAGCTAGATCATTGCATGTACGGATGTACCTGTAGATTCAAAAGCACCAAATGGGCGTCGCCTGGTGGGAGATGTGGACTTCGAGGCTGCAAAGCAGCGGGCTTCGTGGATTACCCCCGTCCCAGGTTTGCATGCTGTTATAACTTATACATTATGCTTTTCACGGTTTCCGTAATGCAGAACTAGGATGGATTTTTTTCTGTTGAAAATTAGGCGGAGTTGGCCCTATGACTGTCAGCATGTTGATGGAGAACACCGTGGAAGCCGCTCAGAAAGCTTTCAAAGCCGAACAGGTTTGTTTGAGTGCATACGTTGATTCTTGACATTTCTCTGGTGACACACCAACAGTTCAGGTATTTGTTCAATCAAACGCAATTTAGGAGCCGATCTGGAAAGTAAAACCACTGAAATTGGACCTGAAACGCCCTGTACCCAGGTAAACAAACAAAATGATTTTTTCTAACGTTTTAAAAACTGGACCCTTTAGATCGGCAAGGTTTGACGGTAGAGTTGTTAATAAATCTGCTAAATCTAGAGACTGGATCACGCAGCTAACTTTCAAAACAATTTCAGTGATATCGAAGCCGCACGTTCCCAAACGCCCAAAGATGTCGCTGTTTTGGCACAGGAAGTGGGCATTCTAACGGACGAGATTGAACCATACGGCAAAACTAAGGGAAAGGTCACACTGGAAACGTACCAGCGATTGAAAAACAAGCCAGACGGGAAATACGTCGTCGTAACTGGGTACGATTTAAAGATATAAAATCTTCGGACTAGTTTTCATATCTAATGCATCAAATTTTTTTATCCGTATATGTGAAGCTGTCGTATTTTTACAGCATCACTCCGACTCCTCTTGGAGAAGGAAAGAGTACGACAACTATCGGCTTAGCCCAGGCTCTGGGTGCGCATTTGAAGAAAGCCGTTTTTGCCTGCGTACGACAGCCATCACAAGGCCCAACATTTGGAATAAAAGGTAGAGTTGCAAGCTTATCTTTCGGTAATTTTTTTGGATTTCGGAATCTTTATAAGCAATTCGATAGCTGCAAGCAGTCACAGCAAACTGAGCAACTGCAATGTTTGCAAGTTCGAAAAGCACTTTTATGGTACAATGCATCCGGTTTATAGAAATACAAGTCTACATAAACAATTCTTATAAATTTTGTTAACGTTTGTGCTAAGGTGGTGCTGCTGGCGGAGGATATTCCCAGGTTATCCCCATGGAGGAATTTAACCTACACTTGACCGGCGACATCCATGCCATTACTGCTGCAAACAACCTTCTGGCAGCTGCCATTGATGCCCGTATTTTGCACGAAGGCACCCAAAAGAACGACGCGTTATTCCGTCGGCTGGTTCCCGCTGCCAAAGACGGAAGCAAAACCTTCGCTCCCATCCAGATTCGCAGACTTAAGGTAGCTTTTTCCTTAACTTTATTTTCTATGCCGGATAAGTTTGATAAATTTCTTTTCTAGCGACTGGGTATCGATAAAACCGATCCCGATGCGCTGACCCCGGAAGAAGTGGGCAAATTTGTTCGCTTAGATATTGATCCGGCCACAATTTCATGGAACCGCGGTATGCCTTTGATTACTTAATAACGCCAGTATTCACAGTAAAAATTGGAACTGGTTAAATTGCCCCCAGTTATGGATACAAATGACCAGTTCCTCCGCGAAATCACGATTGGCCAGTCTGTTTTCAAGGAAAAACCTCAAATACCACCGCGGCAGGTTAGTCATTTCAGGAATTCTGGAACAATTCGTGCACCTTTAGTGTTGGTAACTTTTGGACCCGCGTATGTAAGTCATATTGGCCTAACTTCCAGACACAATTCGATATCACAGTATCCAGTGAGATCATGGCCGTGCTGGCTTTGGCTACATCTGTTGCCGATATGCGGGAAAAGTTTGGGAAGATGGTCGTTGCCAGCAGCAAGAGTGGTGTGCCGGTGACGGCTGACGATTTAGTAAGTATGAAAGCTATAGTCAGTAATTTCTTTTATAATATAAAAGATTATATTATCACCGCATATTATATTATCTGGGAGGCCTCACCGGTTACATGATTTTACTCTACATACGTACTTCATAATCGCAACAGTCTTATTTCTGCCAGTTTTTACTACTGAGTACATGAAAATATTTGTGAATTTACTGCTGTGCTTCGGTCATGCAGTGCCCGCCAGAAGCGAGTGCACTTTCCTAGTATTTTTATGTTATTGTATTAAACATAAAAATATTATTATGTTTTATACGTATTTCCCGTGCCTGATTTCACGATGAGATTGTTTCCTAGGGTATAACTGGCGCTCTGACAGTTTTGATGAAGGATGCGATTCGTCCCAACATTATGCAAACTCTCGAAGTAAGTTCATACTGTATTTTGACGACAGATTTCTCTCTTTTTTACTTTGTGTTGGTATGTGAAAATGTTTTTGTAATAGCTAGTTCCTAGTTAATGGCTCTTAGGTTAATTAAGTAACTCTGAACTGTATCCGTGCGGCATAGTGTGGTTTAATTGTTGCTGAACGTAGGGAACACCAGTATTTGTTCACGCGGGACCGTTTGCTAACATTGCCCATGGAAATTCCAGTATTGTCGCCGATTTAATTGCCCTGAAACTTGTAGGACAAGATGGTTTCGTTGGTAAGTGACGGAGTGAAAGAGAATATAATTCTTGCACATGAGTTTTTACGTAATACAATTTATAATTGCTTTGGGTTGGAATTATGTCGAGCGTAGGTATTGCTGAATTGTAAAAATTTGGCTCAGTCTTTTATTTTTCCATTATCTCAAAGTGTTCATAGACTATCGTCCTTCGAAATTAAACGTTTTTACCGGCTCAGTTTAAAATTTTTATAGTGACCGAAGCCGGGTTTGGTTCCGATATTGGCATGGAAAAATTCTGCGACATCAAATGCCGATACTCTAACCTCGTACCCGATGCCGCAGTACTGGTGGCCACCATCCGAGCGCTGAAAATGCACGGTGGTGGGCCAAAAGTAACAGCCGGCACACCGTTACCCAATGAGTATATTCAAGAAAACATCGAACTAGTCCGCAATGGATTTGCTAATCTGGGCAAACACATTGAAAACGCCCAGAAATTTGGCTTGCCCGTGGTGGTTGCCATAAACAGCTTCCAGTACGTAGCACTAGTGCATACGCGACTTATAGTTAATACACTTGTAAAAAAATGAATAATGTGGAAATTGTAATTATAGTACCGACACTCAGGCGGAACTGGATCTGGTTCAGCAAATGTCCAAAGAAGCTGGCGCTTACGATGCAGTTATCTGTTCCCATTGGGCCGACGGCGGAAAGGGAGCCGTAGAACTGGCTAAATCGGTGGTACGCGCGACGGAAGCGGCCAGCCGGTTCAAATTCCTTTATGACCTTTCGGTATTATAATATTGTAATCGCATTCTACGTGTTATTGATTTCATTTAAGCAGTTTAAGCGAAACCCATAGATTTCTAATTTCATTGGCACGAAAACAATAATATAAAAATTTGGATTACTTTGTTTGCAGCTACCACTGGAGGAGAAGATGCGAACTATCGCTCAAAAAATTTATGGTGCTCGGGATATCAGTTTTACTCCAGAAGCGCAAGAACAGTTGAACCGCGTCAAGCGCAACGGATTTGATCGACTGCCTATCTGTATGGCGAAAACACATTTGTCATTCTCCCATGAGCCAGAGAAAAAAGGCGTGGTGAAAGATTTTGTACTGCCGATTCGAGAGGTTTGGGCTAGTGCCGGTGCTGGATTTGTTTGCGCACTTGTTGGCACGGTAAGTACTTTACAAAGTTTCCAATTACGCAACTACGAAATTACAAATTTACAGCATACAGCTCAATGTCGCCAAATTACTCGTCTTTGCATAATGGAATGTTACAAAATTACGAGTATTCGTATTCGATTAAGCTTACCGAAGTTTATTTTTCAGATAACCAAGATGCCGGGGCTTCCAACGCGCCCAGCCTTTTTCGATATTGATTTGGATCCGGAAACTGGTTTGGTGCAAGGACTGTTTTAATCCGTTTTCGTTTCAAAAGAAATAGTTGGTGTGGATGTCTACTTATTCATTGTGTGAGCTGTTCACGCCAAACGAAATTGTGAATCAACAATTACTTACCCGTACAGTTTAAAAATTGTTCAACAACGATGGCAGTCGATTTGTTACAGTGCTTAAAAGTGGCTCTTATGCTTTTGTTTTAACCCAGAAAGATACTTATATGGTATGGTTAGCTCGGTGTATGCGTTATTTCTGTCTCTGCCATGCTCGTTCGTATAAATTGTGTGTATTTAATCAGTAAAAATTGCAGTAACAAATTAACCATGTTATAAAAGATGCAAATTTTAAAAAAACTTTGGTAAACAGGAAAGTTACAACACCGATCATAGCACTACATATCAGTTTCTAGCAGGACGGTGTTGCGATAGCGGCGCGTCCTGGGACTCTCGTCTTCATATTCTTCGTCCTCCGGAAACGCCGCAGAGAAATCCGGCTTAACATCAATCGTATCGAAACTCATCGTATCCGCTCGCGTACTCGTCCGACTATTAGAGCTATCGATGTACGCAACATTATTAAAGGTCAGATCCGAGGGTGTCAGATGTTTCCGTATAATGTGAGCCACTTTCGAATACGGATCGAATATCAGGGCATCGTTGCGCGCTTCGAAAAACTCATAATCGGGACTGATTTCCACCGAGGAATTAAACGTATGATTACTCTTAGAAATACTGCTGGCATCCTCATTGGAAGGGAAGTGGGTTTCGACAATCGGTGGATTGGGAATCTGGAGCAGATTGGTGCGTGAGACATTCAGTCCTCCGTTAAGATTCGTCGTGGAGGCAAACGCCAAACTCGTTCGGCTGAAACGGATGGATTCGCGGATGCTCTCGCGGCGCTTAAAGGCCTCTTTCCGGCGCTGTTTTGACTTGCGCAACCAGCAACATCCAAGCACGAGTACAAACACTAAGGTCACCAAACCAATGACAATCGCCGCTAAGTAGGCCATCCGCGTATGCCAGGCTTTGGAGGTGATAACGTACGCCGTGTCTCGTTCACAGATGAACGGGTGCGGTTCATCGCAGTTCTCGGCCGGCCACGCCCGCTGATTGCGCAAATATACACAGCGATCCGTGGGGTTGGAATAGGAGTAACTCTGCACCCACGCACCATCCACGCGCCAATCGAAATTGCGTTGCTGGTCGTGAATAAAGCGTGTTAATTGGTATTCTAATTTATCAGCATATGGTAGAGATGCATTGATCATACGACAAAACTGCAAAGCTTTGGCGAAAGTCGTTACACCACCGATATAGATATAACAGGAATCTTGGAGGAGGGTGAAACCGGGGTAACATTTCCCATCCATCAGTGACGTGTTTGTCGGCAGAAAAGGCGTGAATTCCACTTCATGTAACCAGCGATCATCGCGTTTGTCCTTAATTTTTCCAGCCACACCGGCTTCATACGACGCTCCCCAGTAATTATACCGCGCGTTAATAACACCCGGCAGAGTGGGAAACAGTTCAGTCTGATTGCTGGTGTGTAGATCTAAATCGTTTTCTGGATTGTTCAGCACGTTGTACGTGATGGTCTGTCCGCTTCCGGTAGCCAAGATGGTCGCTTTGTCGCGTGCTTTAAAGTCAATCAAATGCAGTTCGGGTCGGCCGTACGCGGCATTGCGAATGAAACTGTTCTTGTATATGGTTTGATAGTCCGTTAGCCGAACATGCCCGAATCCATCCAGGAACATATTGTACCGGCCCAAATTGAACATCACCTGATTTACGGAGAAATTTCCCACGATGCGTCCCAGATGGATATTGTCGGTAAACTGACCGGTGTTGTCGAAGAGATAATTGTGCGTTATGGTGGCTTCTTGATAAGGGCTGATACTGCGCCCCAACACCAGTAATGCCGGTGTATTGCGGTTGCCGTAGAAGACATTTCCGCGGATGTGCGCTTGACTGCGCGTAGCCGCCGTCATCGAATTCGCCACCACATGCAATCCGCCTTGGTTGTTCTCGAAATTGTTATTGTGCAGCTCGATGTGTGGAGTGTTCTGGATGTCCAAATAAGCTGCACGATATGATGTGGAAAAATTGTGAAAGACCTTTTCCCCGTTGGAGTGGAAGAGGCAGCGTTCGATTCCGATGACCGGGTTGAATTCGCCGGTAGTATACAAATGCAGGCCACCGCGTCGGTTGTTCTGGAGGACGGATGATGTAACGTTAAGCCTGGCTTCGCGGCTGACGCCGACGTAAGCCGGTGGTAAGGTCACTACTTCGGCGATGAAGCCGTAGGTTAGGGAATTGGGAGCGGTTGTGGCGGACAGATGGACGGTTAAGGTTTCCTTGGCGCTGTCAAATGTTTCCCGAACATTGCTGCTTGCGTTGATCCGTTTCAAAAGTCTGTAATCCGTCTGGTTATAAACGTTTCCTGCAAAAAAAAAGAGGTAGTCTGTGAGAAATTTGGAACGAGTGAATATTGTACGATCCGAATTCATACGTGTACAAACAAAAAATTTTTTTATCTTTTCCCCTTTATTTTTCGTATCATTACTGTATATCACCATAATCATTTACCGCGACCGGTTTTAAAACTTCGGACACTTTGATAATTTTGAGATCTTATTTTGGAATTATCGTATCATTTAAGTGCTGTCTTCGTGTGCCGCAGCGGTCGTCATAACCAAGTGCGCTGGTGGTTGCTAGTTCATATACAGTACCTTCGTATAATTCGACAAAATCAGAATTGGGAAGGAACTCTGATTGGTGCATATTCCATTCTAGTAGGCGGAATGCCACTTTGGGTGGTGGTACATCTGGCATCCGGTTCATCTTGCGCATACCCACTACTTGGAAGATCTTCACGCAGTCCTTTCGCAAGGATGGCGAATCGTATCTAAACAGCACCAGCACGCGTTTCCGTACGTACACCACTTTATCCGCACTGCAAATGTCCACCATTCCGAATATATTCGCTCCCAGAGCAATGCCGGCTGCAAACTGTGCCGTTAATGGAGGTAAGGATCCCATGCCAATCTGAGGCCGATGTCGCACCGGATCGAATGTCGACAGGTCCGTGTCACCCTTAAGGTCACCATGCAGTAAGAGAATATTGATTCCAGTCAGCACGCTGCTGTCCACGGTTGTATGGTGCAGTACTAGGTTTCCAGTCGGATTAATCACGGTTATTCCGTTGGACGCGGAGCGGGCAATCTTCACGCGCTCGATCTTCGGATTACGGTGGATGATTTCCACTGCACCTGCCGCTCGTTGTCCATGCAGCATACCGGCCGCCAGGATCTCGACGTCTTCCAAGACCGATACATCCGGACCGTTCTCCGCCAACTCCATATCGGCCCTGGCAAACCGAATTCCGCCCCAGTACTCCGAATCCATCGGGATGTGCCGGCCCTGGCAGCGCATAAAAATGAAAAGGTCTTTCATCTGTTCTTTGGCCGGGACAACGGTGTCCATTAACGGCAGGTCACAGTCCTGTATTCGCGCTTCGTTTCCAATGCAGTAGAAAGGGCGTAGCCATGTGCGCACGTAGCTGAAGTCTTCCACCCGCGGCCCACGCCACACTTGCACGTCGTCCACGGGAAAGTTCAAATGCCGGCAGACAACAGTCGCATCGCGGATGCTGAAGTCGGCATGCCATATCGGTACCCATTGGTTCGTCGTTGTATTCAAGATTTCCAAATAACCTACAATAAAACAAAGTTAGGGCCAAACCATGGTGTGTTACGATTTAGAGGAATGGTGGACATTAACTTAACAATATGCTTTACTTTTTAGAAATTTGCAGAAATGGTATTACAAGCAAGTCTGTGTAATATAGTAGAGTGTGTAAAAAATATATGAGCTGAAAAAGAAAGCGAAATAAAGAAATGTATACTGAGAAAATATTTACTACAAAGAGAGTAAGCTTTACAAACCTTCCGTTGGTTGCAGGCCTCCAAATAATCGGACGTTTCCCAGATCGGTTGTGTACTTTATTTGTGATAGCACAGCTGGGAACAGCGCCCGCTGGGCAAGCGACCGCGAGACCGGCTTAAAAACTACCGGATCGCCTTTTCTTCCAACAGCTTGCAAGTCTCCCAAGACCAGTATCCCTACGTTCGGAAAAAATTCCATCAGCACTCCGCTTTCAATGGTCAGCGTCACTCCCGGTAAAATTGGTCAAATCCCGATTGACAATATACGGCACTGGTCGCTTCTTCAAAACCATGGACTCTTGTAACCGCCCTCCGAGAACGGTAGGTGCTTCGGGTGAGGCTACCGGTGCCGTTCTCACATTCTCCACTAAACCAGCATCCCGCGTGGGTGCCGATAGAAAAGGGACAAACTGCGCATGGGCATAGCAGTTCCAGTCGTCGAAATCAAAGATCCGTCCGCGAATAATCGTCACATTATGCGTACCCCACCAGTTCTCCCGCACTTCCAGTTCCATATCCAGCTGGTCCGTCAACAACCCGGAGATGAGTTCGTAGTCCATCGCGGGATTTTCCAGAATGTTTCGCGTCACGTTGACCCGCTGGAGACCCTTCACCGCCACGCCAAAGCTGTTGGGATTCGTATCCGGGACGACAGCAGTGCGCCTAACATTGCCGCGGTTGGCGCGTAACTCGTTGCGGACGAAATTAGCCGGCACCCGCCCGGTACTGGCAGTATGGCTGGAGATATCGAATTCCACCACGAACCGGCACTGATTTTCCACAAAGACATTATCCCCCATAATGAGCTCTTTCTCCATTCCCGACACTTTTAGCAGACCCCACTGAGGTGGACACAAATTACGTGAGACATCATTACCGCTGAAAATCATCCGCACAAAGTCCCCGTCGATTTTTGCGTAGGTGTTACGATTCCCAGTGATGCGGTTGTTTTTCATCTGTAGACTATGTACGGCAAAAGGCGGGAGATTTTCGGTAGACGCATGGAACGAGGCGTAACCCAGACGGCGAAGATGTTCCTGTTCCATCCAGCGAAAATCATAGGTGGCGCCGTACATTAACTGGCCCAAGGCGATCTGCCAGAATTTTTCCATCATTTGATCGTATTCTAGCTTTAATGCTTCGGCGCGCATATATCGTTTATCCCACATGGCGTAGTTGCGTTTGCCCAAAGAAACGGGAAAATCCAGCGTGAAAGCGGGTCCGGTGGAGTCGGCAATTGCGCTTTGCGTAATTGTCCACTGGTAAATGTTGCCGGATGCTTCGACGTTCATATAACCTGCATCCCAAAAAAGCCTTTACTTACTGTAATAACATTTGTTTTACTTATTTGATGTTTTTATTTGGTGCTTATATATTTTAAATTTTTTTATATCGAAAACTTTAAATATATTTTTGTATACAGAGTACAACCTTCTTGGTGTTAATTATTCAGTCACTTTCCTAATCAGTAGGTAATGTTCGTGTTTGCTGACCTTCTCTCACAAAAGAAATCCCTGCGCCATTCTGCCCGAAAGTCGTCCCATTAATAAGATACGAGATTTGTGCCAACGACTTCAACAAATAAAATTCGGCGCTTTCATACGACCGCATAATATTTATCCACGGCTGAACGTTGGACACCTTCAAGCCTTCATCCATCGACTGCATAACTTTGGTATTTAGGATGCGAATGCTTTCGTTGTTGAATCGGCGAGGAAACTCAAAAGGATTATCGTGCTGATCCAAAAGGTCATAGTGAATCATTTCAATGGCTCGCTTATTCCTGTCAAAGCTACATCCTTCCAAGGAAATCACATGCTGCCGGTCAACAGCGAAATCTCTACGGACAGGTGTGAGTTGGAGGATAATGTTGCCGGATGGGTTTGGCCCACTGTGATATTCGACAACGATTTTATAAGACACGCTGGTTGCCGGTAAATGGTTGACGCGTTCATCCAGCAGCCAGATCTCCACATCGGATGATTTTGGATCCCCATTGAAGATTCTCATGGTTTCTATGACAAAAAGGCATTAAATGAAACTCATATTTTTACTTGCGGTAATTCTGAACCGTGCATTCTGCACGTATTTAGGTAATTTAATCGAAGTAGTAATTATAATTATAACAATACGTAATAAAAAATTTACCGGTTGTTCCACGCAGCGGGGGATTCAGCGCTTGAAGGCCGAAAACATAGCCCATATCTTTTATCACCATTTCAATTAACACGCTTTGATTAGCTTCATGAGGCTTGTTAGTGGATTTGATCAGAATTTCTTGATGAGGATCAACCTGCATACTCAACTGTACACCGCGTGTAGGAATGACCACTGTCCGCCAGTTATTCTTTCTCTCCAAAATGCAACGAATTCTCGCTGCTGATAGCGCGTAAGTTTGGGATTATAGAGAAATGCACTGCGCCCATTTTGAATAAACTCTCCATCCACCACCATCAAACCGGGACTGTAAGTGACTAGACCCGAACCGGAATTTCTCCGAAACCGCCCACCCTGCACCACATTCTGGCCCCGACTGCAGATGATTATTCAGTATAACCAGACCGGCATTGGCGTTATCCTCGAAAACACAGTTCCGCACCCGGTGCATCACGTTAAAGTCAATCTGCAGTGCCGACGACACCGACTGCGTATCGAAATCCAGAACACCGGCCTGTCGAAACACCGCGTGTTCGATGATACTCTGTTCCGCTGTGATGGGCATGCGCATCCCCGCCCAGCCCGGTAGTCGGCACCTGACTCCAACATCCTGCAGATGCGTGCAGACATGTTCGTGCACTCCATAATGCGGGCATTTTATAATATCCCAGTCCCAGTTATCGCACTGGACATTGCTGCGGACGATGGGACCGGCGCCTGGACCGTAGTGTAGAAGTCCACCGGCGAAATCTTCCGGAGCGTGCGCCAACCCCAATTGTCGGCATACTGTGCCGGCGTTCTTAATCGTCCATTCTTCATTGCACACGCTGCCCCATTCCCCATCGACAAACACCTCCAGTCGGCCTTCGAACTGGCTGGGACCACCCACTAACCGCACCAGACTCTCGTTGCTGAATCCGCCAAACCGTGCGGGTGGCTTCATTTCAAAGGTCACTGGATTCTGGAGCGTGCCCTCAATAACAATTTTCCCTTGGCTCAAAATCCCGATACCGGCATCGAAGAGCAAACGGGTTCCGGCTCGGATAGTCAAAATCGAATTTGGCTGCAATATGAGATCGGAATCGGCACTGTATTCGCCGGAGATCGAGTTCATTCGGTCGCCATAGATGCCCCCAATGACATTGCCCCGAACGAATTGGGGACGGTGTTCCGGGGGCGGAGCAATAGGTTCGGGGTCGACTAAGCCGGGTCGAGATAAATATGGCCGGAAAATCACATTGGCAATATCGTAACGGTCTTTGCCCGAGAATATCCGCGTGTAAATAACACTTTCATCGATGGTTCCCCACCAGTTGGCGGTTGCGTTAATAGTCTTTCCCGGATGCCGCAAATGGGAGGCCAGCCAAATTGGACTGCGAGGATTATCGAAGGAATTCAGTGCGACCACAACATTACTGGAACCGATAATCACGACGCCTTCCGACTGATGCCGGCGGACATGAGCGGTGGCGGGAATGATGATGTTATCGCGAAAATAATTGTACTTTAACTGGCCGTTTTGCTGTGGAGCTGTGTCACTCAAACCGATCAGTACAACAAACGGTCCCTCGTTCGAGGAAAAAATATTGTCCCCGATGGACACATCCGCCGGCAGATGGTCCCACTCGTTATCGAAAGGATGGTTCATATTCTGAATCCAGACAACACCGCGCCGATGCCGCACAAATGTGTTATTACCAATATGGGCGGAAATAAATGCCGCTGGTTTGATTTTCAGGGCCAACGCGTTACTGTCTTGAAAGGTGTTCCATTCCAACAGAAACAGCATTGTATTCCTATCGTAGGTGTGGTTGGGCGTTAAGCACGACCACACTTCGACGGCGGTGTTCTGATTCCCGGCAAAGGATGTATTTGTCACGTTAACGATACTGGCGTGCGCACAGAAATTCCCGTGTAAAATTCCACCCAACCAGTTTTCCTCGATGAAGGAATGCGCCACGTACGTCTCCTGGACGAACGACCGGATCGGGTAGGTTTCGTTGAATCCGACGGCAATGCCGCGCTTCTGGTTCTGGGTGATTTTCGATATGGTAATGTTTCTCCTGCCTCCCACATAGGTCACGTTGATACCATCGCCGGTGTTCTTGGTAATCAATGAATAAGTGACATTAACATCACCCGCTCCGCCGTCCACATGGACACCCGCCCGGTAGGTATTTTCCTGGATAGTGGCGCGTTCGATGTTCACTCCGCTGCGCATATTGGTGACGCTGATACCGCGACCCTGGTTGCCGGTGATCATGCTGTTGGTCACGTTCAGATCGTATTCTTTCGTTAGACCAGCGGTAATCTTGATGTTGAGCCGTATTGTATGGCGTGGATTGGACCGGAAGCGGATCCAGAGGCGGTTGCCGTTCGTGCTGACACTTTCCGGGCGTGTGCCGTTTTTAATTTCCACAACACCGAGTAGTGGCGAGTAGGGGTCAACGCCATCGCGCACTTCCAAGTAGCCGCTGTTTGTTCCCGACGCTTCCACCAGGAGAAAGTGGACAGTGAAGATGTACGGTTCTTGGACAATAAATTTCTGTAATTAAAAGCTCCTTATAAAATACAGAGTAGCTCAGCGGGATTTATTTTGAATTTCAATTGCTTTTACGTGTTTCAGCACAATTCTACGGGTAGCTTTTTGATTAGTTAATTATGGGACTACAATAATTTCTTGCTCGATGAAAAAACTTCAGAAAAAATGTTTTATCTTCTCTTACACTGGATTATTTCAAAGTAAAATAATTTGCAAAAAAATTGTTCATTCTTTGTTAAAAATTGTTAATAAACGAGCTCGACGAATGCGGTCATAGTTCGAAATCTAACCTGTATGCATTGCTCTTCAGTGGGCGCGGACATTCGACCAGGTCGATTTATGCTAGCATAAACAGGATACGACTGACTCATGCCCAAGTGTGGTCTGGTGCAGAAATTGAAATTGTCCGGAAGTTGAAAGAAGGTGTCGTTGTGAACGTAATGAATTCCATCGCCGGCATTATACTCAGAAATGACATTGTGAATAGTGCTATTCCCCTCGGTGGAATTAATCGAAATACCATGGCCTGCGTGTGGGAGAAGAATGTCAGTTTTAAAATTTTATAAACATGATTGCTTTCTCTAAGCTGACAATATCAACTGTCTGCGTGTAAACTTTAAATCGTATGGAAATGCTATAACACCGGCATATAACTTACCTTTATTCCATCTGAATTTGGATTCATAAATCTGAATGGACCCGGTTGTATGGGTAAAATTAAGCCCATTGAAAGCGGAAAACTGGACAGTACAATGCCTGACAATAGGTGGCGCCCCAATTGCCTCGATGGCTGAGCTTAACTGGCCGTTAGGGCCGGATCCTGGGAAACGCAGAACGGGGGTGACATATTATTGCAAATTATAACACGGCCTCATGTCACTTAATCAGCAACTGTAAACTCTTACAACCATTTCCCAATAACCACTGCAATTGCGGCAACACTTTATGATCCTTTGATTGGCCTTACCCGCATAGTAAACGTCCACGTGCTGCAATAACGATTGAGTCACATTGACTTCCAGTGTCCGGCCGTAGGGAAACTGGGTTGTATACGAAGCATTAGCAAAGTGTATGCCCATCCAGTGGCGGGTTTGAATAGGGGAAGAATGGCGTAAACATCGAATCAACATGTCCGGATGACCCTCTAAGCAAAACGAGCCGGGCAATTAATCATATGCGTGCTTAGTGTGAATACTTAATGTGTGAAGTAGGGGGATACGCAGCGCCCAACTTCCACACTGAGAGCTTAGGAAACCGGTCACGCTGGGCCTTATCACTTCATAAGCGACATGCCCCAGGGATTATCAGCCAAAATATTCAATTTCGCCTGCGCGTTTCACAGCACCCATACCTACCTTTAATTTTCGGATAATCTCTACCTGTGATCTAAAGTAATTGCATTTTAGCGGGATCCGGATACGAGACATTGATGGCAGAAGCGATATCGATTTTGACCGACGGTCAATAAAGCGAGGATTATCACTGCAGTATGCTCTGGCTGCACTACGCATTGTTTTTCGGCATTCATAATTCATCGCGATAGACAATCGTTGCGGCAAAAATTTTATCTTTTCCGGTCCACGACCTGTTCTTATCAAATTTTGTTATTTTATTCATCGAAATTCTTTTTATTTATCGTTTTATTCATTGAAAGCAGAAAAGGTCTAAAACATTGTAGCGTATAAGAAAAATTGAAACGCAATGTAAAAGACACTATTGAATCAACAAACAACAAATCTCTAAGTTCTGAGTTTTCGGCGTACACTGTTATGACTGGAAGTACTTGTATTGGTGCTGCATCAGTGCTGCTCATTTGATTACATTGAACGCAGCAGTTTCGATATGTTTCGCAAGAAATTCACAACAATTTAGAAAGCAGCAGCATTCTATGCTCTTTTTATTTGGGTAAGTCGGGTTTCAAAATATTACATTAAGTCCATTACAAATACAATCCCGTCAAAGGTCGCCTGCTGTGAGTTCATTGGAAGACCAACGGGCAGTCCCATAAGCAACGTAGAATTAAAGCCGCTTTATGAATGAGTTAGGGCAGTTTGTACATAACGGCCGGCATGGATCATCGGTGATGCAGGAAGCGAATCCAAATTGCGCGGCTGCTCTCTTACCACCACCGGTCACACCGTCTGGTATGAAAAGATAATTTTCACTGTTCAAGTCGATCTGGGCCAGAATGTGTCTGGCCCCGGCGGGGCGATGAATGAAGAAACAATAAACCAGATGGTAAAGCTCACCAGTTTAAACACAACCTGCTCGTACCAACCCATCCACTTTTCACCCTTTCAAATCCTCTTAACCCTTAAATTAACTGCTGACCGGTGCGCTACTGTGATTGCGTTGTGCTCGAATGAAAAAACTCTTCCGCTTCCCCGGCACTCTCACGGAAACCGACCACACAAAAAGCGTTAATTGGCGGCTCAAGTCTCACCGGAATACGTAAACAACTTTTTATAATTTCATTTAATTAAAGCAAACTTTAAACGGTATTTTGAAATATTCTTCGTCATTATTTGTCGTTACTGGCACTTGTTATAAATTTCAAATGGGAAACTTAACATCGAACCGGGCTTGGAATTTTGAAATGGAAAGTAGTCATTGCATTGCGATAAGATTTTTGGTAGTTTGCCTTTACGCTCACCACGTATTTAAGTGCAAATTTTTCTTGGACAACGAGCATGTTGATGGAAATTTCCTGCTGTATGAAGTGATGTGATTTCCGGCTCTTATTATTCCCAATTGGTCTATCACACATTATTCCTGACACTGTTCTGTACATACCACAAATTCTTTTGCCCAAATGGACACTGCTGTAATCGGCACACTGCATGAGACTGCCTTCCACTCCAGAACATCTGGGTCGTTGGAGTAGCATATAGTCGGTATCGTTAGCATGATCAATCCATGCATCAAACAGTCCCTCTAGATATCCCATCTGGACACATGCGACTCGAATATCCTCAGCTGTCCAGCTAGACACAATGATAATAATAAATACACAATATAATGCATAACCGTCAAAATGGGAAAAATGTGTTATCATAACTTTCATTGATAAAGAGATGTGAAAGGCGTGTAGACAGAGGACAAGGGAAATGTTGACGTTTGGCATTATCACTGAGTGACGAATAATGATAGCGAGGCGTTTGGCTGTAGCCGGATGACAATTAGAACTTACTTATATGAATGCGTGCACACACTCCTCCATTTGTTGCGATGAAATAGCTGGATCTGACCGTGTGCCGGGCTGGTGCCTCGGACCAGTCGAATTTGGCGGTGAAAATTTAAAATTTCGTCATTAAAAGTGGGAAGCACGGTTAGGTCGGGAGCACCAACACGTGGCAAGGCCGGTGCTGTGTGGGATGTCATTAGGATACGCCGCTGTGGTTCTCCCTGCAATAATAGGAATAAATTATGCATATTAATTCAAAAATTGTGAGAACTTAACGTTAATGATTATTATAATTGGAATGCAGGTGCTGTTTTCCTGTAATAAAATTCGCAAAAAAAGAATTACTGATATACATACTCAAATAGACCAGTTTAAAGACCTGGCTGTAGTAGCTGTAGTTGTTCATTCATTTTACTGCTAGATTGCGTAGAGTAGATTTTTATATGTAATGGCAGTAATACAAATACATATTTAATTTATTAAGTATTAAAAATTTGCACCTATAATTCCGAAATTTCATTTAAGCAATTATTCTCAGCCCATATGCGCGTACTGCAAACACATACTATGGGTGTATTTAGTTTAATTTGTCGCTAAAGTTCTGTAAAACATGAATCTGATGCGGACTAGTCTGGATGCTTTTCTGTTCAAGAGCACGCAGTACAAATAAATCCGGCGAAAGGTAAAACACTTTCCTTTAAAGGTAAATCAAATTGAGAACAGCTGGAGCATCTAAAATTTGTTTTTCTCACAGGGGTCTATCAACTCTTGCTGTGGTAAAAATTCAGCCGGCACAACAGAAAAGAGCAAGGGATAGTAAAACATGAAACCGGTTTCTGGTATTTCGAGTGCAATCAGACTTATCAGAGTAATTTATGAAGCTGTGTGTGAAAATATGGTTTTGACTTCTTGATCAGAGTGCAGTATTGACGCACGCGCTGCCGACTTGAATGCATTCACTGACAAGGCAAAACATGAGGTTTTTTATTCTTGGGTACAACCGCACGCAAAAATGATAGAAAAAATGGTAGAAATATTGAATTTGACGGTAATAGTAAACAAAAGATGAATGTTTCATCTGGAGCACAAAAAGCAGCAAAAAATATATTTTCTAGATTTTTGTAGAACGCCGAGGTGACAGCTCTAACAACGGTTTGAACGCGATATAATCTGCTGAGTTAAATATACCAGTAAAAATTACCAGAAGTCAAAACGGGCAGTTTTTCCTGAATTTTTAAGCTAGTCATGAGTCAGAACAGTATTGTTCCGGTTCAAGTTTGTAATATTTTGACAAGAGGCACTTAGAGTCCCCACTCATATGCTGTCGAACAGAACTGGAAATAATTTCCGACATGTCCATCTGTCATGTTAACCCAGGCTAATTAGATTGATATAATGGACATTCGGACTACTTGGACAACATTGTTTACTGTGCTGTATTTTGTCCGGCTTATAGCCGTGTACACACTGCACATTACCGTGGCGCGCAGTGCCCCTTGGACGAGTAATCCCGTGCCCGGAAGGAATTCCAATCGGACACCGGCTTCTATCAGCACAAGAGCTCCTTTGGGAATGACCAGCGTCTGCTGGACACGGTACGGACTCTGTGTCAGCTGCCATGTTGTGTTTCCAGATGACCGGATATCTTGTTGAGATAGCAGTGTTTGTCCGGATGCAAACGGCATCGACAAGATAATTCCCAGTAATAATATACTGCTGATACAGGACACTGGTCGCCGGTGTATGCGGACACAGTGGGATATGCGGCTGGATGGAGGCCGGATAAATGCCGGTTCCATCTTCCAGTTCAAGTGTGCAATTAAGACAAGTAACAAACATTAAAGCAATAATGTTGTTGGAAACGCAGTGTTTTCCAAGTGGCAACAGATGGTTGAGCCCAAATTCGTGATAATGGACGATGCAGTGACATCGTCACAGTAATATCTAACGTAAAGTTTGAGTTTTCCCCAAGTACTCTGAACGGAGTTGCAATAGGAGGGTGTTGGCGAAAGTGGAGCATCCAAATGAAAAGTGAAAGGAAGAATTCCTTAAATCTTGGAAATACTCAGGTTCGCACTTCGCAGTCTTCCAAATCTTGAGGTTCAGGATTCTGTTGGCGGATTGGCTAGAGTATTACGCGATAAACAGCCTAATTTAGGTGGTCCATTCAGATAAGAAAGGTATTTATGGTGACCAATGAATGCTGCATAACGGTTCAAAAAATGCAGCAGAAACGAAAAGCAAGGTGTTGGGAAATGAGGCGATCATATCAGGCCTCCATAGCGCACATTATCCAACGCGTGCATTTTCAAAATGCTTTCATATGAATTACATTTTTGACTAATTCTGATAACGGCGATGACTTAGACTTTGAGCAAATAATCCATATCGGCGGGCGCTTATCTCATGCGAAAGAGATTAGGGCCACTGCATACATACTGTATGTGTGCAATGCAATGCATACACATCACCAATAGCGGGCGTGGTCAATCTCAAAATTGTATGATGCATGCAGTCCAGTACGTACCGTACCCTTTTGGCTTTTGCATGGTGATGGGTCAATGTTGCAGTTTGCACTTTGCTGCGCAAACTGTGTACAGTACAACAGACTTGCCAGGACGGAAACGATGCAAGTACGGTATCCCGAATACGAATGCGTTCTTATAAAATTAATACGTAAATTTCCGCAGAGTACAGCAACTCATTTAAACGATCATAATTTAAACTAGAACTTCAGCAGAAGCAATCACAAAAGGTACCGTTAGTTCTTAGCAAAATCGAATTGCAAGGATACCCGTCAAGGAGCAAGCAAGGAGCTAAACAGCAAGGAGCAAGCAAGGAGTTGGTATGCAAGGAGCTAAACATCAGCGCTGGTTAAATAATTATATAAAACTACACACCATAAGTAGGTTCTAAAACATTCTGATCCAATAATTTGTATTTTTGTCGTTGGTATCATATCGTTAACGTTATCGGACAATGTGTATGCGCATTTGTTTTACCGAAACACATTTCCAGCAACACCAAGGAATGAAAATGTTTAATGATTAATTTCGAAAACGCAGCTGGAGGAACTTCTCCGGTGACTTTGCGATTATATTTCGGGAAAGCTGTGCATCGGTCTAAACATTCCTGGTGCGCACCAGGAATGTTTAGACCGATGCACAGCTTTGTGCTTTGCATGCAAAGCAAAAATTGTTTTGACTATGCTTCAAAGTTAGGGTGTCTGGAGCCAACTACAAAGTAAACAATACTTTGGAAACAAAAAAGTCAGAAGTTTTGAACTAACAATTGTAAAATGCATCCCGCATGCAGCTGATCATAAAATAAAATATAAAATATATCTGTATATATAAAATAAAGTATTCCATATTATTTTTGGAATCCACAGTATAATGTCTTGTCGTTTTATGCTAATAATGTTTGTGTGTGCGGATTTAGTCTCTAGTCTAAGGTGTTTCTTTTCATATATTTATGCATTGCGTTTTTGATTTGACCAATAAAGTCCCTGTGTGTGCTTGTACTTTATTTGCATTTCGGTTTTGAAAATTGCTCGCAGGGTATCTGCCGGAATCGTTGGATGCACCACTAGCGAGCCGTTAAGTACACATGTACAATTAAACAGCGCAACAGTAACGTTAGAACTTATCGTAGTGCAATGGCAAACGACGTACCCACAGCACTTCGTTGAGCGGGGTTATCATGCACGCCGCAGCAGTTTTGAAATGACTTAAAAATGTAACTGAAATATATTAACCAACACTATGTTCGTTTTCGAATAACCCGCGCACTGGATTAACAGGCCATGCATACCTGCTGTACAGTATTAAGGCAGCCTTAGGCAGGTATATGAAAAGGTCATCGTTTCGACTAGTTTTCCAAAACGATTTAGTCTACGTACTAAATTAGCCGAAAATCCGGCTATTTCCAAGAATGAAAACCATGTCTTATTCCTTACATTTATACGAAGACCTAATCGTAAAATTTTGTATTTTAAAAGCGCATTCAATATTTTTCAACCGAGACCTCTGCGTATACGGGTATATATATATATGTAAAATAACAAAAACTTGAGGATCGAATGAATTCTGTCCATTCAAGATAAAAAAAGCAGCAAAGCGGCTCGACAGCTCAACTGAAATACTCACTGACCTTCGCATCAACATGTCGCCCGATTTGAACAGTTTTGAACTCGAGAGTAGAATTCTACATCCTTCGATGTTTACTCGGTCGTCAATGGGCTAACTTCGCTCCAACCACCCCATAGAAGCCGAACTCCGACCATCGAAAATACAGAGTACTGAGAACCGACAGCAAACACTCCGATGGATTCGCCTTCATACAGCAACAGAATGCTGACATGACCTTAGATCGTAGTTGTGTGTGTACTGGACCTGCCGGGGCCTAGATCACATCAGCTGGCAAGCAGCTGCAGCATCCACGCAGGCCGGAGCAGCAGCGACACAAGCCGAACAGAACGAAACCGCAGAACGGCGCTTAAGACTACGTTTAATGTGGTGTGTCCCGTACTATGATGACACTAGTGACAGGCCTTAAGAAAGTACGGACCATTCGGATCGGAAGTTCCCCTGCCGGCTGATCTGAAAACGGGCAACATGGGCAAGAAGAACGCCAGGACTCTGCAGGCGAGGCGCGGCGCGGGCAACGGAGTAACGTGGATTGATATCGAAAGTGAGGCCTAGCGTGGAAAAGTGGCTTCCATCCGGGAACGACATATACAGTATATAACTTTCAATTACGACATATATATAGGAAAATATTGGTCGCACGTACAAGTTATATAAGGGCATAAAGTTTAGAAATGGGTTAAATCTGAGGTAAGGTAATAGATTATGAAATTGGACAGTATATATATACTGAATGTTTTGCGGAAGTTCATTGATAGCAGGGAGTGGTTAAACGAACAATATCCCATGGCCGGATGGTGGAGGTGCTGCAGCTCTAACCAAAAGTTCTTATGCAAGGTATAGGAAAACTGGTATGACATACAATAAATATCTAACGTGCCGGGTTTGTCTAACCTTTTTAGCCATTTCCTGTGGAACCGTGCAAAAACTTTTTAGCCATTGCCTGCGGCTCCACTGACAAAACTGCCGCAGATTTCAACTGACAGATGACCAGGATCGTTCTCTTGAGCCCTAAGTGGTATAATACCTTGTTACATGGAGATTTTACATATACTAGATTTTACATATACTACTCGTAGCACAGCCCAATATTACTACTGTGCTCGTAGTGTACGTACTAGTAAGTACTATGGGGTCGAGAACAAGCCTAGTAGGTATACCGAATTCGTCAGCTCTCTTGGTTCTGCGAAGGTTTCTATAACAGATTTACTGTCATACTGCAGTGGTTTTACAGGAATAATGCATTTTGCATCGTAGATGAAAATGTACGAGTATCATGTATTCGGCAGAAAGTGAACGGGAGATTTGGAATCTCTCTGTGAGATTTCCATAATATAAAATTCTGGTTTCGCTGCTGAATTAGGGGAGCTGTTGTATTCATTTACGAATGTCCAACCGGTACTGTAATCTTCGCGACCAAAAACACGTGCAACACGGTACAATGGAAGTGACTCGTGACTTGGTACTGTATATGGCACCAAATGGATGTACATGCAACTTCGCTATGGCGCACTCCCAAATACTTTTTGTCAGTATCGGAAGCTACGCACAGTCCCAGCACAATTACACCTCTGTCCCGGCGTTTACAATTTTCTCAAGACTCAGTGAACAACTCAGTTATAACTTATAAAGTACTACCACAAAAAAACGATACCATGGAAAGCTGCGCAATGCGCATTACGAAACCAGAACAGTTCAGTGTTTATACCATTCCGACGTGAAGCTACGACTAACTAAACTTAACAATTACATTATAATTTGCCTCTACAGAAAGGTCATAGGTCATGTGTCAATCTAAAGCTGTTTGTAGAACGTCTTTAAAAATCTGTAGAAGGGTTGTGATACTTTTTCTTCCCATGCAAATTCTATGATTATACGCGCCTTCCGGTTGAAATTAAAGGTTCGATTGCTCCCAAACCCCAGAGTTGTGCCCCTTGGGCAGTCCTGAGTGAAGGTTTGACGCTTCCTCATCTTATTCGGCCCCCATTACTGTTCTCCAGCTGAACCAATGTTGCTGCGAAAAAAATCCCGTAGCTAAGCCGGTAGACTGTCCACGTGCGTTAGCCGTGTCGCTGTGACCGTAGTTACAGTATTTGATAATTTATTTCGAAGCAGGGCTTTGCACCAGTCGGAATTGAATCGGAATTACCACCGCCGCGAATATCCCGTACCGTTGCATGGATGGTAAGTCCCGACAGAGTCCTCTTGATATAACTTGCAAAACAGAGAATATGCTGGCCCGGGGCCTTACTTATTGTCGGTGCACAGCTACAGTAACTCGGTAAAATCGTACACAGATCATTAAGTTATGGGAAATTTTTCTAAGTACTCCCTTCTACATCCACTGTTGCAGATACTGGTGGTAGTCTGGTACTTCTAGCTGTTTCCTGCAATTTTTCGTTGCAAAGCTTTCTATCTAGTACCTAGTCGCATGTTCTTGACACTAGAAGATCTTTAAATTGCACTACTTGCTATATAAAATTATTCTACACGTATTGCGAAATAAATATTTGTCAAATAATTCTTCGTCATTCTGTCAACAGAAACCACAGAAACATGTTTGTGATAGCACATAATGTGCTGAATTCCTTATTGACGAAAACATAAATTTTCAGTTGTACCGGCCTGCTTAGGGTCACCGCTATAGTATACAGTACCGTGCAGATCTGACCATGAGATGAAGGTTTTCTTTTATTGGGCAAAGGCCATCAATATAACAAAAAGTGCATTCGCGTAACACTACTCAAAATGATGAAGGTTGAACTCGACCAAGATACAGTATATAAGGATGAGATCATATATATAAGGATTAGATCCATATACATCTTGACACAACTATCTTGTAACCCAGGAAAGATGGAAACCCAGGAAAGATGGAAAGGCATACCGGAAACAGACAGCTGAGCGCAACAGAAGTGATTATTATTACTGAACAAAGTGACGGACGACAGTGCAGTAATCTTTAATACCTGCGAAACCGCCAATTCAATACGAAGTTACGAACTGATAGAAGAAATCGATAAAACCGTTGACTACGAACGGAAAGAAGGAAGTGCGAAGATAAAATACTTAAAAAGGGATACTTATAGCGCGGTGTTCACGTCCTTTCCCTAATTACAGGAAATGTTCGTAATTATACTGGCAACTGCTAAGTGATGTACATA